TTACCGCTTGGTGGCCCTTGCTTGACTGGTTGCGTATTCGATTAAGAAGACTAAGGACTACTCATTGAGAAAATTCCCCATCGTGGACTTAAAAAAACAACGTTTCAGACAGATCCAAATTTTAACTACGTGGTAAAACAGCACTATCAGTGCACGTCATAGTATCAATCACTATGAAAATGACCAAAGCGCTCGTGTAAATTATATCCGATACAAGTGAGTTCGCACAAATCAAATCCATGAAATTATGAAATTCAAATGTTAACAATACACTCGGTAATCAACATAACCGACGATACATCATTACACGATGGCATCGTTGCACGACGTGCATGCCTGGTCGAGTAAAGGCGGCGCTCGGTAGGAACCGTCGAATTGATCCGTCGATTTGACGCTCATTAGCAGGGGTCGCAGCGGGACTGTAACGAGGCCGCGTGTCAACTGCATTAAAAACGAGGATTCGTGCATCCGATCCTGCGAATCCAGGTTACATCGTCAGCAATTGTGAAACATCTTTGTCTCCTCTCCCGCTCGTCTAATTGGATCTCTTCTCCTTTGCGCAACGAATTAATACTCGAAATAATTGACGATCTTGGATCATTCCGCTGAGGTTGTGCTTTTTCGGCAGATCTTAATCGCGCTTGAAGTCTAGCTCGCTCTATCGCGAGCTCGAGGGCTCGTCGGTTTCGACATGACCCTTCTCGTTCCGTTAACTAATCTGACTCGGCTGCGATCGCAAGCTCGACACCCGAGCTGAAACTCGAAGCGTGGTTCGCCTTTTTGTTTTTTCAACTTCGCGCAATTAAGCGCAGGCATACATACTCGCGAATAAATTGCCAGACGCAGCTCGGCGAGGTATACTGCATCGGTGCAATAAAAAGCAAATTACACATAGAGTCCGCGCGCAAAAACATGTGGCGTCGCGAGCTTGCGAAGCGCACTCACCGCGCTTATTCCCTTTATTGCTGCACTTGAGAGTGTTTCACTCTCTCGCTGCGTTTGCCTCGGATGCCTTACGCTGTTTTTCTTTTACGAGCGCTGCAAATTTAATTTTCGGACGTACTGCGCGCATTCAATTTCCGCGTGGGCAGTTTTACTTACAGCCGTGTGCCGTGAATAGTTCGGATGTGCGTTCTGTTGGATTTTCGTAAAGTCATTAGCGTAATTAATTATTAAGAGGATCGTTACGTTCGATATTTCGTTGCGGGGAGGAATTTCGCGTTGAAAATTGCAAGTTTGGAATTTTATATGGTAAGGTAGCTTCTCTGCGCCATTCCAGCTCATAAAATTTTCATGAAGAAACGCGCCTAGCTGCATCGGCCCGAAAGCGTCTGCGAAAAATTCTTATCTAGCACGCGCATTACGTAGAAGCTTTCCGCTTTGCCTCACAAAGCAAGATTAATCGATGACTCTCAACTACGACTAATTTTATTTCGTATTCATTATCTCGCGATTTGTCAAAACGTATGTGAAGGCGAAGGAAAAGAAGAGGCGCATCCTCAAGATCACAGAAGAGCGTGTACACAATTTAATAAGCGAAGTGCATGTATGGCAGCGTTGTGTGTGCAGCGTACACGTACGCACACAACAACAACAAAAAAAGAAAAAGGCGGACGCGCGATTTATCAGGTCTCAGCATATTCAAGAAAGTACACTCCGTGCGCGCCATTTGCAAGTATAAGTCGCGGAGGTCGAGTGGAGGAAAAACTTTCGGCTGGCAAAACAAAGGGATGCCTCTTTTTCGCGCTCGCCCTTCATATTTCATCCTACCCGAGCCTCTCCGCGTGCGGGAAATATTGTTTTTGCTTTTGCTTTTTTCGTTGCCGTTGGCATTGACGCCTGTACAATAACATATGCGTCCGTTCGCTTTGATCGATCGCGATATTCCTATTTTTTTTTCTCCTTCTATTGTTGTTGTTTCGACGCAGCGGCGGCCAACGAAACCTCCCCTTCCGCAGCAAAGTTCAATTTACGTGGACGTAAACTTGCCGGCGCGCCGTAAAAGAAGTAACATCCGAATTAACTTTCGTCCTCGATTTTCCAGGTAAAAGCTGCAAGCAGATCGTAAACCTGCTTGAAGAAGAACGCCCCCGCGCACGGATAAATAATATCCGCATTGAATTTTTGAAGCACGTTGCGCTCGCGTGAAGCTTTCCCGCCGGACGATTCGCGTAGACAGGCGATGGAAAGATTAGCCTCGGGGAACCGAGTAAAAAAGAAGTAGGCGTTTTGGCCGCCGTCGTGTGTGCATTTGTGTGTGTGTCGGCGAGGGCGGAGAAAAAGAGAAATCCGTTGAAAAATTCATGAGTCTCTATCGCCGCAGCTTTTTTCTGCTTCCACACCCTCTTCCCTTGATGAGGTAGACGTTAACTTCGAGTGTCTTGCTAATTAACAAGGCGAAAGTGGGAAGTCTTTAACTATTATACCCGCGTTGATCTTTTCTTTTGTATAGAAGGAAATCTTGCGCAATTTGAGCTTTACGTTTGCGACTCTGGAAACTTTGTTCACGGCAGTGGGTCATTATGTCTCGTAAAAATGGCGAGCAAAGTGACGAGATCGACGACGAAAATGCTAAGGAAATAGTGTCCCTAAAATTTACAACTCACGTTCTGATTGTAAAAAAAAGAGGAAAATCAGCAGCAGCAAGTCTCTTGAAAAGAAGGCCGCGCCAGTTTATCCCGAGGGAAATCAAAGGGAAATGTACAGTCCGAGTTGATTAGACGCACCGTCTTATACCGGAAAACCACACTGATCCCGCTTGATATCAGCCGTAACGTTCAATTAACCTTGCTCGACGATTCGATTCGCGAAAAAGCGAAGAGGAAATCGCATCCGTGCCATTTCGCCAAAGTGCAAAAGGCGAGCGGCGTTGGCTCGTAAATAAAAGCGTCGAGTGTGTCATCGGAGCGCGCGAACAGTCGCGAGCCATCAATTATCGCGCGTGTACATCGACGAAACGATATCGCGTGTCTTCGGCCGGGTATAGCGTGTCGGACGGAGTTCGCACGCAATTGTTTCTTCGCGCCTTTTCCGCCGCGCGCAGGGAGCGGCTTTTTCGTGGACTCTCCGGAATGCCAGGCGAATTACCGAACTCGCGCACCTTCACCTTCGCTTGACGGACATCGAGCGTGGATTTAAAATTTCAATCTTCTCTTTGGACGTGCTCAAGGTCACAAGTTGGATATTCGAATGGCTATCGGTTTTCCCGATCGCCGTTCGAGTGATTCACTTTTGTCATTGCAGTGGTTTTCATGCGTGTATACAGTGCATTGCGTGTAATTGGAACAAATCGCGCTAGGTGGTGTTACGTGGTTCGTCGATATGTAAATTGGACAGTCGGCATTTTATTTGAGTAGCCGAACGAAAGAAACTCATTTCGAGAAGTCGGCAACGCCTGTTTTTGAAACTAGCGAAACAAGGCCAGGAGTATTTGAATGCTAATTTCGACAATTGGTGAATCTCGCCTACGTTGGAACCGAGTCGCCATCTCACGAATAACTGGATTTCGAAAATGCGTTTGCTTCGCACGATCGCGCGGACGCAAGTGGATATCCTCGATAAAAGTGCCTCCTCTTGTCGTTGTCACGCATAGCTTTTTAACGGGCTGCCTCGCTGGCACGCCGTGTCGAAATATCAAGAGGCGTTTAGCTCGAAGCATCGACCTTTTCTTTGACAATTGTACAACTGTATTCGTATCCTCATCGATTTAACAATATCTTTTTACGAGGACGTCGGAAAAGCAAGCAAACAAGACGGAAGAAAGATGTGGGAGAGTTATCACGGGTCGAGAACGGCTTTTTTCTGTTTCTTTGATCAATGGGGCGAGGGGGTGGGGAGCTTTTGCAGCAGCTCGATGCGGATCTGACCAAAACCAAAGGCAGAAAAAACCTCGCGAAACGACGAAAATTTCGTTAGCTCGGCACAAAGAAAGATAGAGAGTCACGGCGTGTTATTAGTGTTCGCGTGGGATACACCTGCCGAAAGAGAAATGGGCCAATGCTACGAGCGAACTGATTAAATGCCGAGAGAGCTCGGTTCTCTGTTTGGCTTCGCCGGAGATGCCGCGACGAAGCCCTGTTTTGTTTCCATCTGCGAATCGAAAGCGCCATTCAGTTTGGGAGACAATTTCGCGCTGGCAACAAAGTCTCCGCGCGCTGAAAGAGGCCACTGGAAGTTTGACGTCCGAACGCGCATATAAACCGCATCCGGGCGCACTGCATTTGCGAAGCTCATTTGCCGGGAGCGAGGCAGCGTCGACCGGCATTTATTACCATTTACGAGCGGCGAAACAATGAAGCCATGCGGCGGTAGCAATAATTCCGCGGTCCACCGCTAAGCGGCATTGTAAACAAGCCGCGCACGCCCAATAAAATCGCGTCCGTTGCCGCGACGCACGCCCTCGCGGGCATCTCATTAGCGAGCGCGCGCCGGGCGAGTCCGGGGGCTTTACGAGCTGCGCTAATTGGGATCTAGGCCCGCGTGACCGGCGCATCACGCTGCCGTCGCGGCTCTCGTAATCGCGGCTTCGTGCACCGGCCGCGCGCGACCGGTCGCCTCGCTCTCCGACTGACCGCGCTGACGCTATTCCATTTGCCCGAACGGCACGTCCGGGCGTTCGTCATGCGACAAGGATTTAATCGCGAGCGAAGAAAAAAACAAAAAAAAAAAAGACTAAACGAGGAAGAAGAGGAAGAGGCGCACCGGGACGAAAATGCCAAGGCGATCGATGAGTCTGCGTCGGAGAAATTTCGTAGCTCGGCGCGTCGATCAGTTCGGGCGCGACGACCGATCGTGACGCACTACTGGTGCCGCACGTGCGGTGGCGCGCACGCACTCGCCGCTCCTTCGATCAACGATCGCCAATATTGTTCTCGCGAATGGGAATCGACTCGGAGAGCCGAGCCTTACGATGATCCTTTCGCTGCGCTTCAAGTGAGGGACGCGCAGCGACGGCACATCCTTTCGACTAACCTGACCTTTTTGTCGTGTGTGCCTTTCAGGTTTTACTGGGACCTGTGCATGCTGCTTCTGCTGGTGGCCAACCTAATCATTCTGCCGGTGGCTATTAGTTTTTTCAATGACGACTTGAGCACACGGTGGATAGCCTTCAACTGCCTTTCCGATACGATATTCCTTATAGACCTCGTTGTCAACTTTAGGACCGGTAAGTTCTCCAGCCGCCGCCCCCCCCCCTCACCCCCATATCGCTTTCAATCGAGGACGAGGAAGTGAGCTGCGGCTAGCGTCCGCGGGCCGAAATCGTTCGCGGGTTCCGAGGCGGCCGACGGCGATGCGCGAGGCGGACGCGACACACCGGCGTGAAATATGCAACAGCCCGCGTCGTGCGAGCTCCGTCAAAGATTCCACGGCAATTATAAATTACAATTGGGTCGAGTGCTCCGGGCGGGTTTGCCTTGAAGATGTGACCTTGGCTCTTGGCACTCACGCGGCCAGTCGTCGTCTTGGCAGACGTCCGCCGATCGACGAGCCTGACGGTGCGCGGCGCTGATCCGTCTGCCAGGGCCGCCTGCCCCGCGGACGAGCCGACGCGTGCTGGCGCGTCCAGTTCGCGGAACTGGGTCGCGCCTGCGGGTCCTCGCTCACAATCGTCACAAATTAGCCGTGGCGCGGCGCGCGACGCGTGCGTTATATTTTTGGCGTCAATGGGCCGCCTGATTAAACTCCTACAATGAGGATTGTTCGGCGAACGAGGGATCTGCGTTGTGAGCTTTTTCCTTCCGCTCCTCGTGATTGCGTTACATTGTGGTGGCTTTCCGCGCCTCGTCGCCGAGCTATTCCCACTCGAGTTCGATCGACTGCGGAGCTCGTATCGTCGCCTGGAAACTCGATTGGAACGAACAGCCAAGGCAAAGCGCCGTCCGCTTAGGAGCGCCAACCGGCCGCCGAAAACAGGAGAAGCTGTGGGCGCTCGCAGCGCTAATCGACCCTATTGCTCGCGCGCTCCTTTTTCACGGTCGAAGGGCTGAGATTTATTAGGCTCGCGGGCAACATCCGCGTAACGGTACCCGCGGGATCTCCTTAGCGCAAGCGAGTCACGGGGCGAATTTTGCATTTCGCGCTCGGACGAGAAATGCCGCGCTACGTGATAACGCGGTCCCTTTGGGAGTATCCGGGCCGAAAGTTGCGCGCGCGCGCACGGCTGCGTGTATTATCTCCGCTCCTTCGTCTGAGCGTTAGCGGCCGATCGGTTCTTCGCCGCTCTGGCCTCGTGACGAAGTGGCCCTTTTCGGGGGACCTGGCGGACGAGTCTTGGGTTCGCGTGGTCTGCGTCTGCGGCCCGTGGGATAACGAGATCGAGCCAGCAGCGCAAATCCAGTGCCGACCAAGGCAGCCTGCCACTGCGGACCTGGAAACCGTTGCCTCTGTTCTTTTCCGCAGGTATAATGCAGCAGGACAACGCCGAGCAAGTGATATTGGACCCAAAGCTAATCGCGAAACATTACCTCAGGACATGGTTCTTTCTCGACCTCATCTCCTCCATACCGCTAGACTACATTTTCCTCATATTTAATCAAGTAAGTGACAGCGCGTTCCCTCCTCATCCGCGCGGCGATCGTTAATAATTCCGTCTGGCGCGGAAACGAGTAAAAAAGCGGCGTGCTCGCGTGTTATCTGCCGACTGGAATTCCTAAGACTCTCTCGCAGAATTTCCGGGAGGCCTTGACGCACACCGGCGAAATTACTTTTCCCGCGCGGATATACATGCGCGCGCGCGTAAATTCGATCTCAATTGGTTGTACGCTACGAAATTCCGAGATGCTTGAACGGGACGGAGCAGAGTCACGTGTGCTTTTCGCTCCGTTTTCGGCTGTGCTGTCGAGGAAATACATGGAGACACGCTCGTACAGAGAACAATATACGAGTCGGTATTTTCTAATAAAATCTGGCCGATTTCTAGATCGCGTCGGCTCTCGTGCGACAAAACAAATCGCATAGCGTCTCGTATGAAAAGCTCGAGGCCTCGGAGACGTAACACCAAGTGAGATTCGAGAAAAGCTGCCGGTGCTGCGATTCAAGATCGTGGAAAATGCTTTGTCGTCGTCCAGTTTCAGGATTTCAGCGAGTCCTTCCAGATTCTGCATGCTGGTCGTGCCCTCAGGATTCTGAGGCTAGCGAAACTCCTGTCACTCGTTAGGTTACTTCGATTGTCGAGACTGGTGCGATACGTCTCACAATGGGAAGAGGTCTATGTAAGTGTCTCGTCATTACCATTTTTCTTAAATTTTAATTTTTAATCATTTATCAACAAGAATAATTATATATTTATATCTATATGTATTACACGATATTGTTTTTTCGTTCGTTTTAGTGTTTGATAACAACACACGATGCGATTTTTTGATTTGTCAATTATCTTCTTTTTTTACATTGATTTTTATGTATTAAAAAGTAGAAAAAGCTCCCCTGTTATTCATATTTTAAATAGAAAATACGGAACTGAAAATATACTAGAGAACAAACTTGATTTCTCTTAGCGTTTTTCAAAGTAACAAAAGCTCGACGATACGGTAAAACCTGTTAGCCTTTTGTTTCTTCTGTGTTGACAGCAAGGAGTAGGAATTATGTTAAATAATTATTCTTCTATATCTCTATCTGTACGTGCTCTGTCTTACTCGATAGATCTATATATTCTCTTGTTTTTTATCTGCGTAGAGAATCAATTTTTTTCCATATCGATCGTCAGATAAATCGTTCGGACCACATGCATAAAAATTTATATCTCGGTTCTATTTATCCTTCGATCGACTTATCAGAACGCTCGCGTAAATGCAAAAAAAAAAAAAATTTTGATCAAGTATGATTATCAAGTAGGTTATCGCTTCCTTTTCTGTGTAGGTATATCTTAATTTTTTAGCAAATTTTTCCTATCCCTCGTAAAAAAATCCTTCACATTAGATTTTCCTCTTCTTTTGCTCGGTCACAATATGTAATGAACGTCCTTATCGGACAGAAACATCAGTGAATTCTGTAATAGGTTTATTCAGACGATGCGTAGAAAACAAAAAATAAGTGAAGAGTGAACAAAAACTAAATACACATTGGCTGAACGACGTAAATCGCATTGGCAATTCGAGAAAAAAAGAAACCACGTAGATCAATATACGCATTTTCCCGCGTTGAATAGTAAGAAAAATAGAAGACGAAGTTTGTAAAAAAAACGCCGTATAGAAACAAAGTTAAGGCGACGACGCGAAGGCGAAAGCTTTTCGAGCGAGAGAGAGAGAGAGAGAGAGAGAAATCTCACGCATCTACAGGTTAGTCTGAAAAAGAGAAGAGAAAGGCTTTCGTCTTCGAGAATGGAAAAAGAAATCGGCGAAATCGAAATAAAGAAATAGATGTTAGCGAAAGCTCTTTTTCTCGAGCGTATGATAAAGAAAGCAAGGTGATGATGAAGCTCTTGTGTTGCGAACGCACGACTCATGGGTTTGCAGATCCCCCTTTACCAACAGCCGGAGAGGCACTACGAGCGCCGGGCTACACCGCCCCAGCCAGACCGAACCAGCAAGGTGTGCACCCCTTGCACTCGCTATCAAAGCGTTCGTTACATCAAGCCTTAATGTTTTTTATATCTACGTATTATATATATATATATATTATACAGCTAGAAAGTTAACAACTTTTTTTCTGATCCTGTCTGATTTTTTTTACATTTTTTTTTCTGTCTAACTATACTGGTTAAACTATTTATATATTGATGATTGTGGTTTTTTGACATACTAGACAGAGTTGCATACAATAGTTTGTCGTTTCAGTCTCAAGTAACAAGTTTTCTCATTAACCTATACTGTAACTGAGTCTCTTTAGTCCTCCCTGGAGAGCAGAACTGATCACAAGCTGATTTTTATACTTCGTGGATTTCCTTGTTTTCTCTTTTGTTTCTGTCTTTGACATTTTTTTCTTCGTTTGTTAAGCACATAGAGCTCTTAGTTGATTGAATCTTTTCTTTTTGCGACGCTATGCATAGAAATCCCGATACCTCCAGCCCATTATCCTTTCTGGCCGAATACACATGATACACGATAAATACACTGTGCGCGCTGAGTAATGTAATGTACATATTGATGATAAACGAGAAAAAAGAACGCCGTGAATATAGCCGTATGTGCTTTGATCAGATCTGCTGCCAAGCCCACATACCTGTGTTAACCAATCCCGTGGTGGAGCGTGGATCTTTGAAAATACACGTGTGTGTTTTTATTAGCTCTCTATTATCTTTTCGCTTTAGATAAAGGAGATTATCTAATGGCAACGTAGTCTGTCGCATTATTGCTACTGATAAACTGACTGTCGAAGCTTTTGGGCGATCGACGAATTGCGAAAACGGTAGTTGTTTGCTAAAAAACAAAGCAGCAGTTTCCTTTCAGTTGCGAATTCCTTCGGCAAAGGCCAAAGTCAAAGGAAAAGCTCCACGCTTCACGCGGTAGCTGAGATCCTAAATGTCAGTGTGTTCTGAGAACGATATTTGTCATGTTTCCGTGGCTTGAGATGTTCGACAAGTCGCGGTCACGCTCTGTAACTAAAAGAACTAAAGAACAAGAGCTATAGTTGAACAAGTGGACAGACACTCTTGCACCAACCTGAGGTCCTCTCAACCGCCTATAGGTAATCCCAACTAGGCAAAAGCGTTAACGATCGCTCGTACGTATATTGTAAAAGAACCACAAAATTAGTCTTCGTGTGAACTTTTATGGCTCGACGCGATCGCATTTCACGTCAGGCGTGCAGAAGAAATCATGTCTTTTTTGCCGCCGGCAATTCAGCACGTACAAGCGTAATAGGCGGCGGTGCTGCAATTGTCGTCAGATGCAGACGTGAAACGCATCGACGTCGAGCGTAGGATAATATTCTGCCTGTGAGTGTTACATTTGTTGGTGTATACGACAAGCTCGACGAGCAAAAGAAAAAAATATTTGACTTGTCCTATACCCACTTGTGTCTGCTAAGTTGGCAATGTGCCCGTGTGTGTCTGTTCGTAATTCCCCTTGTAACCCACATTTCTCGCTCGTGCGGAGGTTAGCTGTAAAAACTACCGACCATTGTAGAAGGAAAGCGATAGTAAGTAAACATGCACTGATTACTCATAGGATCGATGGAAACTAGTGCATTGTCATAGTGAAACGAACGTGTTTACCTTTTATTTTTATACGTGTGTGGGACTTTTCTTTTTACTTAATTTTTCCATTGATGTTTACCACAATGCCAATGTGTGACCTTTTCCTTCCAATGCCCATTTGTGTCCTAGTGTGTAATACCATTGAGACAACTTGCTCTGCCTGCTGTTACTCTCTCATTGATGTTCATAGCTGCTTGTTTTTCTTGAAAAGAACCACGATGTTTATTTTAATCGTTCGAAAAGAAATTATTTTTACCGCCGCGGGGTGGATCCTTAGAGTAACTTCTCTTTCCTCTTAATTTCAAGCGTTAGGACCATTTTATTTCGATTTCGAATTAATTTTTTTCGATTGCGAACGAAGCTAAATTGAACAAAAGATTCGTTTCTGGAAGGGGGGAGGGAAGAACTAACTTGTTAAGAGCGAGAAAACAACGGCACTATTTCTTTGTTTCTGTATTTGTTAATTTCATTCGCACGCCTCTATCTTAATCTAACCTCTTTTTCATTTTTCACTTTCTAACTACTTCTGACTTCTTTACGCCACCTCTATACGCACACTCTTTCTCTCTTCTTTTCCATTTTCATCACCTCTCTTCAGGTTGTATTTCACTTTGCTTGCTATTTAAAACTTCTTCTCATTACGTCTGGCTCTTATAAAAGATCAACAACTAAAAAATGAACAATTAAACTGGTACTATAAAACTATCATTGTTTAAAATGTGAATAAACTCTCGTAATGGCCATCACTTATTTCTTGTATAAAAATAATTGTTTTTATAAAAACTTTTTTTAAGCTTTTTTTTCGATTGTCCCCTTCTCAATGTTAAAAACCTTATTGATGTCTATATGTATTTTCATATTCCGTTCTGGAAAGTATATGTTTCAACGATTTACAATAGACACTTTGTAACTATAATACAATGTTGTGCAAGAGACAAGATTTCTCTTTGGAAAACTTTCATTTTACAATTGAAGATCTATCAACGCGTTACACCTTTCAATGTTATGAGTTACATGTTGTTGGTTAGTTAGGAATAGTCAATAGAATGACTTATAAATGTTTGGACTAACTAGATTTTAAAACCAGCGCGAGATTAGTTATATGTTGTTAATCTAAAGTTTTAGAAATGTATTCACTATAATTAATAATGTAATATTTAGTCGATGTTTGGCAAATCGAGTACATATTAAATGTAGGTTTTTAACTACACACATCGTAGCCAAAAGACATCAAATTGAGATTGAAAACGAGCAGACGTCACTGTGGTTTGAGACACAGTGGATTTTGGGTTTGAAGCTCTGCCTCATAGCAAATGCAAAGTCTCTGTTGAGGTTGTGCGTTTAAGCAGTCTAGTTACCCACAGATTCGAGAGTAAGACCGTTAGCATGATGAATTTTATACATTTATAACGAGCTAACTGAACTGTCCGTAGAAATTATTTCAGAAAAAATATAAGTGTGCGTTTTTTTTTTTAATTCGGTGAGAATTATATTTTGCTAAAAGTTGTGCGAAATTGTAGTTTTCATCGTTACCCTTTTCAGGAGGGCACTAGCTGAATGAAATTAATGAAACGAAACGAAATATAATGTCGATATTGAACAATGAGAATGTGCCGTTTATTACAAGCTCTTAAAAAAACACTATGTTATTTAAATAATAATTCGAAGTTTAATTTTGAAAAAAATCCTTTTTGGTAAATTAACAAAGTTTTTGATACTGAATTGAGCAAAGCCAAACTTAGAGCTGAATAATCGATTAAAGTACTTAGCGAATGTCGAAGATTTTGTAACTTTTGTTGATTAAATCGCGATGAAGTATTTATTTCTTTGACAATTAGCATATGCGGTGTATTGACCAATGCACGAAACCTTTCCAGTTGTTAGGTTGATAACCATTTAATTAAGATCTCATAGAATAATTAATATAAAGTACTTGAAAAAAGATTTACTACTCAGCTAAAAGAGCAAGAATATTCTATCAGATCTAATGTATTAAATGATATGCCTCTTGGCGTTATCGTTGACCCCCATGTTTTTTGCGAATGTGTGTTTTAAGAGGATGACATAAGAATAATATTGTCGTAGTATCGGCTAATGCCTACTTGTCGACTTGCTGTCGGCCCAGTGACTTGCTGAACGCTTAGATACGTTAAATATATTCTTGATCGAAATTCTGGAGATTCCGAAGTATTATTTAATTATCCCTTAGGGTTATTCAGTGTTGTGAGCTTTCGCATATAACATACAAACATGTGGAATAATTTTTTGTGATTGAGACAAATGCCGCAGGTTCCTGAAGAAATTCACGTATAGAGATACCTCTAGGAAGTATCTTGGTGTTTCTTTTTTTACGCTATAAATCTTGCATGATTTCTTTACAGCAACATCAGATAAAATACCATTTTAAAATATAATTATTATCTAAATATGTTATAATTATGATAAATGATGAGGTTTTTTTATGGTACACATTTGTTTTCGTTTACATTTTGTTTGACTTTTCTTTACGACATACTTCCACTCGAACAGTCAATGTGCAAGTTGGCCAAGATTTTCCATCAAGTTGCGGTATTATTTTTTTTAATTGGATTTCGGACCACACATTCGACCATCCACATTGAAATCAACAACAGCACAAAACTTTCAGTCTTCTTAGTATTTTACACGGCTAGTTCTCTTTTCTTTCTCTCTTACAAATAATCGTTATTTATTTGCTACATATTGATTTGTACGTTGAGTGACGGGATGAGAGTACAAAGCGCTGCTACTTTAACAAATCTAGAATTTCCACATCTGCCTATGCCGCAGAGAGGCTTTGTTCGAAATGCGATGGCAATGCATCAATTCCACCAATAGTGTATTTAGAGAAAGGTAATCCGCATTTGCCAAGCAATTAGATATCCAAGTAGTGTAGTTACTTAACAGCCTAACGCTTCTGGCTCGCCCTCGAGATCTATAATTAACGACCATTGTCAGCGATATGGTAAAGAAGACGATATACTATTGCCGCGACAGATCGTCGTGAATGCGCGCGCGTGTGGCTATGCTTTCCATATATAATTGAGCGTGTGTATGTGTCGAATTGACTCATTGCCCTCGCATCATGTATCTTAACAAGAATCCTCGACTTCAAAACAGCCTATATACTTTATTACACATTTCTTTCGAGCTTTATATTTTACTGGGATGAGACAAACCAGCGTAACAGTGATTATACATGCCGCTTGTGCGACTGAATAAATGGAGTGCGCTTTCAAAATTGATTGGCTTTATTTTTTATATATATACATATATCAACATGGTGATTGTTTTGCCTATGTGCGAGTACAGAATTGTCAATGACAATCTTTAGTTTTCTTTATTCTTTTCGTTTTGCTTTTGTTGTCGTACTATATATGACTGGTCAACTTGTACGACTCACTTTATACACACTTGTCGAGATATATATTTACTTTTTTTTCATTCAGTTAAACTATCACGTGAACGACGAATTATCTATATTTATATATATATATATATATATATATTTGTGATACTGTTGTTTACATTGATTATTACTATATAGAACATTTATATTCTGCACTTGTGCTCGTCATGTGATATGCAGAATCAATCGATACAATTACTTCTCTTTTTTATTTAATTGTTTTTTCTTCGACAATAATACGAACCGACTTTTAGTATGCAAAACAAGTCAGTGAAAGGACGAATTTGAACAACAATTACTAAATAAAAATGCTTTCGATAAAAACGACCATAGCTTAAACAACAAAGCGAAGGGCCTACCTTATAAAACTCTGCATCTTTGCCTCTCGATGCCCTCTCTCTTTAACAAAACTTTGCTATATTAAACAATCAAAGTCTAACTTTTCTTTTCTCTACTAATTTTATTAATTCTCTTTTATTATTTTCTTTTCAACGATTTCTTTTCTTTTCTAACAAAAAAAGAAAAAAAAAAAAAAAACATGAAAAAAATAATGATTTAAAAAGGTGAATGAAGAACAAACAAAAAAATTTTCTCTGTAACCTTGTTTTTCCTCTTCTTTACTATGTCTTGCTATGTCCCGGCTTTCTTTTGTTTCTAGATATTGCAGAACCTACAAAAAAAACGCACTGAGCGGAGGGGGCGCCTAAGCTCTGACAATATGAATAAAAAGAAGTCTGGTTTCAGCAAAAGCGACCTTATTTTTAAGGTAACCCGCCCTTAAACGAACGCGCTCAGAAACGATAACCAAAAGAAAAGCTCGCTCACTCTCTCATATACCCACGCACTCCCAGCGACGCTTTCCATGACCTCGAAACGGAAAGTAAAGCATATTGTAAATAAAGCTAGCGACTTTTAAATCACCGCGGAGGATCTCTTTCTCCCTGTTAATTGGTTCGGAACGCAGGCTTTGTCGCGTAGGATTCGAAACAAGCACAAATAGCTTGGAACATCCGCCGAGACTTGCAATCGACGTTTCGGAGAACGCAAAGTCCTTAATCGGCAATGATCTATGTGATACGGAGACAGAGAGCCTCTGTTACGATTGGAAGTTGCTAGATTCTGTCGCAATTGCTGTGTCGTGTGAGCGCAGTGGAGGGAGGAGGAGCTGCACGCTGATTGGCTCGTTGGTTATTATTACATCTTTTGTTTTTCTACATTACAAACATTTGCTTTTCAATCTTTTTGCGCCGCATATTGTTACATTACATATTTCTTTTAGATTACTTTGTAATCACAGTATATAGGCTACGCTTATAAACGTATTTCATATATACAGAACAGTGTTATTGGCACCCGTATATAGCGATGGGAAGAGTTTATCATAGCTTGGGATTCACGCGAGTGTCATTAAAGGTTTGTCTACATGTGTACGTTTGTGACTTCTTTTTAGTACAGCCAAAAATTAACCCATTTACAACACCATCTGAAATGAAATATATCATTCAAACAGCGCGCTTTTTTCCGAATCTCGACTGCTCGAAATCGCTCCTATCGAAGAAATATTTTTTATACAACTAACCACCATATAGTCTGTAACTTATGAAGATGTTTTCTTCACGTGTGAAGCTTCACTTCAAGATGACGCAATGCTCTAATTGACAGACAGGCCATCTGAAGATACGATGCGCACAGAAGAAGTTCGCTCAAGAACCGGAGATTTCGAGACATTTTGTAATATCATTTAAAATTCCAACTAAAACTAACTCTTAAAAAACATTAATTTTAAACCAAAATAATGTACTCTACTACTGACTCTAACTCTATGATTCAACTTTATATGTTAAACCTTTCTACACTTACTTTCTTGACTTGCAACTTTCTATCTTTTAATGCATATAATCTGAATCTCTTGCTATCTACAATTTTATCGGACTTGTTCTTTTTTTTTAATGTGAGGGTTGAGTACAATGTAGACACACTCGTTCGTAAACAGACACACAAATGAATTTTTCAAACGATTTTTGACATTTTTTGTACATGTAACATTTTTGAATAGTGCATATAGTCTGCATAAAGTTGAAATTAACCAAGTACGCTCGGATAATACAAGATTTCAAAAGGCATATAGAGTAAACGATAGGTTACGGGCCTAGTTGCCGATAATCGCTAGACGGGCTGCCGGCGTAATGCTCCTTTTTGAATTTATGACAGCCTGTATAACGCACGTGATTGGGCGTCCCTTCTCTGTCGCTTTTGTGAACCGCGCGCTTTACCGATCTATACTCTTGCACAATACCGTTTCATTTTTTTTTTGTTTTTTTACAAAGTCAACCTCACACCAAACTTTTGCATACGATCGCAATGCCTTTGCCACTTCCTCGTAACTGTTTTTATTATTGTTCCCTTTCTTTTCGTCCGTGTAATATCGATTTGCGCCGCGTAAGCGGCTCTTCGGCAGAATATTACTTTTTCGTTTCCCCGTCTCTCTGTGTGCGTTTTTATTTTCCACTCTGTACGTGTGTGTTATACGTTGTTATTTTTTTTAATTCAACACCCCCGCGAGCAGAAACAGCATAGAGCAGTTGTACAACGGGAGAGGAAGGGAAAAGGCCTACCACCGCTTATAAACAATAGATCCAGCCCCAGATTACGGATATATTTCTGTATATATACTCACAGGCACACATCTATGATTGCTTTTGCGTGTGGAATGCTGAAAATTATCATAGCTAAATTAGACCTACCGTAGCTGTTGTTGATGCTGTTGTTGTTATTGTTGTTGTTTTTTTGGAACTTAGCAGCAGTAATTCGTTGGGCTTTGTATACGATGCGCTTTCTGTTCTGCCGAAGCGCTTGGCCTTGTGTGTGCGAGCTTACACCGCTTTGAAAAAAAACTAAGACACAATATAGAACACAGCGTTCGACAAAACCGAACAGCTTCTTTTTCCTTTTTTTTTTTTAGCTTGATAACCGCTTATTTGTCGTTGCTGCTATTATTGCTGTGAAAACACAAGATTGTTGCCGTTGTTTTTTCTGTTGATTTTTTTGGTGTATTATCACATGTTCACGTGTTATCTTGAGAGAAAGGAGAGAAAGAGCGCGCGAGTGTGTTGCCTATTTACGACATTCGACGATACTATGTTACTTTTGTTTATTATTTCTTTTACTTGTTTGTTGTTATATTTCTTTGCTTTTTTATACTTTTGTTGTTGTTATTGTCGTTGTTGTTGCTGTTGTTCTTGACATCGCGCATATATATCTATAAACATAACATATGCTCATATTTTATATCTTTGTTGTCTGCAGTATATTTAAACACCTATCGGCAACGCGTTTCCACACGATGCGAAGGCGTGGAAGGGTCACATTTAGAAAATTGTCATCCCCATTATAAAGCTGAAGTTTTGTTACCCGACCGCCTACACATACGTGCATCCAGAGTTCCTCGGGGTGTAAAAGAGCGTACGAGCAAAGCTTTGTACGTGCGCGTGACCCAAAAACAACGAAAAAAGAATGACACGCACTGGTCAAGTGCCCTTTTTATAACGTAGTCTTCCTTGATATATATATATATACATATATATTAGGACTGCAATGATGTTCATCAATATTTCGCCCATTTCCTTTTGCTTTTCCAACCGCGAGTTTCTCTCAGCGCGGTTGTTTATTGCAGAGGCGACGTAGCTGCTTCAGCCCCGAGAGCTTGAATTGGATTTAGCCGGCGAGCTTTTGAATTATTAACAGCAGATTTTCTATTGACACGCGCGCTCGCGTATGTGTGCTGGATTGTCGCATTCTGCCGCTGGAGGGAGGTTAATGCAGTCAATTGCTAATACTCGCCGATTCAGCACGATAATGTTGTGTTATAGCTGTTCGATTTGTAATACATTCAGGTTCAATCTGTGTCACTTTCGGGTTAATCTAATTTACGACGCGGCCATTACTCTCTTTTCAAATTCGACGTGTGCGCGCCCGGCTTTAAATATTCAATCTCGCCACCCTGGCCCGCCCCCACGAATGCCCCGCGCCGCTCTATTCAGCTAGAAAATTTTGCTGCCGTTGAACGTTCTTAGTACCTTCGTGGCCAAAGCCGATTCGAAACCTTGAAAGTCGCTCGCTTACTTTTCCTTTTTTTTTCTACTTTTCCTCGTCACTTACCCCCCCCCCCCCCCCCCCCCAAAAAAAACATCAAAGAAAAAAAGCTCCCAAGGCGGCTTAAGCACGTACGTCGCTCAAAAAAAGAATACATGCTCGTCGGATAACTTGACTATCTCACTGGCACGTTTCTCTCTTGCGACTATATGTATATTTCTTTATTTGTTGGTCAAGGTATTTTACAATGTCTTCCTTCCAAATCTATGAATTTTAGTGACATTTATCATGAAGCACCAAAAGTTCTCAGATCTCTTTTGGCTCATTGTATTTCTGGACTGCAAAAGTGATGTTTTCGTTTTTTCCTTTCTTTTGCCGAGTTATTTTATACTTTTTTGTTATCACTATTACTATGTTTTTGTGAGAATGGAGATTTATACAGACGATCTGAGAATGACGATTTATTTGCAAATGGCATATACTATAATTTCAGCATTGTAGCTTACATAACCCATTTAATTTAGTTATATTTTACGCTTTTCCTTATGTTACCTTAGTTATTTCGACAGATGTACATATTTGTTGCGTTACATACTTTTCTTTGTTTGTGTTTCTAGTCGTCGTGCGTAATTTTTTAATGTAGCATGCTTTTTTTTGAAACGGCGACGATTTAGATGAGAGCATCGGTGACAGTGACGAAAATCATTTATTTTTCTTTTGTTTTTACTTTAGAAAAAAAAATGCTCTCGATAAAGACGCAACGCCTCATTAACTGGCTAGCCACATAACTGATTATGTTGTTACTTGCTGATTTTTTTCTGTTGGCAGACGTTGTTTACTTCTTTATTTGCTAATTACTGTTTTTTTTCTTTTTGGAGTTTAATCTGATGGAGTGTGTGAGAAAGGCAATAACAAAAAAAAGAGAGCGTAGTTGAGAGGTGCATTATAAACGAGTCTATTACTTTTTAATTTTATTCTTCTTATGTTTGGACTTTTACATGTTACGAAGCACAATGCGCTTGTTAGCTGTACACTGCGCAAAGACGCTTTAAGGTTACCTTCTGAATGACTGTGGAAAATGAATGAGAGGCTGACTGGTGACGGGTTGATAAAAAAAAAAAAAAAAAAAAAAAAATTAATAAGTCGCACGTCGAGAGGGATGGAATTACTGTCTTTTTCTTTACATTGATTACAAATTTCGTTACTGTCTCCCCTGACGTTGTAATTTATTTTGTTGTTGTTGGTTAATCTCCATTGGTTTTCTTGTTACTATACAACGTGGAAAGAGATGCGAAGGAAAGTATGGGGGTGGAAAGTGAAAGATTGCGTGGGGGTGAGCACAAGAAAGGCTGCTCGACGGGACTAAAACTGTGGGCCTGGTTGTTGGCAGTTCCTGAATATGGCGTCGGTGTTTATGCGGATTTTTAACCTGATCTGCATGATGCTCCTCATCGGTCATTGGAGCGGTTGCCTGCAATTCCTCGTGCCGATGCTCCAAGGCTTCCCGAGCAACTCTTGGGTGGCCATCAACGAGCTGCAGGTGAGTATCGAGATCTGGAGCTTCCTCGCGGAGCGGCGCAGGCAAAGTTAATGTCATCTCGCCGGTCTGATTGCAGGACTCCTTCTGGCTGGAGCAATACTCGTGGGCACTTTTCAAGGCCATGTCGCACATGCTGTGCATAGGTTACGGGCGATTTCCGCCGCAATCGCTGACTGACATGTGGCTGACGATGCTCAGTATGATCAGCGGGGCAACGTGTTACGCTCTGTTCCTCGGTCACGCGACCAATCTCATCCAGTCGCTCGACTCCTCCAGAAGACAATATCGCGAGAAGGCAAGGCTTCACCTCTCCTCCCTTTCGTTGCTGTGTTTGTGCGCTCTGATTCCGATTCGATACGTGACTGGAATTTACATTTAACGCGATGATCGATATAACCCATTGTCATAGCAAATGTAACGAGATACTTTCTCGTTTGTTTGTCGCTTTGTATTATTGCGCGCCATCGTTTTCTGAAACGGGCGCGTCGCTCGAGCAACTGTCCATTTCGCAATTGAGAAATACGATTATCGGTGAACAACTGGCGAGTAGCTCTCGCTTCGCGCGTCGCACGCAGTAGGCGCCGGATTCACCAAGGGCCTTTGTTCCAAATCAGGTGAAACAAGTCGAGGAGTACATGGCCTACCGTAAGCTACCGAGGGAGATGCGCCAGAGGATAACCGAGTACTTCGAACACCGCTACCAGGGAAAGTTCTTCGACGAGGAGCTCATTCTTGGCGAGCTGTCCGAGAAATTGCGAGAGGTAAGTCGCGTTTCGTCGATCGGTCGTTTGCCAAGCAAGCGCTCCTCCTCACTTTCCATCTTCCTTTCAGGATGTCATCAATTACAACTGCAGATCACTGGTCGCGTCCGTGCCGTTCTTTGCCAACGCGGACTCGAACTTTGTCTCGGACGTCGTTACGAAGCTCAGATACGAAGTCTTCCAGCCAGGTACAATTATCTTCACTCGTTATTTACTTGTTTCTCTTCTGACGGCTGCGCCGTCGACAAGTTAACGATAAAGATTTCAAAAAGTTCAGTCATTTCGGGACGATTTCGCGTCCGAAAATTCACGTCGCCAACTAATTAAACTGTGGACGCCGCAGCTCGGGGCTCGGTAATGAATTTTTTTTGTCGATCCTCGCCGCGCAGCTCTCGCCTAAACTTTCGGAAGATTAGCCGTGCGTAGTACATCGCGAGAGCTAAATTCCTTGGTCCGCGAGCCAGACGCGCTACGAAAGTTTAAAAGACCATATCCGCGAAAGTTTCGCGTCGCAGCCCCAGCCACGCCCCCCTCGAAACTCGCAAATGAGCTATAAGATTGGTTCGCATCGCAGGTGACATAATCATAAAGGAGGGCACGATCGGCTCCAAGATGTACTTCATCCAGGAGGGCATCGTCGACATCGTGATGGCGAACGGAGAGGTGGCGACCTCGCTGTCGGACGGCTCGTACTTTGGCGAGATTTGCCTGCTGACGAACGCGAGGCGAGTCGCGTCGGTGCGCGCCGAAACCTACTGCAATCTGTTCAGCCTGTCCGTGGACCACTTCAACGCTGTGCTCGATCAGTACCCGCTGATGCGCCGTACCATGGAGAGCGTTGCCGCCGAGAGGTATAAGCTTTGGTTAGGTTTGTTCTATCGAGTTGGTGTGCTATACCATAGATGTCGATCGCTACCCTGTTTTCCCGAACACCCCTCTCTTACCATCTACAGTTCTCGCCCCACATTCAAGCCAAAAATTTTCTCTCTCTTTTCTGTCTTTCTCACTCTTTTATATATGTGTGATACTCTGTTTATGATGTTTTTTGGCCAATCGACCGGATTTCCTTTTCTTTCTATCTTGTTTTGTCTCTCAATTCAGTGTGGATCACCCACTTGTCCGAATCGACAAGATCAGCCATACGCCTCTTTTTACTACGTCTCTCCGTCGCGCCCACCATCTGATTCCTTTTTGTTGATTTCTTTCATTCAAATTTGGACTAAATTTTCGCGCCGCGGAGCTTGCGGATGTTTTACCTCGCGAGTACGTTCTGCTGTACCGACTGCGTTACTGCAGGTTTCTACCTCATTCGCTCGATTGATTTCCTCTTTCACTCTCGAGCTTCTGGACGGATCAATAAGTGTCTTGTCCTGACCTCTTGCACGTTTTTTCACGTTTCCACGTTGTCGCGTCTTTTATCATCTGAAAATATTTAAAAAATGAGCTTTGAATATAAGCTTTCCTTCTTTTTTCGTAATTACGTCAATCGATAGCTTAAGATTGGATTGCCGTAACAAACAATCATTTCGAGTGAAGGTAGAAGCCGTTGTTCAGTACAGAACAGAATGAGCTTTTTAACAATCGAAACGATATATACGTTCAATAAACCAATTGGCAAAATTAAAATTCAAGTAAAAAAATTTTCCAAATTCCAACTACAAAAGGGTAGAAATGCAAATATGCAAAGATCGGCAAGTTTGCAGAAAGGTTGGCGCTGCACTCATCCACGAAGTAAACGGGTGGTGAATCACTTTGATAAACATGCTGTTTGATGAATGAGAAGAGCTTTTTTTCGAATCGAAGAAGGAAAGCGTGTGCGTGCTTTAAACACATGTCGCCGCAAACAATCCACCCTTTTAACTTCTTGCTAAAAATTTGCTAATTCGCTATAAAAAAAAACAGTGTTGTTGCTATTTCGCTAAACAATCTTGTGTGTGTTGCTATCTATCAATTAACACGGCAACCTTTTCATGCAAACATAAATCACCCTCGATTCAGAACATCTACGTTTTAATTTGTCGACAAACAAACTCCGTCATTAATCGAAACCTTTCGCAGTCGCGCGCTCACCTGATATCTCTCACCACTTTTGTTACGGTACCGATATTTGGCATTTGAATTTGCAAGTTCGAAGACGCATTAAATAATATACGCAATCGTTGATTTCATACTCTAGGCAAATGATTCTTGAGATACAAGTTCATCTTGGGTTATTGACGAATGTGTGATGGTTTTTCTTTTTTGTTTTTGTAATGGCAAATGACATTAATTTGAGCACGAGAAGCTAATAATTACAATTGTATGTTGGCGCACAATTATGGAGAAGGTTGCAAAATTAAACTGTAAGCAAAAGCAAATCTATAACGAGCAAAATAACCAAAACATAAGTGTCTGGAGGAGGCAACACGCACTTTATACACCTTAACAAATGTATGATATTTAATGCACTATCGAACGCCCCTAAAGAAACAGTAAAAGATGCTCAGAACCCGCGGCGAAGATCGTAAGAAGTTGGGTGAGGCTGCTGCAGCTGTCGAAGGTTTCTCACGGTCAGAGCGTGATTAATCGATGGTTACGTCCCGTGCGACATTCCCTACGCTTAATCGAGCTCTTGCTACGTTACAGGCTGAACAAAATCGGCAAGAATCCGAATCTGGTTGCCCATCGCGAGGAGGACCTTGGCAGCGAGTCCAAGACCATTAACGCAGTGGTGAACGCTTTAGCTGAGCAGGCGACCCATGCGAGCGCCAGCGAGGAATCGGTAAATATGTGCCGTCGATGTTGCCCGTAAAAAATGACGATGTCGCCGCAAGATGCTGCTTACTCGAGACGCCGATTGTTCTTTTCATTTCTGTCTCGTCTTCGTTCTTTCATGTTTTGTTTTCGTTTTGCGTCGTTGGAACTGATGTTGCCGTACGTTATTGATTTGGCGATTAATTTGTTATTCGTATAAGACAATTTATTTTGTGCTCCGAAACGTATAAGCATTTACTTATGCGGTTTAGTCATTATTTCGACTAAAATACACTTTACACTAGCAATTCTAGATGATAAATTAAAGCATTAATTTTCTTTTTTACCGAATAGAAAAGGAATTATTCTGTTGGACATAATTCGCTGTAGTCGATTATCGATTCTTTTTGTGATTCCCAGCTCCAATGAGTTTTACCGTTTCTTTTGTAGATAATGAGTTATCCTTTAATGGCAATTCGACAATAAAAAGATTTTGTTTGCCGGATTAATAGTGTTCAGACAAATGTATTTTTTTTGTTCCTGAAACTGAGCCAAATAAATTCTGAGCCTTTGGAAATCCCCTTTGAAAAATTGCACTGTACCAGTCGGCCAGGAGGTTGGCCTATTTTTCTGACCGGCTCGCTTTTGTGCATGCTGAAAAAGAGAGCGTGACTGACTAAAAAATGCACTGGTTGCGGGCATGGAAAGGGCGGTTTCACTGTCAGCTTTTTGCCATTGTTAATTTTGTATATCCCTTTTTTAATCCAAGTTCTGTTATTGGCTACACGGCGGCAAATGATGACGATTGACAAAAGCATCGACTTTACTAATTCTCAAACAATAGTGGTGATTTAATTGCACAACAAATAATTTGCAAAAACCGGTGAATTACTTTCTTTTTTACTTTGATACCGATTTAACGTACGTATTTTTTTTTTCTTATTTGTTTCTTGCAATCGAATTATATACCAATCCCGAAGTAATTTGAAATCATTCGAGGCTGACTTTTCTTCCGAAAGTTACTTCAGGATTGCAACGCTCTTTCCGAAAAACCAAAGAAGACATTTGTAATATTGCGTTTTTGTCCATTGGTCAGGTCCACAGCATGGAATTGAGGTCGCTGCCAGCGGGACTGCTGCCGCGGCCGAAGTCGGAAAGCAACTTCGCGAGCCAGGAGCTGAAAAGCGAAAACCGTAGGATATTCCACAAGAGCGACACCTTCCACAAGGACTCGTATCAATGACGACACTCCTGCTAGCCCGTGGAGCGGTACTAAAGTGCTTTCACGGGACTCGACCACGTGCGTTCAAATCCCCCCTCCCCCTCCTCCTCCAAGCGGAATCACAGAGATGCTAGATGGAAATCTTTTGGTGCTGTGAACTATAAATACGCGCGTATATTTTTTTTCGTTCGTCATGGCGCAAGAAATTTAGCTCTCCCAGGACGTATTACAATTGACAGAAGCTGAAAAACACATGAATAACTTAACCGACGTGGGAGTTCCGTGCGAGCGTTCTTTCCTCTCCCGAAACGCGAACGGAAGAGGAACGAACACATCTTTAGTACTGCTGAAGCCTATCAAGCTCTTCGTTTGATTGTTGAAACGAACAAACAAGCAAACAAACAAACCTTTGTAAAAAGTAATATCGCCAAAAGAGAGATAGAGAGAGAGGGGCAGGGAGGGGAAGGAGGGGAGGGTGGGAGAGAGAAAACGTAAAAAGAAGTGCGTGAGATTCGGTTGAAAGTGCACGATGCGAAAATAGAGACGAAAGACTCTTTGACTTTTTTTGTTGGATTGCAGAGCATTGTGAGAGAGAGCTTATCGGAGCGTGTATACCTGATAATGAAAAGTTCGAAAAGGTGGTGTTACGTTGTCTGTTATTAGGATATATATATATATATATATATATATATATATATATATATATATATACAGATAAATATAATGTAAAACTCTTAGCAGATGAAAGGTTAACAAAAAGATAATTAAAATATAACTGACGCACGATTTTCTATTAAAAAAAAGATAAAACAAAACAAGCGATATAATAATAATATAAAAGCAAGTTGACAAAGCTACGGATAAGACAAGGCAGTTGTAGTTTTTATTTCCAAGGAACAAAACTTTATTCTTGAGTAGCAAAAAAGCGTAACGATACAGACTTCTGTACAATAAAAGGAAAGGGCGTTTCCATAGGCTAACACAAATAAAAACCTACCGTGTGGGGGAGGAAGTGACGTATGCTTGCAATTGATATTTGTATACGTGGATTTTTAACGTCTTCGATTGGAATTGTGCATTTTTATGCGGCAAGTTTGGCCCTTCTGCTTTTCTCCACTTTACATTCCGTTGTTTAGGAAATTTGTTTTGCGGTAACGTCGAATACTTCAACGTACGAATGTCAATTGTAAACATTAAATTGTAGAACAAAAACTTGAAGTCTGAAAGACTGTTAAGATTTGAGGAAAAAGCAGGTATTATACACGCGATGTCAGAGAGATGTCAAATCTTGAAAGAAAGGAAAGAAAAAAGTGAGAGCCCAAAGTGAACTGTTGTTATCTTGTTGAGTGCTCTTTGGGCTCGTGAGAAAGTCGCTGAGAGCACGGTGAGCGAAGTCTTTATATACCTACATTACGAACGAATGCGATGTACTGTAAAATACGAGGGAAAACAAATTTAAACAGAACAAAAAAACTATTAGACGATGCGATTACTACTATAAATACTATAAATATGATGAATTTATTGTTACTATTATAATTGCAATGATTAATAGAACATTAACTGCATTATTAGACGAATTATAAATATATTCATACAATATTATATTCTCAGCAAAAATAATATTTATAGTCGGTGAAGACTAAGTTATTCCTGGTTGAAAGTTTGCGTCAAATTTATCGAACGAGCCGTTGACAAAAACATAATTGTTTATTTTTGACGAGAGATACACGTGTAAAACAAAGTGATTGACATTGACGTAGCAATAATATCAAAAAGGAGAAACCGAAGTGACGGTTTTCGTTCAACTTTTCTTTCGCTGACGTGTTCTAATAGGTAGATAAATTAGACAAAGTATTATTTCTGTGAACGAATACTTTTCACGTACTGTTTTTTTTCACGGCTAGAAGTTTTTGTAACATTAGTTCGCGTATTGAGTTTCTTATGCAAGACATTTTATTTTAGGATAACAAAGGAAAGGGGGAAAGAGCGTAAGAGTGCTTTCTTCATTTCTGGCATGCAGTGCATTCATACCTAATAAGAATACAATATAACTTGCATATAATGTAAATACGTCTTATACGAGATAAAAAAAAGAAACACTTAAGAATTCGCACGCGTAATGAGAAGAAAAATGAACACTTATACATATGTAAACATACTTACGAGTATCAGAGTAAGCAAATTAACAATGTCTATTTTTTTGTTCGTCTTCGTAGAGCAAAAATGATAGGTCTTATTGCCTTTATTTATCGTATCCCTGAATTTGCCTTAAAACATTTGAAAACACTTCGAGAAAAAGAAAATAAACGTACGTTACGTATTGCATAAAACAATTAAATGAGTAATAAAAACAATCTACTATTCTACTAATATTTTAACTGAAATCATTTCGAAAACGGATATATCGATCGCGCAATAAAAATGAACTCTATAGTTTCTAAAAAAACTTGTACGATGAAAATAGGAGATTACTGCTACAGTATATAGTCAACAATTACTAATTTTAAGAAATATTCTGCAGTCTTATTTATCGAAAGCGACGATTTTGCGCAATTTTAAATGCTACAATTAACAAAAAAAAGGAGGATGGAATAACTTTGTAGGCCAAGTATCATCTATAGTGATTTAGACATAAATGAAACAAACAAAACTCCCAAGTATTAACTGAGTGCAAATGCCGAGCGTGTAAATTTTGGCTGCGAGGGATTGGTGAAAGAGACAAAAATATCTTTTTCTATAATGCAAGCGCGAACGTGATACATAACAAGCTCGAAAACTGGAAATGTCTAAAATAAATAAATAAATAAATAAATAAATAAATAAACCTTGCATATCAGAAAATTATTCGAAAATTATTATCAAGCATGATTAGCGTTCGTTCGCTATTTAGAATCGAAAATAAATGCACTTTTCTGTAACTATCACCGTATAAATTCAAACTGAATTTTATCTTCACTCCCGATGATAATTCCATTTCCAGTTTTCTAAACTTATTGCAAAGTATAAAAACTTCATGCATGGCTGATTATCCTGCTGTACGGCTGCGTTTCAAACAGTAAAACCATGTTTATGATTATATTCGTGCAATTGCTGAACGGAGCTTTTCTCATAGTGAAATTTTCACACTTCAGTTTTCAGTCGGCAGCAGCATCTTAACAGCAAAATAAAAAGAAATCAATTATAAATCCAAAATACTTCCGCATCAGTGAAAACGTCATCTGAAATAGTAATACAAAACTAATAAAACGAGACTAATCGATTGCAATAACCTCATCACTGCGACTTGAAAATTGAAGTCTGAAAAAGCAAGTACAATACGACATACGTACTATTCCGTTTCTCGCGTTCATATATAGTGAGAGCGAATGAGAAAGAGTGTGAGTCCAGTTGTAGTACGCCTTAAAAGAGAAAAAGGATAAAAAAGTGAACAAATAAAACGATCACCCTAGTGTCAATTTTCTACGAGACGATTGTAGTATATTGTACGTGTGATGCCGGGATTTTGCAGCAAAATACAAAACAAAAAACTAAAGAAAAACAAAAGCGCACACGTATGATGAATCCCACATATGGCTTTTATAGCAACGACGGTGTAAGCGCGTGAATATGCATTTAAATAGGCACTGTGGGGCTATAGAACAATTTAGATAGATCGTTTTATCATTCGTAGTTGGTATATCCTCGCCATCGTTCTCTTCGTTGATTTCGTCGTAGCGGAAAATCTAAAAAAAGCAGAAAAAAAAGAAAAAAAAAAAGAAAAAAAAAGAAAATGAAAGTCATTTAAAAAACAAGCGAGGTGCGAGTTTTAGATTATATGTAAATAACGACCATTTGTAAAATTATCTCGCTGATACTGTTTGCTTCGTCGGTAATCCTATGGGAAGAAATTGAATGTTGAATCAAGTTCCTAGATTGATTGAATTTAGACGATTTATTTTTATGCGACAATTATATTCTATCGATCGAATCTACTATCTGTTACTGCGAATTTACGCAAATTGAATTTAGCCTTCCACTGATCCTGAATTAGCATAACTATTGCGAATCGCGCTCCCCGAAATACAATTCCGTTGCATTTCTCATTACCGGACATGTCGCGCGTCGAAAAAAAAAATAATTGCACGTTTATTTGTAGTCTCTCCAATACTCACTCCATTCTCAATAAGAAATTAACAATAGAATTCATAATCACGCGCCTACACTGCGAAAGTGTTCGGCAAGCGGCTGTTGATACAATTAACGACAAAGAGATGGATATATAAATATCAATTATTCGCTATATATTTAATACTTTGTTAATCGAGCTGGCGTAAGTTCACTTGTTCTATGGAATTTATTTTTCTAGCGAGCGAGAGAAAGTTTGCGTGAGATGTGCGAGAATGCCTATATTCTGTGTATAAATCTATTGACATCGAAGTGCGGCGCGAGCGTCTTCGTTTGTATAGTGCGACGAGAGAGAAAAAGCAGCCTATGTAAAAAAACGCGTAACGAAGAGACGACGATAATAAGATTATTCGTATAAATTGACTTCTCAGTTTTCTTGATACTCGCTGTTCGGCGTAACACTTCGCTGTCGTTGTTTTCATTCAATGAAAATGTGTATTTTTCATTTATGTTGGAAGGACAAATATATAAACGAGTTGATATTTTTATAAAAGTATTGCGTAACGTAGGATGATGATTATTTTACTGCAACCGTTAAAAATCCATGTTTTGAATATTATGTAGAAATCAAGAAAAGTGGGATGTCATTTTTCACGGGCAGGTGTAAGGCAAAAACTACTATGATAATGTATTTTCTGTCTTTACTATCACAAAAAACTATATGAAAGAGAATTTAGTTTATATATATTCAAAGCGTTACATTTTCTTTATTCGGAAGAAAAAAAACACAGATATGTTGATGAAAAAAGGGAATAAGAAGATAAACAAGTTTCAAGCATATGTCCTGAAACCAGCAATTTTAAATATACTTGCCATAATGAATGCCTTAGCGAACATAATGTATTGTACACATAAAGTATGAAAAAAAAATTGAAAAGTATATATAGGGTTACGTATTAAAAAAAAAACTTTCATGAAACCGCAGAAGCAAACGTTGACATGAATGAGCGGTGAAAAAAAACGAACGTATGTCTGTACGTTTTCTTGTAAATATTAGACAACAAATAAAAAAAGAAATCTGAGTCAAGAATACACTAGTGAACTACATATTGAATATACCAGTTTTCAGTTACGTATATTTGATATGTAAACACGTAGACAACATGAGACGCAAAAATAAAACAAGAATTATAACAAAATAATAAAAAAATAAATAATAAGCACACTATACAGATGAGTTGAACTTTTTAGAGTGAGTCATGTGAGAGAAGTTTCTCAGTGAGAATTCACCTCTGTTCTTTTTCTAAGCAAATGGATATATAATGTAATTAAATAGTAAAAAAAGTATAAATCCGAGTTCTTTTCACCGAAAAAAAATCGACGCTGCCGACAGTGTAAAACCACTCGCTTTATCGACTTTTTCGTAGTCGGCTTTTCTCTTTTTCTATATAAATAAAAAAGTGGGCAAAATAAGTGACAAAAAAAGATGACGTAAATAATACCAAGAGGAAATAAAAACTTCGTTAAACTCGTTCGAATGCGTTAGTTAGACAAAAAAAAAAGAAAATGAAAAATGATGAAAAGTATATATATTACGAGAGAGCGCGAACAAGCGTAGAAGTATACAAAAAAATCACAGAAACACTTACGATTTATCAAGTAGCGTGCGATTTCGCTCGATCACGCGTATTATATAAATAATTATACATAAAGGAAAAACAGAACGAGACACAAGGGCAAAGAGCGCGTTGGAAAAACGGTCGAGATGTCACGAAGCGATGTTTTCGAATTAACCCTAAATAAGAACTTCGAGCAAAGGCGTCGTTTTGTAATCTTCTAAATTTTAAAACAAACCTAAGTCAACAAAAGGCAGAACGAACGAACATTTGCAGAAAAGTGAACGTTCTCCAAAGTTTGCGAGCAAATAATGACAAACAGACCGATGATGAGGAAGCGAGCGAGTACTGTATCCATTTACCGCGTTCCGCTGTTCTTATAGAAAGCTTTCGGTTTTATCAGTGAGACCAGAGAAAAAAAAGAATAAGCTTTGGTCGTTTGTGGTGCTGAATTGTTTTTGCCGCGGCCGCGCGTTCACGGTGTAATCCAAGCTTAGCCGATAAAGCTTCGTTATCCGCGACGTCAGAATTCATCGCGGGATTACTCGTTTGAAATACCGAAGCTCGTTGGAAAAATTAAAGAAACGAAGAGAAGGGTCGTTGGCCGCGCATTAGATTGAAGTAGCCTTAGAGCTGAAATGAGATCGATCTTTTGTCTCTGCTCTTTTTAAGCTGCGAGTCCGAGGCTTTTACGCGTCCGGGATTAATTAAAAAGAATGGTTTTCGACAACGAGGGAATTCTCTCTCTCTCTCTCTCTCTCTCTCTCTCTTACTTTCTACCTCTCTCTTTCTCTCTCCTCGCTCTTTTCCAACCCCATACGACGACAAGAGTGGACTTTTTAATTAAAAAATTTTTCCAAGCGCAGCGCATGTGTCTCTGATTTTTCCACGTAGAACTTGATTTCTCATCGTTATTAAAACTTGCGCGAAAACAACAAGCGACAGCTTTCAAAATTGGCTTAAATCCTGAAATTCACCCATCCAGTAAAACGCTTCTTTTATTTCTTCCATTCCTTGTATTGTTTTTTTTATAATAAAAGCGTATTCACGAATAATTTGAAATGAAAATTTTTCAAAATTTATCTTTGGTAGACGACGATATTCTGCGCACAAACATTATTCAGCTTACCAGTGTCAACGAAATTTAATATGAAGCTTTTGAGCTTTTTAATGAAAGCTTGCATTATTTGATGATAATAGTATGGCAAAAAAATAACATAAAATAAAAAAAATTGTTACGTATGGTTGGACTTATCTGTACAGACAGCGGAGTGCAGTAAATTGCAGATAATGATATTTTTTATCAAAAGTGCTCAGCGAGGTCCATACTGACTCAGTCACTTACTCATCATTCACTCACTCAGAACATCTACTATGAATATGTGCTTTATATAGTTTAACAAAATAAAAAATTGAAAAAAAATTTGCCTATTATTGTACACTTCTTTTTATACCTTGATCCTGTTTTGTATGCTTTAAATTTTTTTTCAGAGCCTCGGTTAACTGTAGCACTAATAAAACAAAGTTACAGCGAATGAAACATGATGTTTATTATCAATAATTCGATATAAATTTATTTAACTTATTAATTAAATCACACAAAACCATTTAGGCGTCTATTAAATTTTAATTGCTCGACGATTTAGCTTAAAAATAAAAACACCTAAATGATATTCAGCACGCAGTAAACAGTAATCTTTTAAAATGATTACAAAAATAAAAATAATAATATCTATGTAGAGATTTGAGTATCCTAGGGAATGAGTAAATCGGTCTTCACTCGAGCGCGCTGCAGCTTTGCTTCGTCGTCACAGGTAAGATAAAGCTGAAGCTCCTCGCACAGAACCTCGGCAGCGTCATCCAACATTTGCTGCTTTTCCAGATCTATTAGTTCCGGGAAGTCCTCTCGCATCAATTGAACCATCGTAGAGAGCTGACCGGCCGACCTGTCGAGACAAAACGGGACAACATTGCAATTGATGAAACTGCAAGCATTAGCGGCAGGTCGGTAGAGGTCCAAGTCTACCTTTCCAATTTCTAAAAAAATACCTGGCTGATAGGAAAATCTTCAAGTCGCCGTCGTCCGTAGTCTGCAGCACCTCGAGAATGCAGTACTGCAGAGAGCCAATGTCGCGCACCACGCAAACTTTGTCAATCTCTTGGAATGCATATGTTTCCAGAAACTTCATCAATCGTTTGCCTGTATTAGAGTTCGGGTTCATGGGCAATACCACCACCTTATCGACTGACAGCGCCTAGAAAATTCCATTTATTAACTTTGCCATTCGAGCGTACATCGACCGAAGCAGAAGATTACGTACCTTGAGCGTCAAAATGCTGAATTTGAATTGGTCAAAATCCACGGCACAACTGCCGTCGACGACAGCGATTGGCTCAAGCTTAACGGACGGCACGGGAGTTTGAAAGAGTTTGCCGTCGAACTCGCAGAATATGGTGCCGTGCACCTCGTGACACGTGTTGTCGGCGTCGAATGGCGGTAAATCGAAAACTGCCGTCGCTACCAATTCCTCCATCGAGTCGATGTCCTCCGCTAATAACCATAATCCATTGTCGAGCGTCCAGAATGCTGAAATGCCCGAGCAGTTGTCCTCGTGGCCTATCGGGCACATGTATAACGTGGGTTCCTTCAGCACGCTGAAAAAAAAAATTTTTCTTTAGTTTATGTACTTTTATCGCTAAAACAAACGTTCGCGTCGCAACGTAACTTCAGATATCCATGCGTGAGCTTGACCACCCGTAAACATCGCGATCGGCGTTGTCTTCAGGGGAAGGGGGGATCGGGAAAGAAGTCGAGGAAGAGAGAGGGCAGATGAAACCCAACTCTGAAGTCGATAAAGACTAACGGCGCTTTTATCAGCACCGATACCCGCACGACGCAAATGTCGAAGAAACTTATCGCAACAGACTAATGATTTCGCGCGCCGCCTGACTACACGCACGCTGCTCGTATCTCCCGATCACTCGAAAACTCTCCGGAGGGGGGGGGGGCGGAGAACGGACTTCCGCATACGGGACGCGTCCAAGTGATTTTTCCGAGAATTTATATCGGCAATGGGATTGTCACCAAGCGCGCGTGTCCGTGGGATTTCTACTTGTTTGCGAGACAACATGAAACTCTCAACTTTTTCTTTTTTCCTTTCACTTGATTCGCAAAATTCACTCAATGCAGATTATTTTTTCTTATTTCGGCAATGGATTACCAGCTACTGACGATTTGGGTCTCCGGGAATTTTGGGAGTTTTCAGAGCTTTCGCGCTCTTTGGATGTACAGTCGACAATATTCACCGAACGATATACGAAATCATGAAATAAATGTACATCGCGAAAAAAATCTTAAATTGTTAAACGATTTTCATTATAAGTACTCTTAATATGAATAAACTTTTTTTAACAAATACAAATTAAATATAAAGATAATTATTTTTGTCAGACAAGGAAAACAAAAGCTTCGTCATAAATACATGTCGCGTCCTAAAATCCTATAAAATCGGCAAAATCAAGCTCCCACAATGAAAGGGAACTGAAAGAAGCCAAGATTATAGAATGCTGACGATGTCAGATCTCCTTCTGCCTCGCTCTCTCTCCTCGAAAAGCATCGGTAAAAAAGCCACGCAAGCAGGAGGGAAAACGAAAGCATATGCGTGTACCGTTTGATCCCTTGAGGGGGTTAAAAGGCATGTCGGCATATATAGACATCACTCGATTATCTCGCGCGCGCGTTTCTCGGAAGGAAGTAGAAAGTCAGATAAGGCCTTATAGCGAAGGCGGTCGTCGACGATCGATAAGCCCCTGCCGAAAACTGCAAAGCGCCCTGTGGCCAGATAAAAACTTATCGGGTGTGGGCGTTCGCGCTAACTGATCTCGCGTGCCCGGCTAATGTACTCTGCGGGAACGTTTCATTGTTTTATCGCCGAGACACAGAGAGCGTATTTAGCCGATGCCGCGATCCTATCGAGAGAATGCGCCGTAATTTCAGGGAGGGCTAATTCCTATTTGCGAATGCACCGTTGACGCGCGGTCGAGTCGTAAACGTCCGGCGCTGCGCATATTTGGAGGCTCTCAAACGCGAATTCTTTTTTTCCTTTTACTTTCGCGTGTATTTACGTGCGCGGGACAAGAAAAAAAAAAGAAAATAAAAGACGAGTTCCGAACAACGGTGCGCTCTTGAATGGAAGGAGAAAAAAAATTGTGCAGCGTCGCGGATGAATAATGCGAGGCATCAGAGTAAAAAAGCGGCTTTGTTGGGAAAGAGAGAGAGAGAGAGAGAGAGAAAGAGAGAAATTACTATATCAGCGGTAGCATATTTCAAGCGAGGCCGAAAAAAGAAATCACACAGAGAGACTTTTATCGACGTTAGCAGCGTCGACGCGATGATCCTTTGTGTGTGCTTGCGCATTATCCTACGTGGCCATTACATTCTCGACGCGAGCCAGCGAGCTGTCGCGTGTCGACTTTGAAACTGCGTATATATTTAGGCGCAGAAGCTCGTTACGGCCGCGCACCGTGTCACGGCAGCGCGAGCGCGGTTTCGAGCTCGACGGCCGAAGCTCCATGCGAAAATTAGAAAGCGCGCTGTTACTCCGACGACCAGCTGAAATTGAGCGGAAAACAATCTAAACCAAATCAATTTTTCACGCTGTATCTAATATCCCTACGATTTCGAACGCATCGCGCATTTCGTTTTCTTTTTTTATTTTTTTGTTTTTCATCGAACGACCGTTCAATCGTAACGAACCGCGTGAAAATGAGCAGTTTCCGCCGATAAACCGGAAATTAATTTCCAGGAGATATTTTTTCCAACGAGGAACAAAAAAAAAACACGCATACACAATAGCCGTCGATTATGCAGCCGTGCCCATGCAGATATACACACACATACACACACACATAAAGCGAGGCATCGCTAGTGCGAGCTTGTCAAATAAATCGGCGCCAGTAGCAGCCAGGAGCTTTTGTGCTCGTCACGATTTTTACGGCTCTCTGCTTTGCCGTCAGAAAAGAGGAAAAAAAAGGCGACGGGGGAGAGCCGCGGTAATTAGTCGGCGACTGGCGCGCGTCTCGTTTTCCGATACTCGCGCTATTGTGTCCTCTCGCGAAGTGCTCGATTGCGAAAAAAAAAAAAAAAAAAGAAAAAGATTCTCAGAGCTCCGCGCACACGATCTTGTGAGTCAGAGTTGGGTTACCGGACGACTCGAGTACGCGCGCGCGCGCGAGCCACGTCGCTCTTCGACAACGCGATTCGAAACGTTGTCGCGTTTTAATTATTATTGCAAAGTATGTTGAGGCCCTTGCATTGTCTCTCAATCGTGAGCGCGCGTGGATCGTCGCGTGCGTTCCGTCAGAAGTGGCGAGTAGCGATCGCGGCTCGATTGTGAGAAAACGTAGAATTAGAAAAACCGTGGAAGGCTCAATGCCGTAAGAAGCTCTCGTGCAACGCGTTTTGCGTTTGTCTCTTTTCCGTGTTTTTTCGTCGTGCGTTCGAGCCCAAGAAGGCACGTTGCGAAGCTGCCAAGCACGCGTCGCTAAAAGTCCGAAAGTGACCGCCGAGCGCTTGAAAAATTTCTTACGACGGGCCACTGCCGAGTCGTACTAGCCTGTCGCGCCGCAGTCATACCCGAGCCAAAGACCGAGCGCGCTCGCGTGTCCGTACAAATTTAGAAGCGGCACTCTCGGGCCGAAGTGCGTGGTCGCCTCGCTCTCTCTCTCTCTCTCTCTCTCTTTCACTCGCGCGCGCGAGGATATATATATTTCTGCCACGCCGAAGGCAATCGAGTTCCAATGGTCGTCGTCCGTTGGGCCGTACGTGCACGCGACGGCGCCATTCGACGATGCTGATCGCGAGGTGCAAATTGTCATAATGTCAAGCCGCGATGGGATTGAGCAAGTAGTAGCGCGCGTGGCGTCTCCGATTTCGCGCCACTGACCTGTGCGTGAGAGTACGCCAATTTTTTTTTTATCTTCAACGAGGCGAGCTTCGGGCGTCGTTTGGCTAATCGACTCCGGACGGTGCCGGCTTTTCACGGGAAACATGAAAAACCCGGCGATACGGCAGCTAAGGTTTGAGTTCGCGATCCGTGGACAGAAATAACCCATTGACTTGGCAAAGCCGTCGACAAGTCTTCATCCGAACGAGTGTTGGGAACCGCGCGTTCAACAACCCGGTCGCGACAGACCAGCGCGGCATCGTAAAGGGGAACGCGAGTGAAACGGCAGGAAAGAAGCGGCACGACCGAGTAGCGTTCCGGTTGTCTCGGCGTGCAAATCTCATCAATTATTACAGAGCGCCGATGTGCCGTGCACAAAGTGCGCGCACGAGAGAGAGAGAGAGAGAGAGAGAGAGAAGCCACTATCTGCGGCGCGTGCGCGTCGCCTTGCCAAACGGGGGATCGACCGACGACTGCGCGGCCGAGTCTCTCGCGAGAGGGGAAAAAAAGCGCGTGCGGCCGTGTGGACGCGCGCGTTAGGCACGATTATTTTTGGGAGCGAGGCAAGTCGAGCGAAGGGTAGAGATGCGGCGATGCGCGCCTTTGCGATCGCCTCGACAACGCGTAACGACGACTGGCCCATGGCGCTGCCGAATCGGAGAGGGCAACTCGGCGAGCGCGGCTCGCCGCTGCTGGAGGGCATCTCCCGCGGTGCGCGCCTCCGGGAGACGACAGTCGCGGAGACTTGCACGTTCGACGGTGGCCACGGGATTGGAGAGCACATTATTCAAGCTCGGGCAATGTTTTGACAACCCCTAGGGCCGCGAGGGCAGGGAGATAGGTCCGAGTGGGAAGCTCGGCACGCTCTCGAAACAACAACGACGCTTCGAGAAGTTTGACGCTTCCGCGTGAATAATGAAAAAGCGCAGGAATACAATGAGCATTGAAAACGACAAGCCGGACAATGCGGAGATGCGAGAGCCAGAGGGCGAGAAATGTGGGCACGGAGCGCAGCGTCGAAGGCGCGCAGGCGCGCGCAGCGAGGGAGAGAGAGAGAGAGAGAGAGAGCAAGGCGTCGAGCGGGCCGCCGGTCTCGCACGGCAGCAGCAGCAGCGACGGCGGCGACGGCGGCGTCAGTCAGTCGGCCGTAGAATGTCGCCGCGGTGGAACGTGCGCTGAAGAGACCCCGTGCACGGCTCCGCCAGCACCACGTGTTTTTGTTGTCGAGTGGCCGCAGAATCCCGAGGATGCTCGGTCGCCCGTCGACCGGCGCTCTTTGAGGGAACGTTGCCCGCAGTCACATGCCAGCCGGCGAAAGTGAGTAGCTCCCACGGAGTGCACGACCGGGGGAGGGGAGTCGCGTCGCCACGATGTTGCAAGCTCCGCGACAGGGTGTGGACCGTACCTTGCGATCCGCAGGTATGAATGGGCGATTCTTGCTCTCCCTCTTGCTCGTCTTCCTCCCGTTGGTGGCCGAGCGATTTGGCAACCGAGAGGCGAGTCGAGAGGACCGTCTGGCGGGATACGTAACTCTTCGCCAACTGGGGAAGCCACTTCGGGCAGTCACGCGCGAACGAGGTTTTCTTCTCTTTTTGTGCAATCGAATAGAAAAGTCGCTCGGCGGAGAGGCCGCGTTACATAAAAGCCATCTCCAGCGCGCATATCTGCGTGTTTGCGTTGCCACGATCAATTTTTTAATCACTGTCTTGACTCGTACGCCGACTCGCGGTTCGAGCGATACGCACTCGTGCGTTCGACAAGAAAAATCGCAGTTCATTCATTGTCAACGAAACAGTTATATCTCGCTGGTAGGATGTGTCGAGGAGACGGTCAGATAATTCAAATAATCGCATCCTTCTTTCGAAAGAGTGAGCGAGAGAGAGAGAGAGAGGTGATGGAGTTTCAATCGTGAAAGTGTGTACAGCAAATCCATAACCCGATTAAATAGAATAGGGCGTGCAGTTCGATTGACAGGTGTAACGAGGGCGTCGAAGGGACAGCAAATCGCGTGTAAAGAGCGCGTTGTTGTGACGGCCGAGCGACGCGCGGCGAGTCGACAACGTCGCGCAATGAATGTTTAATATTTCTCGCGAAACGCGTCGTTTCTCTCTCTCTCTGTCTCGGGCGAACGAAGGATTCAACGTCGAACCAGCCACGAAGCTGTCCGTTATAAAGTCCGCACAGCCTCCTTTGAAGAGGACTACGACTAAGAGGCTGCGCGTGCGGTCGACAGAAAGCCAATAGTCGGCGTTTTCTCTCATTATTCCCCGGCTTTTCTGCCCGGCGCGCGATAAGTGGACAGGCAGAGCAAAGGATTACCAACCAGACGTGACGAAAGGGCAGTTTTTCGATCACGAGGAGGATCTATTATAGCGGCTAGATTGACGGGTTGGGATTTATCCGAATACGCTGCGGCTTTGCTTGATTTTGCTTCAGTTCCCACCGTGCGCAGGCAACGTGTTTTCTTTTTTTTTTTTTCTTTTTTTTTTTTTCATTGCCGCTTTGCTGCTCGCCGACGCGCCGGTTTTCCCATTCGCCGGAATCGCGAGCGGCATTTCGCACGAGGTGGAGATCGAAAAGCAACGGGTGACGCGGAAGAGTGGGGTTCGGGTTTCCATTTGTTTTTTTTTACGACGTTTGCAGAGGCGTTACGCTTTGGAAAATCGCGCAACTGTATAGCGGCGTTTACGAAGCCAATATTAGTTTTCCGTCGTGACGTCGCGAGCGCGTACGATCTATTTACCGTTTCGCCGACCAATTGAACGTCAATCTCCGAAAGGAAAAGCCAAAATAGTGGCAAAAAGCGCGGGAAAGGGAAGGGCAAACTTTCGCCGGAGTATGAACCCAATTAGCCGATAATGCATTCTGGAAACTCGAGGGCAATAATCGCACCAAGTCCGCGGCGAGTTCTAACCCTCCGCGTCGAAAACGATATAGATCTATAGGCGTATAAGCGAATTAATCGGCTATGCGCTTGGAGATACGCGAATGAATATGCAAAACGATTCAGTTGACTCTCTCGCGCGTCTCTCGTAGGCTAAATGGCCTTCCTTACCGGCTCGAATCGATCGTCGTCGCGAGGAGGCGGCTTTTAATTATCCACACTCCCCTCCTCGCGTATATATATGCGAAAAGGACACGATGAGTAATTAGTTTCCCTTCTCCGTCCCGTCCGAAATCTGTTTACACTTTGCTGCTGTCGCGGAGAGAAATTACTTTTACAGCGTAGTTTCCTCCCCTAAACGCACGCGGATCTTCGGTTTTATCCATCTCGTGTTTTTCTTGTGTTGTCATTCGTTGGTAAAATAATCGAGCGGCAGCATCAAACGAGAGGCTCGCACATGAGCGCACGCAAACGAGAGCATTGCCATGCGCGAATAATTCAATTGAGCTTGGTGTAGCAAAACAACAATTCATTAAAATATATATAATCTTGTAATAGTGCGATTTCGAAAATTACATCTGCAGCGCTGTGAAATCGATGCGCAACCCCGCAGTGCCACTAGCTCTCTCTCTCTCTCTCTCTCTCTCTCTCTCGATCTCTACAAGTGAATACAGCGACCTCGAAATAGTCAAGGATGTGAAATGCAGCACGAATATCTCGGCAAATTTTATTCGACACGCGGACGATAGCGTGACGAGCGAGGCGCTCGGTGGGAATTGCATCGCCGTCTGCGCGCCACTCGTCGGCGATTCTCGAGTCTCGCAATTACGAAAAAAAAGCCCCGCGAGTCCACGGCGCCGGCGATGCGAAGTTCAGCAGCAAGCAACGCCGGCGACAAGTATGCACGCGAACCGGCCGCGCGTATACATATAGGTTTCAATTAGCGGCTCGCGCGCAAAAGGGAAAATGCCGTCTCGCTCGCGTCGCGTTAATCGACACCTTGGCGCGCTGATTCCCCCCATTAGCGCCTCGTCGATCGACCGGAAGGGCACGACGGGCACCGCGTATCGCGCGAGTCGCTCGACGACACGGTCCGAGCGCCGTCGGCGCCGCGGACCACGGCCTCGGTCGTAATTTCACGCGCGCGGGCGCGAACGCGACGGAGTACTGTTTCGCGGGCGTACGCCCGTTCCGATGCCGCGCTGGCGCATTGCAGCGTTGATTTGGGCTCGTCGGCTTTCCGCCGAAGAGACCGCGCGCAACCGCGCCGCACTTGCACGTTTTTCATTTCGAGATCACTTCCGTGATACGCGCGCTGTTTCCATGACTCGCCACGCGCGTTGCGTATTACGACGCGCGCGAATCAGCCTTGAGATTCAATCGGAAGTCAGTTTTGTTCTCTCTTAGAATTTCGTCGGGCTCATCTATCTCTTCTATTATGCGTGGCTCGAGGCCAATTAGCGCGTGGATACGTGACTACCGTGCCTGAACAGCCGATCCGCAACGAGTGCGTTTGTCCGTCGATGATTAACGAAATTCTCCATCGACGCGCGCTTCAATGACGAAGAAAAAGCAGACCGGAAAAATTCGAGCATCCATAAGTCATTCAGATAACAAGGCTTATTTAGAACGACAGATGACTTTAAGCAATCGAATGCACGAAAAGTCCGCGAATGGCGCTAATACTCATGTGCTTGTTTCCTTTCACTTTCTAGTTTCCATGGAGACTGTTATTACTTGCTTGAATTTTGAAATTTGATTTGTCAAACGCGCATATCGTTATCTTGTTGTCATCTACTTTTATCCGTTACTACCGGGATTTGCTAGAGAGATTGATGAAAATCAATACCAGCAGAGTTTTTGCGGTATTTATAACATTGCGCAGGTAACGTTCAAATTGTAAAATAAAATTATTGTCGACCGGCACTGCTTAACCAATCCTTGAAAGACATTTACAAATTGTCAAATTTCTATTCATTTCGAATTTCATTTTGATATGCATCCTAACGCAATGCTGTGCTATAAAATTATATATGATTTTAAAAAACTCAGCCTTTTTCAAATAGGTTACGAATAATAAGACGTTTTTTTTTATTGGAGTCTCAGTGAATATGATTTCAATTTAGCTACATAATAAATGGCATTACCATCTAGCGAGGTTTCTTATTTATTTTTTCTTCGAGTAAAGCGTTACGCATATTCAAGCGATGTGAAATATTACAGTTACCGTAAGTATCAAATAAAATTATAGTAGCTATTCGAGCATCCATAAGTTATTCAAATGTTGCATTTTCATATGCGTCGCCGGTGAAAAAGCCCGTGAGAAAGAGAGAGACCAAAAGGGAGAAATATCGAACGATAATCAACGGTTATGCATTATTCACGGGGGATCGCGATTCCATTAAAACTATGCGTTTGCGCGCTGAAACAAAAATGAAAATCCCGCAATTTTCCTTTCTCCCTTTGCTCGTCGAAAGTGACGACCGCGTTGGCAAGGGGGAATGTCTATTTTCTCTTTCGACGAGGAAAGCTCGTCAGAGATCGGTCGGTTCGAGCTAATTGAAGATGAAAAAAGAAATTCTATTGCCATTCCATCGATTCCCTCGCTCCTCTGCCCTCGCGCCGGGCAGCTGCGAATTGGCGAGAGGTTTGCATTTTCGCTTCGTAATTATCGATACTCGAGGAGAATCGAGGGGAGAGGAGAGCGGAGCCCGCAACTGCGAATGCTCGTGGGCTTGGACTCGGGGCCGCGAGGGAAACGCGGAGCTTGCCCGTGAACCGTCACTAATCCAGGGCGAATGTGTTGCAGTCCGTTATGAGTACAAGAGGCGACCAGTGCAGGCATCTCTCAGGGAGAAGATGACGCCACGCAGGCACGTGCTGTCGGCGTTGCGTCGTGCCCTCGTAGCGGCGGCGGTGCTCACCCTCGTGATTCTCGGGCTATCCAGTCAGGAGCGCGGGGCCAGCAACGGCACCAACACCAGCCTACTGCCGCGGCAGCACATTAGCCTCGAGGTAATTGCCCTCCTTTTGCTCTTCTTCTCGGTCTCTCGCTCGCAAAAAACGCCGGCGGCTCCTCCATCTCTTGCCGGGGAATTTTGGCGGCGAGTCGCGTGAGCTTATCCAGAAATTCGCGGGAAGGTATGGGCTGATTTTCTAGACAGCGACGCGTCCGCGCGCGAACTGGTAACCAAGATAAAGCTCTGAAGTTGTACCGAGCGGAAAGTAATTTGCAGTAGTATTATATTCGTAATCAAAATTAATGCGCTGCTGTGACCGAGGCGTCTGCAAAGTCAGAGCAACTATATTCGACGTGCGATCCCTTTGGGTTTACAACGAGGAAAGTGGGCAAAGTGAGCGAAGAGAACCATACTGATTGCGAGATTCTATCGATCCGCGCTCGTTTCGAGGCGCGAAGCGCTAAAAAAAAAGGAAGGTCGAAGCCGCTGCGGTTCGCTCGCGTGGCGCCCGCGAATCGAATCGCATTTCGCACGGAAATTTGTAATTAGGCCGACCAACTTCGCGGCGAAACATAAAGGTACGCCTTCGCTGGGGTAAGGCGCGCGGCGCGAGGAAGCGACGGTCTTCGGCGCACTTGCCGAGAAATGCGCCCAATGCGACAGCGACTTTACTCACGGTCCCGAAGTCGCGCATTAATCTTCCAGCGCTTCCCTCTCTCTCTCTCTCTCTTTCTCTATTTCCGATGATCTCTGGCGACGGGCTGCGCTCCGCTCTCGCGTCTTCCTCGCCCTGAATAATCGTGGCGTCGCCCCAAGTTAGCTCGCTCGGCGCTTCTTCCGCCGGCGCTCGACGATCGATCGTCACAGGTGTTGTCCCACTGTTACGTAACGCGAGATGGACTTCCGCTTCGCGCTTCCCTCAAATTTTTGTGTGAATTTCGTCGCTCGTCCGGGATTCGCGCGAGCGAACGAGAACCATTCGCGCTCGGGCGTTGCCGATTTTCCCGAACAATGGAACGATCGATTTTCCTCCGGGCAGGAGAAAATGTCAAACAATCAGTCAGAGCAAACAGGGCTTCGTCCACGTGATTTGAGCGCGCGTAGACGAGTAGTGGTAAAAAAAAAGCTGTTTCACCCTTGTGACTTTTCCATCAAAACTTTTCCACGCCCGAGATAAATAGAGAGAGAGAGAGAGAGAGAGAGAGAGAGAGAGAAAGTCCGATCGGATCTACTACGTAATAATTGGAGCACACAGACACACTGCATTTTTTACTGTTTGCACCTGTCGGCAGCCGCTAAATTATTTGTCGCTTGTGATCCCTTAGCGCTTTTTGACGAGAGAGAGAGAGAGAGAGAGTGTGTGTGTGTGTGTGTGTGTGTGTGTGTGTGTGTGTGTTTAAGGGAAAACAAGCTACAAAGTCGGGATTTTATCCGTGTGATTAGAGCGCGTTTGCTTGCCCGGCGACTCGATGAGTGCGGATCGGGAATGTTTCTCGACGGCCAACCGGGAAAGCAGTCCTCGGCGACTACTCGCCTCGCCAATCTTTCCAGCGAGAGCGCGCGGTGGCTTCGATTATCGATTTCCCGCCAAGCCCCCCCCCCCCCCCGCAAATAAACTGGCACGCGCGGGTCTACCGCAGGGCGCGCGTTCCTGTTCGTCCGCCCGCTCTCGCCCCTGTTTTCCCGCAACGCGATCGCGATTGCGCGTTCGCGCGTACCACTGCGCTCGCGAATCGAGAGGCGGCCGGTGGCCCTTACGCGCCGCGCCCCCCGCGACCAGTGGGTTTGCCGAAAGAGAAAAGGCTGCGAGTAAGTAGGCCAGTCGCTATCGATGTAACAGATCCGCGCTGCTGGGCTGTGTGTGTGGTGCGCGCGGCGCGGCGATAGTCCCTCTATTGCTTTCATCGGCTCGCAGGCCGTTCTTTTTTTCCACGATACATCTCGCCGCCGCGCGGCTGTTGTCTCCGGCGAGCTTTCCTTTGTTGGCAGCTCTCTGCGAAAGGCTTAACGAACGGCGTGCCTGCGCAAGAGCTGCTCGCTCGTTTCTTTTATCTCGCTCAGAGATCGGAGCAGTTCGATTCGACGAAAGCTCTGGGTCGAAGAGTATGGGGGGGGGGGGCAAAAGTCGCAACCCGTGAATTTCCACAAAAGCTCGCGAACGCGCTTGTGATTAGTAAAGGCGCGGGACGCCGGGAATGCAAACGTCCCGTCTGCGCGTATGACACCGGGAAGCGGTGGTTGCGCTCGAAGGCAGCCCGATATTTTCCCGATCAGCTTGCATCGCCACGTCAAGGATTCAATTCTTGCAGGGATTTATGTTTGAACGACGATCCTTTGACAACGCGAAATCAGAGCGGAGCCTTAGCTGCGACGAGAGAGAAAGAGAGAGGAAAAATATACACTACGACGAATCGTTAGGGAGAGAGGAAAAAGAATCGCGATTGCACGTATATGTATATTTATATATATGGACGCATTGCTCCAGGGCGGACTCGCGGGGAAATCGCTCGAGAGCTAGTGAGGCTTGAATTTTCGCCATTCGACTTTTATTTCGACTCGAGTTATTGGAATGCGAGCGCGGGACGACGGCAAATTCGATTTTTCTTTCTCGCTTAATGCGCGCCCTCCTCTTCCCCGCGAGCGTCGAGTTCAGACGTCGTTATCTCCCCGCGCGAAGCCAAGTACGAAGACAGCGACAACGCCGAGCCCGGTCGAGCAAAGTAAAAGCCCCGTTGCGGCGTACTGGGCGTACGTGTTCCGGCGACGCGAAGCTCGCGGCTTGGCTGTAAAAGTGTCGCCGCGAACGAAGGTTACGGGCGTCTAAATGTTTGACGAGTCCGCGTGCAGCCTCGCGCGCCGCACTTGCAATCGATACCGCGGTTACGCAGCTCGTCGCCTTTCGACTTTCGACGACTCGCCGATGAACGTGCTGATTCGCGAAGCGCGCGTAAAGGGCGCCACGTGGCTGGGCGTGCGGTGCGATCTCGCGAGGCCTTTAGTCGCGAGCGTGACCCTCGCGGCGACGAGTCCATCTCGGTGGCTTCGAAACGCGCGCGATCGAGGCCGCGCTATTCTCATTGCCAAGAGGCGCAGCGAAGAGCGGAAGAGCGAAACTCGCGGCGGCTATTCGCTCGCGGACTGCGCATTTCCACGGTAATCGCGGCACTCGCGTGCGCGTCGCCGGGTGCCGTCGCGGTGGAGCGGGGCGTCGCTCCGATTGGAGGCAGTCAAGGGTAACGACTCGCGGATGAGAAGAGAGGAACAGCGCTTTAGCGTCCTTTACGTAAAGGATGGCGGCGCGCGGACGTAGCGCGCCTTTACGTAACCGCGACGCGCGCATCCGATACATATTATTCCGCTTAGCGGCTTCCGCGCGGCCAGGCCGATGATAACGGCGCGCCGAGAGGGACGAAAACAGAGATGGTACGCGACGTCAAGCGCGAAATCGAGTCCCCACCACCTTGACGAATGGAAAATACGAGGCCGCGGCCGGAGGATAAATACCGGTCTCCGCGCGACGATTGCGCCGCTCGACCGCGGGCGCCGCTGCTCGTGCGGAGCCGGGACCGTTGCCGATCTGAATTTCGCGAAATCACGCGGAATACTCGCTTGCGATTACTCTTACGAAATGTGCGGCAAAACTCCTCTTTCCTGTCCGCTTTGATTCGATCCAGGAAAAAATAAAAAACAAGGCGAAAAACTCGCTGCCTTCGGCTAAACAAAAAAAAAAGTGATTTACGATCGCCGTACACGCGAAAGAACAAACTGCTTATCGTCGGGTAATAAAACAAGAAAAAATACGCCGTTTGAAGATGGCACGACGAGAAGTAGAAAACAGCATCGCTTACAATTTTTTTCCTGTGTTAGCACCGGGACAAAAAGAGCGCGAGCGCAGACAGCTGATTATACTTTCCAAGTTGAAAGTTCTCTCATAGCAATCTCCTGTCCTTCTTTGTGTCTTTTTCCCTGTCCTCCCAAGTCGCGTCTACTTCATTTTACCTCCATTCGTTATTCCGTAGTTGGTCTTTTTCTGCTTTTCCAGTTAGTATCACTTCGTCAAGCTCTATTGAATCTCCCCCTCCTTTCTCTCTCTCTCTCTTTGGCTTTGCGTATCGCCGTTATCTCATTCAGTAAAATTGATTGGGGCCGCCACGAGTCATATGGCTCGAGCTTCAATGCCACGGAGATTGTAACGATCGAGCGGTTAAAATGCTAATTGCAGCTCGCGCGGAAACACTTTATGGCCGTTTAAATGGCTCGCGCTTCGAGTTGAGTCATCGTCGCAGAGCAAAACTCGGCTTAGCGCCGCGAAAAAAGAAAAGGAAAAAGGAAAAGAGTCCGGTCTGCGTCTGGATCACCGATTTACCTCCTCCTCCTCCCGCGACTCCTCGTCCGATAGCCTTCGATTTGCCAGGACAAAACAGGAACTGCAATAGTCCGTCGGTCCACGCCGTTCATCGCTCATTGCACGCGCTCTTCGCTCGCCTGCGTCCGTATCGTTCGACTGTTCCGTTCGGGTCGCGACACGCGAAAATCGACGTGGAAACGCACTACAGTAGGTCGCTGGCAACGATCCAGGCGCACTGCGACACAGATGGCAGAGAGGTTTCGGCACGCGGACGGCAAAGCGCGCCGTGCTCTTCTCTCCAAGATTACGGGGCGGGGATTAAGCGGCTCTCCGTCTTTATTCCGATGCGTCGTCGCGCGCGAGGGATCGCGGAGGTGTGGAGTCCTCGCGCTTGGCGCTCCTCACGGCTCGCGAGCCGAGTCGATCAACGGTGTAAGCTCGCTCCTTCCCGGTGCAATCAATCGTCGGCGTATCGGTCGCGTATGCCTCGCTCGACCTTAACCTTATCTCTCGCGATTCGCGGCGTCTTGGGCGCGACGGCCCGCTCGAAAATCGACACTCGTGTCGGCGGGCGGGGCAGTAACGAGCGTCGGGCCGCGCGCTGGTAAACTGGTGTAGCGCCAGTCTCGCGCGCTTCCCGCGCTTGGTTCGCGCGCGTGGGCGAGCCTAGCCGTCGGACGTTACAACGTGTGCGCGCGCGCATGTGTGTGTGTGTGTGTGTGTGTACGTCCGACAGCGCGCAACGCGGGGATATACCCACCTCCCCGCTGCGTTGTCGCGACGAGCAAATGCTTACCTCGCGACGGCAAGCGCGGTCAATTTGCCTAGCCCTCGAAGGTTATCAAATAGAGGCATCTAGAGAAGCCGCTGTTTGTGGACTTGTACGCGAGCGCTTCTAAGTAGAACGAGCGCGCGATGGCTATAGGTTGATGCGCTTACACATCGGAATCGCTCGCGTTCTGTGTCCCGTGGCTCTCGAGTCGATCATCGTCAGCGCGTGGTCGTCGCTGTCGTCGGAGCTTTTCCATCCGCTCATTACTCCAAAGCGGCCCCCCTCCCCACTCGCCATCGCCCCCCGGTCCTTCCTTTTGTTCCTTTTTTCCTTCATTTTTAATAATCGTGCCGGTGAAAACGAGATAAGTCACGTCGAAGGCCGACTTTTCGACAACAACGACGAAGAAAGCACTGAAAAAAAAGTAGTCTCTCGAGCTTCATAAATACCTTCGTTTCCCGCCTCTTTCGTAAATCCCTGAGCGAGAGAGAGAGAGAGAGAGTGCGGTGCAATTTTGGAGGGTTAAAAAACTTGTCAAAAAACGACGCGGCGGTCGAGGCGTGGCCTACTACGCTCACTGGCGAATCAATAAGCGGAAGCCGTGCGAGCGGTTTTCCCGACGTGGCCTTGACACAGCCGGCACGCCTAAATGGATCGGGACGCGGGTCGATTGATTTTACGCTGCACGCGAGCGGGCCGAGGCGGCGTGGTAAGGAAGTAAAGGGTAGCTCGGGCGGGAGACCACCTCGCGAAGTGTCTTCCAACTCGATGAGGAATCCGCACGGAGACTGTGTTTTTCTCTCGCTTGCGCCGCCTTCGTCGTCGACCGTATTCCTTTTTCCCTATTGTGCTTTCAGGTTCAACTCGCCGAGTTTGAAGCTCGATGCGCGCTCAAGAGATACGCATAGGCACTTGTCGCCGTCGAGTGGATCGTCGATGAATTCACTTCCACTCGAGGCCCTCGTGCGCAAGACGCTAGGCGGAGGAGATCGAGATGAGGCCTCGGGCGAGCGTGCGATTGATTATTTGCAAATTGAATGCGTCGCGTGAATAGAGATGAGAATCGGCCGGGATTTGCGTGGCCAATGCCTCACCGCGAAGCCGCTGAACCCTTGTGTCCAGTTTCGTCAGAAGCCTTCTCGCCGGCATCGATCGTCCAGTACGTTCGGTACCTCGCGAGGCGTCGCGCTAATTGCAACTGCTCTCCCGGCCCCGTCGTCGAATTGATCGCGCTAACTGCGCGCTCGTAATCCAAAGTCCAGCATTATGCAGTTGGGGCTTGACGCGCAGTTGCCAAACTGCGCCGCTTTCGCGCGCAGCCAAGGGAAAGAGCACCGCGCAGAGGCTTCGCGGACTAATTAGAGACGCGGCCTGACTGTGATTTAGCCGAGCTCGCTCGTGCGGGCCGGGTTCCTCGAGCGGGTTTCCCCCTTCCCCTTTCCGGTCGACGAGTCCCCCGCCGACACACGAGCAGAGAGCACGAGCGCCAACCTTGGCTTATCGGCAGGACTCGGCGGCGATGAGCGTGGAGGAGCGTCTGCTGGAGATGGACCGGCTGTCGGAGATCGAGCAGCGCATGCACGAGAGACGCAGGTACCTGACGGAGCGCTGCGCGGAGGAGGGCCTCGACAGGCCGGGCAACGACTCGCTACACCGGCCGAACGCCTGGGAGTTCCTGGTGAACCGTGAGCACCACCTCATCTGGTGCAACGTCTTCAAGGCCGCGTCCACCTCGTGGATGTACAACTTCAATCTGCTCGCGGGGTAAGTGTGGTCGAGCGGGCCGCAGCCGCGACGCAGCCGCGACGCAGCCGCTCTCATCGTGGCCTGTGCCCGCAGGTACAGCGCGCAGTTCCTGAAGGCGTCCAAGGCGGTGCCGGTGTCGCTGGCCCGCCAGAAGTACCCGAGGCCCACGGCCGAGGAGCTGGCCAGGTTCCTCAACGACAGCGTGAGCTTCCTCGTCGTGCGCCACCCGTTCGAGCGGCTGCTCAGCGCCTACCGGGACAAGCTGGAGCACAGCCTGCCGCACACCTTCCACAGCAAGCTCGGCTCCCACATCGTGGCCCACTACCGCGCCAAGGTGACTGCCGTCCTTGCTCGGGGAAGTTCCCGCGGCTCGACCAACCGATCTTACGGAAAATTCGCGTGGCGCTTGTACGGAGCGCCCCTTCCCCCTCTCTCCGGGATGAACGATTGTTCGATTGAGCCAAAAAAGAGAAAAAAAAAGTGCGACACGCGAAAGCTTTCGGAAAGCGGTTTCAATTTTTGAGACGGGCTCTTTGAGTCCTGCCTGAAAGCGAAGCTACGATTTTCCGGAAAATGGAAAAGTGATTAGACTAACTAAGAATATTTCTTTTTTTCTTTCTTTTTCTTTTCTTGGTTTGTCTCGTTTTCCACGTCCGTCGCACAGAGCCCGAAGAATGCTGGCAAACACGGGCCGAGGTACCCGCTGTTCGAGGAATTCGTGAGATGGCTGCTCTGCGAGTGGAAAGCTGGCCAAGAGCTGGACATGCACTGGACTCCGATCACCAATTTCTGCACGCCGTGCCAAGTGCGCTTTGATGTCATTGCGAAATTCGAGACGCTTCACGTGAGTGGCGAACCTGCTCCCGCTGATAGCCGCGGAATGCCGCCGCGATTAATTAGCGATCCCTGTTTTTTTTTTTTTTTTCTTCTCGTTATCGCGTCGCCGTGTCGGGATTATCAGCGATTCGACAAAGAAAGCTCCTACCCGAAAGGCGATCGCGAGCGAGCAGCGCGAAATCGGAAACGCAGCACTGGCGCGATCTGAAAAGCCGCGGATCGATGGGAGCGCTCTCAAAAGCCGCGCAGCCTCGGCGAGCAATCGAGCGGCGTGGCTTAGCCGCGGTGCGCGCCGCTTTCTTCCAACGAGCACGGCGGCAAGGGCTTCGATAATAAACGTCGCGGCGCTGAATTACCAAAGCTCCCTGGCGCGTCGTCCGATTATTCTCTTGCCGCCCCAGCCTCGTTTTCGCGTTGCACACGCCGAGCGCTTTGCCTTTCTCGAAGCTTAGCGCGTTGCACGTCGAATTAACGACACGGAGAAGTAGAAAAAATGTTCGCTCGCGATGCAATCGGAACGGCCTAGATCCAAGTAGACGGCGTATGACGAGGACTTGGCTTTTTTTTCTTCGCTGCGATTGCTCGAGTTAATCGAATTGTCTTTCGTAAAAGAAAAACGCTAATAACATTACTGCGATCTTGTAATTTAAGTCTCACTCGTATCGCATATCGATTCGATGTGGACGAAATATTTCGCTCTTATCTGCTCTGAATTTCCGCTGAGTGAAAATTTTATAGGCAGATTATCTTCTCGTTAATAACGAGAAATGTTCCTGAAATTTCACCGAAAGAATCAGAAAACAATTTTTGCTGGTTTGACTATTCCACCCTTAAAAGCTGACAGCAAATTTTCCTTCTTCTCTTCAGGACGACCAGAATTACCTCATAAAGCATGCTCGCGTGGGTCACATCATAAAACCCGAATGGAAAAATCCGACTCGGGGTGTCCAGACGAAAGACGTCGTTAAGCAATATTTCTCACAGCTTTCCAAGACGCAAATAAAAGAACTCTATGAAATGTTTAGGTTTGTTAACAAATCATCATCTTTATGACGTAAGGTAAAGTAGAGTAAGACAATTAAATTTAATTTCTTTTTTCGATTTCCAGGTACGATTTTGTTTTGTTCGGTTATTCCTTGACGGAATATCTGGAGAACGGACAAGACGAAGTAACAAAGTTAGTCTGCAAAACTAAATAATCTACTGCTTCTCCCAAGGTCACGACACTTTTTATAATTCGTTGAATTACAACCATCGAAAGCCTTGATTTTATTCTGATGCAGGTCAAGATAAAAATAAAACATACACATAATTACTACGGAGCTTGTAGAGCATTTGATTCAAGCAAGTTTTTCTATGTAAATATATTGTTCGCGCGACCCGCTCCTTCGAGCAAATTTGTATCGTTTGATATTGTTTATAAGTTTTTTAAGCAATGACTGTAATTTTGAATCGCTTGGAAACATTTTTAAAATAATATGATACATTGAATGAATATTAAAATTTCTATGTGTTCAACGAAACTTGTTCAGCAGTTTATTGTTTAATAGATTGTTTGAAAAAAAAATTAGTGCTTAAATTTGGTTATGAAATTTACGTCATTATACGCTATTGTGATGAATATAAGAGCCTACATGAAATATGATTGGGACACCAAAGATAAAAAGTTGTATTAATTAAGTATAATGAGATTTTAAAGCACGTTTTTTTAATTACTATTATAGATAAGGATACGGGATCATTTGTGATGCTTTGAATACTTAAAAATTTATTAACTGTTAATATTAGTATCTATATAAAAATAATCTTTTACTATAAACAATTTAGAACAATAATGAGTATAACTATATTGAAATAAGCTAAGATGTAAAGGTCAAATAAAAAGGAGCACCTATAATTCTGCAAACGAAGCAGAATTTAAATACATTATTTTTGTAGTTCAAAATTGTAAATCATCGTTTATACATTTGTGATATAAAACATGACGCTGAGAATGTTTTTTTAAAGAGATTAAATTTATCATTAATGGCTGGATTGAATTCAGCAGCATTGTAGAGAAAACAATTGTAAAACATTTTTTAATAAAAGCAAAATTATATTTGCTTCAAATATGAAAAACATAACACTACTTTAAAAAAATTTTTCAAATTGTACAAAAATTGATAATTTCTTGTAAAAGAAAATGCAGGTTCTAATTTTTTCCAAAAATGCTGCCAGTAATCTAGGTTGTAAAATTTTGCACTAAATGTATAGAATATAAATAGCTTTTTTACTGGTCAAGCAACAGATAAAATTGTTGATAAGTTTCTTATCACGCATCTCATAACTTGGAGTATTCAGTATTGTAATAAAAGTTTCATTCTATCACAAGAATTGTATCAAATAAAATCAGAATGAAAAATATAAGCAGAATTCTACATGAATTGAACGAGTTGAAAAATTTTAATTGTCCAGGTTAAATATTTATTTCCGAACATTGATCATTTTTTATAAAGTAAAAAAAAAAATATACTTATGAAATATAAAAAAATATTTGTTTCACTGATAATGAAATCTAATTGTCTTAATTTATTTTGTTCCTTGTTAATATGTATCATATAAGATACATCGAATAAATCTTTCAAGTTATTTAATATTTTAAGTATATAGTGATATCAAAGCCTTATAATTTGCATACGAAACATATACTTTCAATGAATAATTTTCCAATATGTATTACTTCAATTATAAAAATAAAGTATAAAATATTTTCTTTGTTGAACAATCTTTAAAAATATAAATTATACAGAAATTTCTTACCATGTGGTAGTGCTCTTTATAACTACTCCAATCACCCATTTATCATCAACAATACGCTGCCAAACATCTTTTACAACAATTACTCTTTGCTTTTCAAAAATCTTATTCCTTCTCTTTTTTTTTCTGTTTTTAATAACTGGTTCACCAGTACTGGAGAACAACTTTAAAGACAAAGGAATATAGAATAAACCAAAATTTATAAAAGAAATAAAAATATTACTTACATCATTATCAGAGTCCGTCAAATCAAACAGCTCATCTGCTCGATAAGCTGCTTGGTTGGACAAATTTGATAAAATCTCTTTTGTAACACTGTCAATAATTTCAATATTATTAACCGTTTGGTCTATTTGACTTTGTACAGCATTCAATTGTATAGATAGGTACTCCTGTACCGGATTAATTTGAGAAGTCTCTTTCACTGATTTTAATGGAGTTGTTTTAGTAGAGTCTTTATTATTTTTATCATCTAAAATTTGAATTTCTAAATCGTCGTCTATCAAAATATCACAAATTTCCATTTTTTATGAAAATTTTCACAATTATTTACGTATAAATAAATAAATTAAATGTTTGCCGGTATGTTTTGAGGCGATCACAATACATCTGTCCTATGTTCAAGTGTTGGGAGATTGGTTGACTCAGCTGACTGTAATGTTTTAGAGCGTGCCAGTAGCGATACTAGTTCGAGCGCCCCGTCGTGGCCAGTCGAGGCTTGGAGAGGGGCAGTCTGTCGTTCAATTTTCATTCGATGTAAACTTTGTTTGTTTTTGTTTTAAGGTATAAATATATTTTTTTCGCATCTGCTATGAAAAAGATTATTAAAAATTTTGTTTCAATAATTAATTTTTTTTTTCATTTTTAGATATACTTTTCACTCTGTTGAATTATCTTTTTCCCACTCAACTTTTTTATTTCAAACTCACATAAGTCATATATGCACACATATGACGATAATTTAATAATTACACTATTATAGCAAATATCTATATCCTAAACTATTTACTTATGTCTGAACCCTTACGCTTTCTGATAAACATATGTATAGAACTTCTTAGCTCTATTTTTGCCGTCTAGATTCCATTGCTCAATCCAATTTCTTTTACGAGTGTCATCAAGCGCATTTCGCACATTCATTTCTTGCTTATGTTATTATTTAGTTTGATGTATGAATCACATCAAAATTATTACAGGCGTTAAAAATTCTATAAAATGTTACATATATAAAGTAATTCAATGATTTGAAATGTTGAACAGCTATCGATGTTAATTTGCAAATAAATATTAAATTCCGTCAATACTCAGATTCAAGAACAAATTGAACCTAATAATTATGTATCAGAATTTTAGATGTTTAGCATATAGATAATGGCTATTAGACCAAGTTGGTTTTCTCTTTTTCCCTTTCTAAATAATTCAAACTATCAGCATAATAAATCAAATTATCGTTTGACTATTAAATTATTTTTATTTATTCATACATTTGTCTACCATTTCTCAGAGATATCATCGTAAAAAGTTAACTCAATTTATTACTTGAACAGAATTGAAGATATCTCTGCTATGAAAATGTAAAAAGATATTTAATGTGAAAATCCATGGCTGGTCTATCAATGTATAAGTAATTGAGATTGCGGGAGTGGTTGCGAGCAGCGTTCTAAATAATATTAATAATTTCTTTTTCTTGATCGTTCAATTAACTGTACTAATTTTTATACCTCTTTCTAATATTTATCAATCGGTTCACGAGCGCTTAGTTTATAATCATCGGCTAATCTAGTAAGTACCGGTGTATATGAGGGAGTCCTCGATTTTGAAATTTAATAACGTACGTATAATCTTCTATTACACACAATATATTTTATATCTATTTTCTATCGCAAGCTTGTTGATTAGGTAAAAAATTTTCTTCAATTTCACGCCACTTTAGGTTACACGTCATTGTAAAAAATATTTGCTTTTCCATACTCATGAACTGAAGCGCAGGCATAACAATATTTCTGTTGAACTGGAATAAATTTATTTCAACTTATTTACAATTTAATCTTTCGTTCTTTTTTTAACCACAAAACTACTAGTAAACAAAAATCATAGCAATGCTACTAGCTATCACGCGACGATTTTTTTACAGATAACCGGAAGTTATACATTTATACATACAAATAGATTAGATGCATCTTAATAAAACACTAGAATTCCCTATATATAGTTAATCTCATAGTGGCATGACAATTTTGATTAAGAAAAATTAAATATCATAATTTATGCGTAAAGTATATTAAACAATTCTTACGTATCAATATGCATATATTTGTTCAAAAGTCTTTATTATACTGTTTGTAAATTTTTATATGGAGTGAATAAGTTTAATATACTCTTACTTACTCTTATCTCGAAGTTTCAATGTATTTTAAGTTGAAATACTGTATCATCTGTGATACATTAGTGACATCGCGCATAACTACTGTACTAAAGTTGAATTTAATTTTCTAATTTAATATCATATGTAGTTAAAGACAATCTATTTATGTTATATATTTTTTCTTTGTTCGACAGTTATTCAGAATAATTCATAAAAGACGATGGTTTTCAAACAGAACACTGATATAATTAGTTTGGCACTTGCGATATTTAAATGTTGAATATGAAATTTTGAATAGCTGAAAACATACATGAGAGAGAATTTTGATACTATTACGGGTTAACTAAATTGTATGTCTTACCCTTAGAAATCTTTAGGTGATGTAAGGCTCTATCAAAAATATCACCTCGACGCCTCATTTAAAAATTTTCTAGAATATTTTCTTCAGGAAGTAGTAAGTTTTTTTTTTGATAGGCCAATTTATAAAATATTTTTGAGATGTTGAAAAAAAAACAATTTTATGTCAAAATAAACTTCTTTTGCTATAATTTTCAAAAATAATGACGTTTATATATCGTTTTCGATACCACGTTTATAGCAACCTTGGACATGCAAGTATGAACGTTTTTGTATGTTATGTATCGGGACTTTAAGATTCTTCTAAACAAAAAGCACTAATATTTCAATGTTCAAAATATTATTTTATTGAACTAACACAATGTTTACATTTTTTTACGCATAACGTTTAATAATATTAATTATTTATAAATCATTTCAATGATAACAAGTCTTACAAGCAACGGTTCTTGATTGCTTCACAGTTCAGTTTTGGACATTGCCTGATATCACTCGCGTACTGTTTGGTCTACTACACAAAACTGCATTAACTTGAGGAGAAAATAGGTTTTTATAACAATCTAGCTTTGTGCTTGCAATAAATTAAATGCAGAGTATGACGTTTTTAGCATCTATAAAAATAATAAAAAATGTTAATGTTATGAAAAATCTTACCTCGACTCAGTGTTGAACGAGTCTAACATTACATTTTCGTTTATAAATATACAAGGACTTTAGAATTTGTTGTACAATTATTATTGTATCGATTTTATTGCCATTCAGTTCCGTAATGTCGTAATAATTTTTCAACACTGACTTTAGTTATTCAATCAACTTACCTTTAAAAACATTTCTGGTGACAGTTCTGCTACGAAGTTATTGAATAATGGAATGCTTTTAGATGTATATAACATAATAAAACGTAGGCGCTTTCTAGTTTCTTTTCGAAGCTCCAGCCAATTCATTGAAAAAATCGTATAGCAAGTCTCATTACCCTAAAAATGTAAAACATTAATAAATAATTAAAAATATCTTTTAAGTCATAAATTTCAGAAAAATAATACAAACTGTTTCTGTTAATTTATATCCCCACCAACAAAATAGAAAGAATTGTAACATCATGCAGCACAGGAAAATGCCAATTGCCATGAAAGCACTAGTGAACACCGGTAGGATCGACAAAACATATATATTTGTGCATAAAATGAAGAAAATTATTACAAAGTATGCAAAAATAACAGCGGAGAATATTCTGCTTATTTCTCTTGCAGTACTGAAAATAAATAGTTTACAAATGTAATAGAAAAGATTTCCCCTTACAAAGTCAAACAATTATTGCCTAAATAATTGAAAAGTTGTATCAATGTCATATACTAACGAATAAATATTCTGATGGTCATGAATACATTCGATTAAATAAAGTAGCTCATCCTCAGCAGTACTCAATACCCCATTTTGCACGAGATCAGGCAACAACGTCAATCTGTGTTGAAGTATTCGAAAGTGGGAGCATATTCTTTCCAAGAAATTGAGAGCAATGGCACCTGCAGACACGTGGGCAGTACTGCCGATCATGTAAGTGACCGCTTGTTGCGCCCAACAAATCCAAAAGCAAGAAGATACGCTTCTATCGCAAGGTACCCAACTTTTCCATACTAAATTATTATCTGGATTGTCACCGATTATTGGATTAAGAATGTTCAGTATTCCATTGACTATCACTATACACATCCAATATCTCAATATTTTTCTAAAATTTTAAAGTGGTAACTAAACAGAGAGTTCGCGAAGAGATAACCATTATGGAGAATCAATGCCGTCAGAGGTATATTTTTTTAAACGGAAATGTCATGCATTGAAAAAATATATTTTATTAATTCACTTACTGTTCCACATTTTTGGAATCCTCTATAATTCTATTTTCTTCAGCATCCCGCAAACTTGTCCAACGCCCTATAAGTACCTTTGTTTTTAAGACATACATAATTTGTTTCCTCCTGAGCATCACGTTCATACTATTCAACCACGTGTCAGTAACTGTAGCTACAAAGCACCAGTTTCCCATGATTTCAGCAAAATTATTGTTACTTGTTGTCAACATGTCCGTAAGCGGTCCAATGGCCATCAGACCAATGACGATGGAAACGTAAATTCTATAAAGGTTATAACATAAATGAAACCAACGAGGCTTTGATGTAGTTGGTTTCCATAATCCACAACATGACAAACAAAAGAATGTATCGAAAAAAATGTTATGCTCTATTGCCACTTCATCTATAACTTTAGACATTGTGAAATGAAAATAATTAAAAATACTTTCACGTCAACAACTTTTAATAGAATGACGGTCTTTGACCAACGAGTTGGAACCGGTATTTTTAGATCTACAACCTGTGCTCAAGATACATTTGTTACCTAAATTCTAGCATTCTACTGTGTTTACTTCCTTCTTGTTGCATATTTGATCATAAGTATCATAGTGAACGTTTATCCATAATTTAGCATAATCATACCTATAACCACTTCATATTGCCAGCGGAAAAACATTGATGCATATCCATAGCAACTAAAACTACAACAGATCGAACCTACACGCAATATGCGTATTTCGATACATTGTCTTATCTGCGTTTGTCGAAAGCACGGTGCACTTTATCAAACCTACGTTAGATTTTTTGTAGATTCCTATTGTTGTGCTAATTTTTTATAAAACTTTGAATTATTCGGGTTTGATAGTTGATAATTTTTCTAATTCTAGTTTAGCTTTGTGTTTGTAAGAAATTTAATACTGAATATGAAATTTTTAATAGCTAAAACAATTTGCGAATTGCGGCGTATTTTCTAGTGATTTTGTATTTGAAACAATTATTATTCTTCGACGCGTACACTTTTACTTATTTTTACAAGACATATTCCGTCTTTTTTCAATAATGTGTGATTTTTTAAACAATTTTGAATCTTTGGTACGGTATTCATATAACACTTAACAGTCAATTTAAAGCGTCTGACCGCTGGTTGAAGCAACAGTCAAACTCTATGAACATGAAAAATAAATGGTGAAACTTCTCGTAACGAGTTTGCTAAACGTTTAAATTTCATCCTGACGAGAATTCTGCACATCGGCATAATACGGTTAGCATGATGCCAATCACAACTGCTGTAACTACTACGGATACACTCACTAACCACCGACATGCTTTACTACGTTGTCGTATGTTTATAGTTTTTCGAACTTAGAACTGTTTCACTTTAAAAGATTATTGGTTACTTTCTTCTGAAGTTATTGAAATTTTATCATTAAAAAATTTTTTTTTATTTTTACCTATTTATCTCTATATTTGTGACCATACCGAATTTGACGTGTAATGAATTATAATATGTACAATCGACACATACAATTTCATTAAAAATTTTATTTGCATTCACAAATTATCAGTCAAGAAAATTACTAGTTACGCTTCGCGTAAACTCAAAACTGGTAAGCCGTTTACTAATTCATGATTTTGTAGTGAAATGAGGCGTCCCAAAAAATCTCTATATGTCGATTCATTGAATTATTAGAATTCCTCAGAATGTCGAATCCGAGTTTTAGATCTTCATGACTCAAGAAAACCATGACCACTGCTTTATGGGCTCAAAAGTCTACCGAGATTGTCGCGAAAGCCTCCTGCTTTCCCAAACTATGAGCTCACGGTGGTCGTTGGTGACGACAATCCCGGTGAACTTTTGATCTTCAAGCCTCATAGGTGCAAGGTATTGCAACCCATAGGGGAAGTACGTGGGAGTATTACAGAGTGCTTTTCCAGCTGGATATCCCTCGGGATTGAGCCCTGAGGGCTTACTTCGTGCACCCCTTAGTGGCTTCAAGTTGGAAGGAGTCGGCACGACTCGCCAACGAATGCTTCCCGATCACACCGTCGCCCGATATTTGAAACGTGTGTAGTCAAAGGTGGTTTACCTGTTGAATAGTAATAAACATTATTAAAAACGATTATGTAAGTATTAATTTATTTTCTATTTTTCACTTAGCAATTTTCGCAGAACAAGTAACACTTCAGATGATAATTAATCATTATACTTTTTTATAATTGTATTCAATTGGCCGAGTTTTTAATCGTTAAGCTTAACAATAACAAATTGAATAGTTATGACATTTTAAAATTTATATGTCATGATAATATCTGACGTAACAATAATTAAAATTGCTGCATCGTAATTGAAAATATTGTTTATCAACGCAATGTAAATAACAACTTTGCGCGAAAACTGCACTAACTTGAACATTTTCTGATGCTAGTTTAGCTTTGCGTTTGTAATAAATTGAATGCTGAATATGAAATTTTCAGTAGCTAAAACAAACATATAAAAAATGTAATTCTGGCTCGTATACTTTAAATAATTTGTTTCATGGCCTCACCTTTAAGAACATTGCAGGTGACAATTCAACTATAAAATTGTCAAATAACGTAATATTTTTTGATGCAACTAGCATGATAAAACGTAGACGCTTTCTCGTTTCCTTTTGAAGCACAAGCCAATTCATAGAAAAAATCGTATAACCGATCTCATCACCCTGAAAACGTAACACATTAATGAGTTATTGATAAAGAATATTTGTTTTCAATCATGATTGTAGTGGATCTATACGAACAATTTGTGTTAATTTATATCCCCACCAGCAAAAGAGAAAGAATTGCGACATCATGCAGCACAAAAAGAGACCTACAGCCATAAAAGCACTAGAAAACAGCGGTTGACTCGATAAAAAATATATGTTTGTGCACAAAATAGAAAAAATTAAAATAAATTGCATGACCATACTAGCGTAAAATATTTTGCTTATATCCTTTACAGCACTGAAAAAAAATTTACAAGAATGATCTTCTATGAGAGTGAGAGGATTGGTTTTTGGACTTATAAAAAATTGTGCTAATATACTAACGTATAGATGTTTTGGTGATCAAGAATACATTCGTTTACATATAACAACTCATCTTTGGCAGTATTTATCACCCCCTTTTGTACAAGCTCAGGCAAGGCCGTTAGTCTGTGTTGGAGTATTCGAATATGAGAGCAAATTCTTTCGATGAAATTAAGAATAATGGTGCACGAAGACACGTTAGTAATAGTAGCTATTGTCCAGCTAACGACTTGTTGCGTGTAACACATCCAAAAACAAGAAGGCACGTTCCTATCGCAAGGTATCCAGCTATTTATTATTAAGTTATTATCTGGATTTTCACTTATTATCGGATTAAGCATGTTCACTATAGCATTTAATGCTATTAAATCAATCCAATATCTCAATACTTTTCTAATAAAAAAGAGTATGATAATGGATAGGCAGCAAATGATTATAGCGGAAATTTAATTTCTTAATCGGTACGTGCATTTTTTACGAATAGAAGATGATACAAAACTATTACATACTACTTTGTATTACTCACCGTTCTGTACTTTTAGAAGCTTCTATAATTTTCGTTTCTTCAGCATCTCGCAAATTTGTCCAGCGTTCTGCCATGAACTTTGTCCGTAGTACATCTATAATTTGTTTTCTTTTTATTGCAACATTTAAACCATTGTAACTTGTGTGCGTAACGATGGCTGCAAGAAACCAATTTTCTAAAATATTCGATACCAGATCGTCTTTCGATAATATTATATTAAGTAATGTTCCACCGCTGATCAGACTAATACTAATGAAGGCAAAAAATGTGTATACACTATAGCATGATCGCAACCAACGATGCTTTATAGTCGTAGGTTTCCAAAATCCAACAATTCTCAAAAAGAAAAAAGTCTCGTCAAAAATTTTATATTCGATTCCGGTTTCGTCTGCCACTTTTTCCATGACGAAATAGTAATAAATCAAATTACTTTTCCGTTAAATAACTTTTTAATAAGCAATAACCGTTGGCAAAGGATGGCCAAATTTCTTCTTATTTTTCTCGTAAAATTATTAATAAATTGCTAACAAGATATATTATCTGGAAATTTCTGGATTTTTAGATATTTTTCAATGATGATATCTTTTAAGTGATTTCTCCTCAACTTATTTTTTTAAATAATTATTTTCAAGTTGATAATTAATTAACCATTTTTATTTTGTTAAACATTAAATATTAAAGCATAATTCATAGCTCTAATTTGAAATAATTTTCGTACCACGAATCGATTGAAAAGACTAACTGAAATACCGTACTCAGACTTTCCAAAGAGATCCAATATACATTTCTGAACTTACTACAAGAGCTTATTGTGTGGCTTTTCTCGCTACCTACGTTACCGTCAATTGTAAATGAGCGTTTACATCTAATTGCTAGTTATTACATTTGCGATCATTTTTCATTTGAGGGGAAAAAATTGATCGCTCTCTATTTTCATAGCAACGAACTCATATATCGAATCAGATTAACGGAGAACGCGTGGATGTCTGTAACGCAAAACACAGCCGAAGATTAGTATCTACTTAGTTGTGTGAAGTACGTATTAAAGATATGTTAAATATTATAGTTAATTGAATATTAACGTATCGTCACGAAACTTTATTATCTTTACATACTAACTATAATTTATTTTTATCAGTTACAAGTTTAGAAATATTGATTATGTACTCCACAAAATCATTGTTTATAAGATATTTAGTTATTGGATAATTTAAAGTGCACTTTTTTAAATGCTACGGTGCAAGAAAAAAACCACTATTTTTATGCAACAAAACAAACCTGAAATTGGTCGGCTATTAACAACGACTGATTATCTCCATTTATTAAATTGTTATTCGTAAACGTTATATGTTGTGACTTGAATGGATCTGATTGTAGCTGTTGTAAAATTGAATTTTTTAATTGAAAAATTGTTTAATTATTAATATTTTTATTCTCAGCAACTTTCATCAAAGAACGTATTTTTAGAAATAATAATTATAAACTATTTTGTTTTGATTAAAATGCTAATTAGAAAGCGAGATCTCTTATCTTTAAGCATATTAATAACAAATGCACACTTTTGCGAAATATAATTTTATATCATAATAAATGCTGTACAGCATAATAAACATCTAATAAAAATTCAATAAAAATATTGCATCCCAGAAAAAAAATATTGATTTACTCTACATAAAACTGCAACAATATGCTAATTTCAAAGCAATACTTCAGTTTTGCGTTTGCAGTAAATTGAAAGCAGAATATGAAACCTTCAATATCTATGAACATTATCAAATATTATTTAGATGAAAAACTTTATTATTAAACTTAATTATTCCACAGGATCACCTTCAAAAACATTTCAGGCGATAAGTCTACTATGAAGTTATTGAATAGTGGAATAGTTTTGGATGCAGACAACATCATAAAACGTAGCCGCTTTCTGGTCTCTTTTCGAAGCTCCAGCCAATTCATTGAGAAAATCGTGTAGGTAACGTCATTACCCTGGGAAGGTAAAATATTAAACATATTACAAAGCAGTTTCTCCAAAATTGCGGTTGTCATTTTGTTAATACGAACAACTTCCGTTAATTTATATCCCCACCAGCAAAAGATGAAAAAGTGAGACATCATACAGCATAAAAATAGAGCTACGGCCGTAAAATCACCAGTGAAAAGTGGCACGGTAGATAGCAGATATATATTTGTACACAAAATGGAGAGAATTAATACAAAATGCATGAAAATAACAGGGTAGAATATTTTGCTTATATCCACTATAGTACTGAAAATATAAACATTGTAAATAAAATAAAGAAAATCATATTGTTTGTTAAGCAATTATTTAGGCAATGAAAAAATTGCATTGATGCATTATATACTTACGAATAAATGTTCTGATGATCACGGATACATTCGTTTAGATAAAATAACTCATCCTCAGCAGTATTTAACACCCCCTTTTTCACGAGATCAGGCACCAACGTCAATCTGTGTTGGAGTATCCGAAAGTGGGAACATATTCTTTCCATAAAATTAAGAGCAATAGTGCCGGCAGACACGTGAATAATACTGGAGAATGTATAACTTGTGATGATGCGTCATCACACAAATATTTCCGGCACTGCGGCAGAACAGCCACGACCGCATACACCGCCCACGCACTCCCGGATCTCGCGAACTATGACCTCTAGAAACCTCCCTGACCGATTCGCACGACCCTTACGCTCGCGTACAACCCCTCGCGCACTCACGACCCGATCCGACCCTCCCCCGGGGAGCTAGAAGCCCCTAAAGTTTTCAGCCGCGATCAGCTGATCGCAAGCCCCCGTTAGTTAAGGCAGACCTAGCTAGACTAGAAGTAGGAGCGACCGAGCGCGTGAGAGCGAGCGAGACCGCCGATGCTAGACCGATCGGAAGCGAGCGAGGGGAATCGGTAAGACCAACGAGCGGTAGATAGAAGAGGATAGACAAGCGACGCTATCTGACCGGCCAATCGTTATCGGCTTAGGGGTGGTTAGACTTATGAGAGAAAACCGACGCTATCTTCGCGACCAGTAGGCAAATTAGGCGCGAAGGACCGACCAATAAATAAATTGCGCGGGTAAAAAACATCAAAATAGACGGCGCTGAGACCTGGCTTAGCAACAAGCTAGCCAATCAACAACAACGAAGGGGAAGTAAACTAGGAGAAGCGGCGCGTCGCCGAAAAACGGCGCGCGAGTAGTAACCGTTAAGCCTCGACGGAAGGACGTCCGCCGAGCCTCGCTGTTGCGCGGTACGAAGAAGTGAGTGAGAATAAGGGAAATAGTAGAAGAAGCTAGTGATAGAAATAGAGAAAGAGATAGTGAAAGTGGAAACAGTAGAAGAAGCTAGTGATAGAAGTAGGCATAAAGAGACAGTGAAAGTGGAAATAGTAGAAGAAACTAGTGATAGAAGTAGGCATAACAGAAATAACGAATAGCAATAAAATAAAAGGATAACGATAACGAAAAAATAACAGAAATAATAGAATAAAGAAATAGCGATAACAGAAATAATAGAATAACGAAATAACGATAACAGGACTAACGGAATAACGATAACGGAAATAACAGAAAAATAATAGAGTAAAATTAATAGAATAAATCTAACGGAATAACGATAACACAAGAGTAAGTACCCTTCCCTTACTATCGATTTTCTATGCATGATCAATAATCGCGAGTTTGCCGCGCATTGTCGACCGCCGCGTTTTCGGGAGTGCCGTACGACCTTCGCGCGTCCGACAGTAGTATTCGACCGCTTATTGCTAACCACCGAAAATCCTTTGTCGAACCGGCGTATAATCATCGCCCGCAATTTGAAGTTGTCGAACGCTCGCGTTTCCGGGAGTGCCGCATGACCTTCGCGCGCATTATACCTTGACCGAAAACGTTGCCGTTATCCCCAAGTTTCTTATTACGTTGTTTCTTTGTTCCGCGCCTGAAATAATCGCATGACCGCCGAATGTTCGCGCACGGAATCCCGCATGACCTTCGCGCGCCCGTTGCCGTTGCTGCATGTGTTTTCGCCACCGACCTTTCGGGGATAGTTTCTAGTCGCCGTGTTGTTATCATCCGTGAAACGAGTGCGCGTCTCTGAATTCCTTTCCGAGTCGATCTAAACATCGCACCAGTCGCGTTAGACCTTCATTCGACCGGTAGGATTCGGATACATTCGCTTTTATTTTGTTCGCGATCGTCGCTACAAATATCGTCGACACCGCGAGCCGTAGTTAGCCTTCGCGTGGCCGACCGAATTCCGGAGCGCAATTGTTTTGAGCAAGCTGGAATTTTCCGCGAATAGATAAACCGACATCACGTATCCGAATAGTATCTGAAGCCCGAAGCGTTCGACCGAGTTATTATTCGCCTAAGCCGACCTTTGCGCTGTAGTACGCCACTCGCGTCCCCAATAACCTAAATCAGGCTGACCATAGCAACGGGTAGACCGCTGGGCTGACCTGGGAATATTTTCGATTAATAAATTTGAGTTACCCTTAAGCCGGCCTTATTATTGACTATACCCACTTGATCGCCCCATCCCCCGTAGCATCCGCGATCGGTTTAAGTTTTGTAAGCGCGTACGCGACTGCCCTGATCACCGCCTAACCGATAGCCACCGTCGCCGCCACTACGCCACCAGTCCAGGGAAGGAGCTATCATCCCCCGAACCACTAGCCGCCAACCGGAGCGCCCCTGCGACGCCCCCCTCGATGTACCCGCTTCTGGGATTGAGAGCCGCCATGCCCCGAAACATCTAGCTAGCCGAACGAGCCGCAGCCGTGGGTGGCCTTGGAAACCACCCGTTGCCCCCCCTTCTTTCCCCTTCGCTCGATACGATTTAGATTCGACCGAATCGTCGCCTAGGACTTCGCGCCCCCGCTTCATTCTTCACAGGTGATAGCCGGCCACGCGCGCAAAGAACCCCGACGGCGACGAGGAGAGAGGCAACGGGGAACCACCCGACCTCACAGCGACCAGCAGGACCACCGAGCCGAGAACCAGCCAACGTTGCAGCGCTACCACGCTCTCCTAACGCGAGAGCACGGTAGCTGGCGCCCAACTTAAACAAAACAAAGCTGCACACGTTGTCTCGGCTGACTGCGCGCCGCTGGCGACAGTGCGAGACCGGAGAAATACCGTCTGTTATTTTTCCCCTCCCTCTCCCCCGTCGCAAACTAATTACTTGTTGTGACCAACATATATAAAAGCAAGAAGACACGCGTTTATCGCAAGGTACCCAGCTATCCCACATCAAATTATTATCTGGATTTTCAGTAATTACCGGAACAAGCATGTTCATTATGCCATTGACAAATACTAAACTCATCCAATATTTGAGTACTTTCCTTCAAATAAAGGTTAGAGTGATGACTATCCAAAGAGCATGAGAACAATTATATAAGAATCAATTTTTCATCGATGCGTGCATTTTTTTGTAAATAAAATGTGATACGAAACAGTTATTGTGAGATGCTCATTTACTTACTCTTCTGTATCTTTAGAATCCTCTATAATTTTACTTTCTTCGGGATCTCGAAAACAAGTCCAACGCTCTATCATTATTTTCTTTTGTAAGACATCAAGAATTCGTTTTCTTTTTAGTGCAACATTTACACCATTCGACCATGTGTGAGAAACTATACCTGTAAGGCACCAGTTTTTTACAAAATGACCAAATGCATCTTCTTTTGGTGTTAGCATGTCCACAACTGATCCAACAACAATAAGCCCAATACTAAAAGCGGCAAAAATTGTATAGAAACTAAAGCATGATCGCAACCATTGTTGCTTGATAGTTGTTGGTTTCCAGAATCCACCAGTCCTTAAATAAAAAAATGTTCCGCAAAAGATTTTATGTTCGAGGGGTATTTTATCCTTTACTTCATTCATAGTGTTATAGTAGTAATTTAATATACTCTTTCGCTAAAAGATTTGATGTAATCGAAATGTTTCACTAGACCAGCTCAAGCAGCTGTTTTTTTAGAACTTCAAATTGTATGCAAAGTACATTTCTTAACTGACCAGGAAGTTTTACTCTGCTTGTTTTCTCATTATATGTTCTATCACAAGAAAACGTTTATCTATAATTGTGAGTCATCATACTTAAAACCATTTTCCATCGTAAGGGAAAAAATTGATTGCATTTCCATGGCAACTACGACTATACCAGTTCGAAGTTAGAAGCCGTATGCGTTAAACGCGGCAGTTGTCTAAGCTGTATTCGTCATAACTACAGTGCATTCTCTTGAACCAACATTAAGATTTTGCTAGATTATTATCAATGTGCTCACATACCAAAAATATATCCAATTCTTCTTTAAAGTTTCTTAAAGTTTTGAATTATTCAGTCTTAAAGTTGTTATAGTTTCATTTTATTATTACTTGATAGATCATCTAATCATTTTTACTTGAAATGACTGTTCTCATATATTTTGATCCTACTGTCTAGGTAATGTCACGCGAATAACATAATTTTGTCTTTAAAACAATAAATTAATCAACTTTTATTAACTATTTATATGAGTTTTGACTTTTATAATATATAAGTTATGCATTCTCAGCAAAAAATAATTATTTTACCCTGAAATACATAAGTTTCTATTTTCCTTAACATTGTAAGTAAATCTCGAATATTCAATCAACAATACTGAATGATAATTAATATAAACTATTGTAATTTACTCCATATCGTGGTAAAAGTTGTCTAAAAAGTATTAAATATTCAATATTTAACTAATTACTCATACTTTCATCTTCTGTCAATTAAGATATGCTATGTACTTGTAAAACTCAAGTAGCCTACTCTAAAATCTATGACTTAAGTTTAAGTTAATGTAGTTAAAAAGCACTTCGAGTGATCATTTTACTAAAAAATTGTTAATTAGTGAAATATTTTTTAACACGAACAAAAAAACAAATGATAATAAATAAATAGACATAAAATGTACAACATTCATATTAAATGGCAAAAAATAACAGTGTTAAATATTCAACTCAACTTTTTGTATAAAGCAATAGACAAAAGTACATAGAAAGAAATTGTTTCTCATTTTACTAGAAAACTTCAACAACAGTCATCATTAATATGTAGATGATTTATATATTGTATTAATATAATGTACTAATGAATAGATGTTCTGAAAGTGAGAAATACTTATTCAAGTAAATAATTTATCTTTGATGGTATTTAATACTTACATTTACATAAAATCATGCAACAACGTTCATCTGTGTCGAAGTATCCGAAAGTGGGAATCAATCCTTTCCATGAAATTGAGAGCAATGTTATATACAGATTAGTAAGTAATAATAGCAAATATGTTATGTCTTCTGAAGAAATTTTAGATAAATGATTATATCACGTGATTTTCAAGTATAGGTGATTGGTACTTCGTAGATTGAGTTGCCTTTCTCAATTATAAAACTTAGAAACTCTTTCGTTGATTGTTACAACCAAAAGCTGTTCGGACGTTCTACATCTGTGTGAATATATATTCGAAAATTGAAAAATGTTGAGCCAAGTGCCTATAATGATAGTATCACGTAGAAGATGTCAGAAATTGTGATGATCACATGACAAATCGCAACAGGTTTCGGTATTTTCTTTTTTTTAAATAGAATAATTAGGGTTTTCCCTGTACTATTAATCAAAGGCTTTCATACGAAATCCATAGCTATTACATATAACAAAAAATGTTCAAGCAAGTTGAAACAAGCATCTCTAGATCTTGGGTTTGGTATGATATATCTTCCTTTATATGTCTAAATCTAGATCAGCGGCTATATGGAACCAGCAAATTATATTTCAATTTTCCATTGTGAAAAATAAACGGACAAAACTTCTATCCACACTTCTCCTATATTTAGTATTTAATTATCTGTTTGTCAATGAAAGGCTTATTTATAAAATATGATGTAACCTTTTCAAACGAATATTTATTTTTTATTCATTATTAATATGAAAATTGTATATAATATATTGCGATTCATGTTGAAAGTACAGTTTTCTGAAAAGTATCATAGGAATGGTATAATATGTTCTGAATAGGTGATAGTAAATTAATTAAATCTAAAATGAAGATCCAATACAAAAAGTAATTATCTTGATTTTACGATTTTTTTGCTTCACTCAAAATATAATAGTAACTAAAATTCATAATATTAAAAGAAATTAATTAAAAACTAATTAAAAAAAATATATTCTAAAATTTACTTTTTGTCATAATAAATATTACAATAGTGTATTGAGTATTTAAGAGAGTCAACTTTTTTTGTATATATGACATTTAAGATTTGAAAAATTCCCCGTCTACAGTAGATAATATTCTAGCTATGTGTTTGCAATAAATTAAATGCAGAATAAGAAATTTTCAGCATCTAAAAGAAAAATAAGGAATTTTCTTGTGAAAAAAACAGTTTAAAATAAGCAATGTGATAAACTCACGCTTAAAAACATTTCGGGTGACAATTCTACTATGAAATCGTTAAATAGTGGAATTTCTTTGGATGTAAATAGCATAATGAAACGTAGTCTTTTTCTAGTTTCCGACTGAAGTACAAGCCAATTAATTGAGAAAATTGTATAAGTAATCTCAGTGTTCTGGAAATAAAAAAAATTTGATTAATTTTAAACGAAATATTTGTTCGAGCCACAAACGCGTAAATAACAAAATTATACAAACTGTATTTATTACTTTATACCCCAACCAACAAAATATAAAGAATTGCGACAGCATACATAATAGAAAAAGACTTCCTGCTAGGAAATGAATACTGTAAATCGGCTCCTTTGATAGGAGATATATGTTGGTGCATAAAATAGAAATTACCAATATGTAGTGTACGACAATGGCAGGGTAAAATAACTTGCTTATTTCTATTGTAGTTCTAAAAATGTAAAAGTTATGCGTATAATAGAAAAATTGTCTTTCTTCTTTCACAATCAAATTCAAAGAATGCGTTTGCTGAATAAATACGTTAATCGAGCATACTAACGAATAAATATTCTGGTGATCATTGATGCATTCATTTAGATAAAGCAGCTCATCCGCGGCAGTACTTAAGACTCCCGCTCGAACTAGATCAGGCAATAACATCAATCTGTGTTGCAGTATTCGAATGTGCGAGCAAGTTCTTTCCAAAAAATTGAGAGTAAGGGAACCTGCGGCCACGGCAGCGATGCTGGCAATTGTGTAAGTGATTGCTTGTTGCCAATAACATATCCAATAGCAAGAAGATACACGCACATCGCAAGGTTGCCAGCTGTCCCACAACAAGTGATTATCTGGATTGTGACCAATTACCGGAGTAAGTAATGCCGACATTCCATTAATTAATATTATAGTCGTCCAATATTTAAGGACTTTCCTGCAAATTCAAAATAGTCACTTGTCAATCTTGACATCAAAACGTATATTATAATTGTGTAAGTAAAAATTTAAGCGACGATATTACTTATACTTATTGTATGAATAAACTTACTGTTCGTTTTTTTTAGAATTCTCTGTGATCTCTTTTTCTTCATTATCTCGCAACCATGTCCAACGCTCTATAACAATTTTTGTTCTTAATAGTTTAATAATTTTTCTTCTCTTCACTGCTATGTTGATGCAATTAATTAATGTATGAGAAGATATAGCTGTAAGACTCCAACTTTCCAAAATATGTGATAGCATATCTTCTCTTGGTGTTAGCATATCTATTGACGATCCAATAATAAAAAAAGCCATATTACTAAAATAAAAAATTGAAAACAGACGGAAACATAATTTTGACAAGGGATGCTGTATAGTTGTTGGTTTCCAAACTCCGCAAATTGCCAATTGAAAGAAAGTGTTGGGAAAAATAATGTTTTCGATTCCTGTTGCATCTGTCATTTTATTCATAATGAAATGACAATAATTCAAACGAGTTACTCGTGATATATTTCCATACGATTGGTAGTTTGTAACGAAACGAACTTGCACAGCTTTTTAGATCTTAAACTTACGTACTAAGTATATTTTTCAACCAAAGAAAACACGACTACGCGTACATATAGATGTGCGTTCCGTTTCTTATCTCATAATATACTTTAAGCATCGTAAGTGGTCGTTTATATTCAATTACGTCATCATTTTTATGCCAATCAATTACGTTGTTAATCTTACTTACAATCACTTTACATTGTAAGGGAAAAAAATTGATATCATTTCCATGGCAACTTGGACTACACTGGCTACTTACTAGAAGCTAAAACAATAAGCGCAAGGCGCGTTCATTGTCGAAGTTACATTCATTGAAAATGTAGTGCATTTCTTTTCGTAGTGTTGAAGTGAATCATGTATTGAAATAACAGAATTACTATTAAATTGTTTTGGGATTATACTTTTTTGAGGAATAATCGCACAAAATTGCGGAACAAAATTTATGTTATAGAAAATTTTAATATTTATTTTAAATTAGTTTCGATTTAAAACGAATATAGAAAGCTTGCGTTCCAATACAGATATACATATACCAACAGTAGTACTAATGCACAATAACTTTCATTTAATTCATATAAATCTTGTAATTTATTTAGTTAAAAATTAATTATAGTTAAATATTGTTTCCGATAAACGCTTCCTTTGATTAATTTTATATTTCTAACAAGTTGAATGTTAAATACCATAGCTTCACCATCTGCAAGTAAATAAAATCATTCAGTTGGTATATGATAAAATTAGTTAAATTGAAATACTAACCTTCAGAAACATGGTGACAAAATTATGATAAAGTTGTTAAATAACGTTAGACTGTTTGATATAATATCTTTATTGAAGTTTTATGCTGTATTGACCAGTCCATCGTAATAATTGTGTATCAAATCTCTCCAGTCTTGATTGAAAAAAGGATTCATTTAGGTGTTCAGTACCAAAAGGTCAGTTTTGAAAATCAATCATTGAAATATACACATTGCGATAATTTAGATCCATACCAGAAGTAAAAGAAATTTTGAACCATAGCATAACTGTGATAAAATCAACACTAAATAGATCTTATGTGGATAACAAATATATGTTTATGCACAAAACTGAGATATTCAATAAAAATTGCGTGAATACCAATTAATCAAATGTATTAGTCAGTTTTCTTGCTGTGCATATTGAGAATGGATACAGATATAAGTTTAAAAGCAATAGGTAATAAATCCAAAGACAAATTCAAAGAAAATCTTACCAATCAACATTTAGAAATTCAATTATTAAATTTAATATTTAAAAAATAAATAAATATTAAGTTGCTTAAATTTAAAATCGTCTATTTTAATTTTTCCGAGGAGCCCAGGCAACGATTTCAATCTGCATTGAAATATATTTACACGAGCACAAACTTCACGATAAAATAATAAATTAAGTAGTCATCTCCAACGTGAACAATATTGGGAATAACTTAATTATAGAATTGATGTGTATAATAAATCCAAGAAAATGTTAGGATGTTTTTCTTACAAGGCGTGTAGCGCTTTTTTAAAAATGTTTTTTGGGATTTTATTAACAATCAAATTCAGCGCACTCTTAAGATGAAGATCAGCACTATGAATCAGAGTCGTCTTATGTTTCTATAAAAAATAAAAAAACAATTTTTAGGTAATTCTTGAGCATAGATTGTTTTATACATGATTATTCTTAAAGCAAATATTATTTCATAATAAAAAACAACCATCTAAAATCCGTATCTAAACTAAAATTAGTCTTTTACAATTAATTGACCGATTTTCTTTTCAAATTCACTTATAATGGTAATTTCTCCGTCGTAATTCAGCACATCTACTAAGCAGCATACACGAATGTAAAATATTGATTATTTTGTTTCTTCTAAATAATACGTTTAAAACTATTACTGTAACATTTAATATATTGTTATCACGTATCAATGTTCCATTGTTGTAAAAAATGTTGCTTTTCGAATATTATTTGATTCACAGCTGTCGTTGCAATATGCATTAGAATATCAGTAATTGAAAAAAATGCGTAACGATGACAATACATTTACAGGCAACGATTTTTAATTGTCGTAGATGCTAAAAATCAGCAACTTTTAATACGCAAAACGTATGGGGAAAAATTTTATGTTCAATGACAATTCGATTAACCATTACATTTATTTTCCTTTAATTATTTTCAAAGTTTGTGAAATATTAGTGCGCAAATACATTACCACTTACTAAAGAAAAATGAATTGCCTTTTATCTATGTAGCCTACAGAACCGTAGCAGATTTTCACTATGTAGCTTGTTGTTAAATTTTGGATTAGTTACGGTAATGCAAACAATGGTAGCGTTCTAATTTTCAACAGCGATAGCGTAAGTTAAAATGATACAATGTAAACTAAATTCGAAAGACATTTTATTTTGTATTCGTGAATTTAGTATTACTTAGAGTTATCATTTTTTATTGGAATAATCACATCAAATCTTTAGTATCATTTATTTATTTATTGAATAACTAATATCCCACGATTACTAGTTTTGAAATAAAAATAACAGCTTTAAACATTAAACATTAATGAGATGTACTGTTTTTATTTCACACGAGATTGTAATAACAATCTTGTAAAATTTTTTTTATTTTCAGTCGACACTTTCGAAAGATTCCCATCTACGAATGGATGTCCAATAGAAGCATCGAGTGTCATACGTACTGACAATGGTGTTATGATCCGAGGGCAAGTAATAAGATTGTCTCTTCAAAACCTAAAACGATACAGCACATCGAATAAAAATTTGCCAGTAACAGTTAGGTGGTGCAACGTTTTTCTTTATCGAAATCTTTTATTCTACTTCTATCAATGTGCGTAATGGAAGGTTGGTGATCTGTTAATCACATAACAGTTTGAGGTAGTATGTATGTAGTTAACATTTGTGTTAAAAGCAGCATATCGATGGCGTAGAAAATTATTATTTATAAGTTGAAAGGAACAGCAAAGAAGTTCTTCATTCGTTCTGCTATACCTTATGCCTTAGCTGACGTACGTGGAAAATCATAGGTTCGTAATCTGTCAATCATTCAATAGCTTGGAGAAGAAATATCGACGACAGAGGTAGCAACAGCGTTTCTATTTTTATTTCTCGTTATTGTGCCTTAACTTCCGGGCATAGGTAATGATGGGTTTGCATCATCAGTGAATCATTCGCTAGTATAAGGGAGTTTGATACAAGGAAATAGCAAGTCGATAACGTACATAGAAAGCGACCATTTATAAGTTTCAAGCTACCGTAACACTATTCTTTGTACTTTCGTTCTCCAGTGTCTTAATTGAAGTATGTAGATAATGATGGGTTCGTTATCTGTCAATCATTCGATAGCTTGGAGGGTGCTTGCAGCATGAAACATCATCCACTGAAATAGTATGACGGAAAAATTACGTGTTCGCTATAAGGTACTGTATCTTTTTTTCCTCTTAATGTGCCTCAGCTGGATCAATAAATAATGATGAGTTTGTAATCTGTCAATCATCCGGTAGCTTGTAGGGAGGATTGTACAAGAAACATTGTTGATGGAATTTCTTTTTTCTGTCAATGATTCGACAGCTTAGTGATTACTCGGTACAAGACACATTGTCGATGGAAATAAAAATAACATTTGTCTATTTTTCTGTTATTACTGTGCCTTAACTTGCGTGTATAGATAATGCTGGGGTCGTAATCTGTACGGTATAGCCGAGCGATCGTCTTCACAGAAGAAACATTTTAAACGGAAATAGCACGAGGCTTGTGTTTCTAGAAAAATTATATGATTAATATCGCATAATGCTCATTTATTAACTGCATCTCAAAATAATGTAAATGATTGATTTAAATACACCATACATCTACAAAAAAAAAGAAACATACGCGAAAATAATAATTGCATAAAGGGGTAATAAGGTGATAAATATTTCTATTTCCACAGTCGATCAATATTTGATATGCATTAAATTTTATAGTATAACATTTTTCAAAAATAGTAAATTGTGCGATCAACGAGATGCGTATAGGTTTCTTTGGAACAGTTGTACTCACTGACTTATATCTGAAATTAATTCATTTAAATAACTTTTGGAATAATTTCTATGAGAATAACGAAATATGTCGTGATAACTATTGTAGACTGAAAATTATAGAAGAAATTGTAATATTCTATCAATTTAATATTCCATAATAATACTCACGGATTGCAACAAACCCGAGTTAATAGAAAATAAATGAGCAGCGGCAAAATTCAGACCGTGATGTGAAATATGCATCAAGAATGTTCTTATCTAAAACAATTTATAACAATTACTTTTTTTACCTCGGACAACCGGCTTATAATAAGAAAACAATATCTATTTAACACTATTTATTATTTCTCAAACAGTCGGAGTCCGACGCATTCAGTAACCGTAATAATTCGTGCGAATCTTGTATCATAGTCACAACATAAAATGTATACAAATATTTAAATGAGGCAGACAAACATCAACGCTGAGGACTTAGCTCATAATGAGAAACAGGCTGTGGTTGACCCGTCGCTCCGGTGCCTTGATGATTTTGCTTTCTTGTATTCATTCCGATGAGTAGCGTATTGATTCGTTTCTTCGGGGCCTCGATGATCTTGCTCTCCTTATGTTGGTTTCAGTACAAAGTCGAATGCCAATCAGCACAAGCGGAGACTGGCGGCTGTGGTGTTGACAGCTCGGAGAACCTTTTGCAAGTGTCTTAGCTCCCCTCAATTTGCATAACCGTCCGGAAGATAGTTCACAGAACTAGCCGTTAGGTTGACACCCCGGCCTTCACACAGTCGGAAGCGCCAATATTGAGCTCCAGAGGAAACATGATTTTCTCTCTCTACAAATTTGATTCAAGTTTCTTAATAATTTTTAATAAAAGTATTAACTTAGAATACGTCTTAATGACTCATCCTTGAGATAGATTTCTTTTAAAGCTAGCTGATAGAGGATGTTTTCGGTGTACTTTGCCTATAAAATTCAAATGAAAACTAGCACGTTATCAAATTTTTTTGCAGGTATAATAAAAAATGCTCGTACCTGACTGGGTGTTATAATAATAATTTTCAGTACTATAGTTTAAGCTATTAAAGGATAAAATTGTATCAAAATAACCAACTAAGTTGTCACTGCTTCTGCCAACTGAAAAAATAAATTGCAGATCTTAAAATACAAATTGACCGTTGGAATGTGTAGTAGCATAGTCTTCAAAGTTACTACCGACTGCAGAAACGTGGAATCAACGAGAAACAAATTCCATGCATTGAATTGCAGATTATGATGAACTATTTGCATGCAAAACGCACGTGCCTGAAAAAAAGTATTCTCTCAATGAGCCAGAAGACGTATCCGATATAAAATATGATCAGACCATTTCATCAAGACATTGATGATCTTTCGTAATATTTTCCATCGTGATTTTATGAAGTATTTTCATAGTTTCAGCTGCCTATAACAAGGAATTTTTTTTAATTAAAAGTACTAGATAACTTTTTATACAAATTTTGACCTTTTGACTGGTCCAATTACAACTGCTGACAATGAGGATCGTTAGTAAAACATATGTCATGATCAAAGTGAAATAAAAGAAGGCATGATTAGCACTGAGTCTATTTTTCAGTTCAATAAAAATCACATATATAATAGATGTGGTGATGCCGAACGTCATGATAACGCAATTTATCTGCAAAAAAATGAGTGCACTTTCATGCTTGAATATGAATATAAATACACGGAAACGTGATATATTACTATGTTTATAATGAATGGTTTCATAGCTCTTCTAGCTATATTGCAGAGCTCTGAATGGACCTTTGCCGATGTTTTCAAGAATGTATAATTGTCTTGTATCTAAAAATTTTACTAAAGTTAGTTATTAAATACTTATATTAACTGGAATAATTTCCTGAATAAAGAACCGTATAATCATTTATTTTTGTTTTAGACATTCTGCGTCGAATTCCTTCATTCATAACTTGAAATCTACAACCAACATTGAGTGTCATCCAAGCAAAGAGCTTTATGTTACTAATCTGTACAAGAGTCAAGTACACTTCGAAGGTTTTAAACAAAAATGGCCTGGCCCTGTTGAAAGTTACAAAGCGAGAGACACATCGGCAATTTATACGGACCTCTTACCTTTTGATGTCTGTAAGTATATGAGATAGTACTTGCGTAATCAAGAAAATTAATAATGTAGAAATATACCAACGGCTTTTTTTCGTACAGATAGTATACTGAACGTGAAACCCGATGTTACGTACTGCTTTACAAGATTATCAGAAAAACCTAAAATCTTCTCTAAAAGATGCATACATTATTCTAATTGAAATTAATAACACGGCTTAAAAACGCTTAACAATACCTCCTTTCTGTAGATCAATTTGATGACCACTCCATCGATAAATGCCATAATGGTATTACCAGGCCTGGCATGCTGCAACTAATGATGGACGCGCGCAAACAAGATACAAAAAATGTGAATTTCGATATCAATGGGATGACAAGTCAAGCGTTCGTATTCTTTTTCGCGGACTTTGACACAACGACCTAGGATTGGTGTGCCTTTGCTCATGAACTTACTCTCCATCACAACGTGCAGATTATGTTACAAGAAGAGATCAACGGAATAATAAAAGAAACGAACGGCAAACCGAAGTAAGAGGCTATCGCAGGTATGCAATATCTTGATGCAGCTTTTCACGAAACAGTGCGTTTGCATGGACAAGCTTCGTTTCTGGATCGAGTTTATAAAATACGTTTTGAGTTGCCACTGGCGTTGCCTTGTGACAAGCCAATAATTTTACAGCAGGGATCGACGATTTGGATACCTTCGGCTGCTATACATAGAAATCCCAAACATTATGCCAATCCGAATCAGTTTGATCCTGAAGGATATTATGGCAAAAAAAATACAATAAGCGATTTGGCGTAGGGCCGAGAAACTGTATTGGCAATCGATTCGCTATTTTAGAAATAAAAATTCTGTTGTTTCATTTACTTAGTAAATATACTTTGTGTGCCAATGAAAAAACATGTGCTCAATTCAAATATAGCAAAAAAACTTTTTCCATACAACCCGGTGGAGGTTGACCGCCTCAAGTCCATTAATACACGCACACTATATCTAAATTGACGAGGACATCTGAAAAATAAGATAATTTGATGAATTCGTTACCAAAACAGATGATACATATATTTATTGTAAGTAAAATGTAAAGTCACTTATATGAACTCGTATCTATACAAATGTAAACATTCGTATCAAAAATAAATTGCGAATTAATTCTTTAATTGCGACGGGGGAGAGGGAGGGGAAAAATAACAGACGGTATTTCTCCGGTCTCGCACTGTCGCCAGCGGCGCGCAGTCAGCCGAGACAACGTGTGCAGCTTTATTTTATTGAGTTGGGCGCCAGCTACCGTGCTCTCGCGTTAGGAGAGCGTGGTAGCGCTGCAACGTTGGCTGGTTCTCGGCTCGGTGGTCCTGCTGGTCGCTGTGAGGTCGGGTGGTTCCCCGTTGCCCCCCTCCTCGTCGCCGTCGGTGTTCTTGCGCGCGTGGCCGGCTATCACCTGTGAGGAATGAAGCGGGAGCGCGAAGTCCTAGGCGACGATTCGGTCGAGTCTAGATCGTGTCGAGCGAAGGGGAAAGAAGGGGGCAACGGGTGGTTTTCAAGGCCACCCACGGCTGCGGCTCGTTCGGCTAGCTAGAAAATTCGGGGCATGGCGGCTCTTAACCCAGAAGCGGGTACATCGAGGGGGGGCGTCTCAGGGGCGCCCCGGTTGACGGCTAGTGGTTCAGGGGGAATAGCTCCTTCCTTGGACTGGTGGCGTAGTGGCTGCGACGGTGGTTATCGGCTAGGCGATGATCAGGGCAGTCGGAGAATTCGCGCACGCGTTTACCAATCTCACCGATCGCGAAAGCTACGGGGGATGGGCGATCAAGTGGGTATAGTCAATAATAAATCAGGCTTAAGGGTAACTCAAGTTTATTAATCGAAAGAATTTCCCAGGTCAGCCCAGCGATCTACCCGTTGCTATGGTCAGCCTGGTTTAGGTTACTGGGGACGCGAGTGGCGTACTACGGCACGAAGTCGGCTTAGACGAACAATCATTCGGTTGAATGTTTCGGACTTCAGATACGGTTCGAATACGTAACGTCGGTTTGTTTATTCGCGGCGAGAATTCCAGTTCGTTCAAAACAATTGCGCTCAGGAATTCGGTCGGTCACGCGAAGATTAACTACTGTTCGCGGTGTTGACGATACTTATAGCGACGATCGCGAACAAAATAAAAGCGAATGTATCCGAATTCTACCGGTCGAATGAAGGTCTAACGCGACTCGTGTGATGTTTAGATCGACTCAGAAAGGAATCCAAAGACGCGCACTAAGGAAAACTCGTTTCACGGATGATAGCAACACGGCGACTCGAAACTATACCCGAAAGGTCGGTGGCGAAAACATATAAAGCAACGGCAACGGGCGCGCGAAGGTCATGCGGGATTCCACGCGCGAACATTCGGCGGTCATGCGATTATTTCAGGTGCGGGACAAAGAAACGACGTAATAAGAAAACTTGGGGATAACGGCAAACGTTTTCGGTCAAGGCGTAATGCGCGCGAAGGTCATGCGGCACTCCCGAAAACGCGGCGTTCGACAACTTCAAATTGCGGACAATGATTATACGTCGGTTCGACAAAGGATTTTCGGTGGTTAGCAATAAGCGGTCGAATACTACTGTCGGACGCGCGAAGGTCGTACGGCACTCCCGAAAACGCGGCGGTCGACAATGCGCGGCAAACTCGCGATTATTGATCATGCATAGAAAATCGATAGTAAGGGAAGGGTACTTACTCTTGTTGTTATCGTTACTCCGTTATCGTTATTCTATTATTTTTATTCTATTATCGTTATCGTTATTCTATTATTTTTATGCTATTTTTCCGTTATCGTTATTCCGTTATATTTCTGTTATATTTCCGTTATCGTTATTCCGTTATATTTCTGTTATATTTCCGTTATATTTCTGTTATATTTCCGTTGTTGTTTCACTTTCACTATTCCTTTTTTTCTATGCCTATCTCTCTCACTAATTCCTCTGTTATTTTCACTTTCACTATTCTTTCTCTATATCTACTCCTCTCTCACTATTTCCTCTGCTAGGCTTATCTCTCTCACTATTTCCTCTGCTGTACTTATCTCTCTCACTTTTACTTTATCTGTACTCACTCCTTAGTACCGCGCAACAGCGAGGCTCGGCGGACGTCCTACCGTCGAGGCTTAACGGTTACTACTGGCGCGCCGTTTTTCGGCGACGCGCCGCTTCTCCTAGTTTACTTCCCCTTCGTTGTTGCCGATTGGCTAGCTTGTTGCTAAGTCAGGTCTCAGCGCCGTCTATATTAATGTTTTTTACCCGCGCAATTTATTTATTGGTCGGTCCTTCGCGCCTAATTTGCCTACTGGTCGCGAAGATAGCGTCGGTTTTCTCTCATAAGTCCAACCACCCCTAAGCCGATAACGATTGGCCGGTCAGATAGCGTCACTTGTCTATCCTCTTCTATCTACCGCTCGTTGGTCTTACCGATTCCCCTCGCTCGCTTCCGATCGGTCTAGCATCGGCGGTCTCGCTCGCTCTCACGCGCTCGGTCGCTCCTACTTCTAGTCTAGCTATGCCTGCCTAACTAACGGGGGCTTGCGATCAGCTGATCGCGGCTGGAGACTTTAGGGGCTTCTAGCTCCCCGGGGGGTTGTCGGATCGGGTCGTGAGTGCGCGAGGGGTTGTACGCGAGCGTAAGGGTCGTGCGAATCGGTCAGGGGGACTTCTAGAGGTCATAGTTCGCGAGGTCCGGGAGTGCGTGGACGGGTGTATGGCAATAGACGCTTGGCCGCGCGTTTCTAGTGGGAGCGGGGCTAGCATAAGGCAGCGTGATTTTCAAGTGATGACGCATCATCACATAATTATGTCATTCTGTGCGACAATACCTCTGCTTCTGAGATAGAGAAAAACGAATATCTCCATGACAATGCAGTATTTTTGTAGTATTTTCCATCACTGGAGACATTAGGATCAGTCATTTGTCGTAACAAGAGAACTGCAGCTGCTCATACGAGCACCGACACGTCGTCTTAAATCCTTAGTTTTCGATTGGTATAATATTGGGAGAGCAAAACCTCTATATATCATGAAACTATACGCTCTAACGCTATTTAACGTTTTATGTGTGGCTATATTAATACTATTTATTACTACTTTTAAACATCTGTTGAATATTTCACAGAAAATGGTTTTTCATACGTAGCAGGATAGCTATTGTTGTGTAACATGGCTCCTTTCTTCCGCCGAAAGCATATCTCGGAAACCGTGATCGACCTGTTCAACGCTCATTCGAATACTAAGTACAGCAACGTTATTGACTTTGTGCGTCCTATAATCATGATTCGAGATCTAGATCTGATTAACTGATCACAATCAACAATGTCGAAAATTTTCTGGAACACAAGATTTTTATAGACAAGTTCGATCTTCTGTTCGGTAGGAATCTATTTTCGATGGCCGGCAAACGATGAAAAGAAACAAGAAATTTGTTGAGCCCTTTTATCACTTCTGGCAAGATAAAACCAATGCACGAGTTGATGGCGGAGTGTGCAAAAACCATCGTCAATTACTTGAACGGACTGCCGAACGAAGACAATAACTTGGTAGGGACAATGAGTTTATCTACGCAATTTCTGAATGATACTATAGATACAAGTGTTTTTGGAGTCTGTGCTGATTCTTTGAATGATCCGAAAAACGATTTGTATTGTGTCGTACTATTAGGTAAAGAAGCTATCAATCTGAAAGATATAGTGACATTGAAATTATTAATCGCTCAATCCTATCTACATATTGACGCTATTTGCCCTTATTCTGTTAGAAATGAGTCTATTTTATCGGGAGAAAAATCATATGATGTATAGCTGCAGGCATTAACGTTTGGGTATCAACGATGACGATACATAAATAGCCAAAACGTAGTAATAATTAAAATTATAACGTCTTTGAATGAAAATATTCTTTATTGAGAAAGTGTAAGTAGCACTTTACACGAAAACTGCACTAATTAGACAATTTTCTAATTTCAGTTTTGTTTTGCGTTTTTAAGAAATTAATATTGAATATGAAATTTTTAGTAGCTAAAACAATTTGCGAATTACGGAGTATTTTCTAGTGATTTTGTTATTTAAAAAAATTATTTTTCTTCGGCCCTCACACTTTTACTTATTTGTACAAGGCATAATCCGTATTTTTTTAATAATGCGTTATTTTTTGAACATTTTGAATCTTTGGTACGGTATTCATATAACACTTAACAGTCGATTTCCAGTGTCTGATCGTTGGTTGAGGCATCAGTCAAACTCTACAAACATGAGAAATGAATTGTGAAACTTCATGTATCGAGTTTGCTTAACGCTTCAACGTCATCCTGACAAGAATTCTGCACATCGGCATAATAAGGTTAGTCTGATGCCAATAGAATTGCTTTAACTACTACGGCTACATTTATTAACCACCTAAATATTTTATTATGTTCTTGCATTTTCAAATTTTTTGAACTACAAAATCTTTCGTTACTTATTACCGAAGTTAAGAAAGTTTTTCATTTTTGAATTTCTTTATTATTAGCTATTTAACTCTACATTTATGACCATACCGAATTCAACTACCAATAAATTATAATAATATATATAATGGACACACTTAATTTAATAAAAATTTTTTTTTTCGTTCGCAAATTATCAATCGCTAAAATTACTAGTCACGCTTCTTGTGCAGCTAAACTTGCAAACCATTTTTATAGACTCATGCTTATGAAACGAAAAGATACTTCTTAATAATACTCGATATATCGATTCATTAGACTATTAAAATTTCTCAGACAGTCGAATCCGAGTGTGCAGTGCCTTGCAAGATTCGCAATCGCAATATCGTAGATACGTATGATACAAAAAAACTATGATCACAACTTTAGAACGGTTCCGATAAAATTGGATGGATCGATTCTTTGATATAATAGAATTTGTTAGAAAATTTAGCAAACATTATCGTATTTTCTTTTTTTATCAGCAACAGTTGTATCCGGGTCTTTATCAATTTTTTATGACATCTAAAGTTTTTTTGAATATCTGTAGAATTTGGTGCTCTTCGAGCAAGCAAAACTGTAACTAGCAGTAGATCGCCTTGTAAACGATTTATCAAGTAGTTAAAGATAGTTTACCTGTGGCATTGTAATAAACATTATTAAAAAGGATTGTACAAGTACTAATTTATATTCTATGGTTCGCTCAGCAACTTTGTTAGATTATTATACTTTTATACTAATTAATCTGTTAATCATTATACTTTTATAATAATAATTGCAGTCAATCGGCCAAGTTTTTCATCGTTGAGTTTAACAATAATAAATTAAATAGTTGTGACATTTCCAAACTTCATGTCACTATAATATCTGACGTAAAAATAATTAAAATTACTGCATCATAATTGAAAATATTATCTATTGATGAAACGTAAGTAGCGATTTTGCATGAAAACTACACTAATTTGATCATTTTCTGATGATAATTTAGCTTCCCGTTTTTAACAAATTGAATGTTGAATATGAAATTTTCATTAGCTAAAACAAATATATAAAAAATGTAATTCTGGCTCGCATAGTTTAAATAATTTATTTCATGGCCTCACCTTTAAAAACATTTCGGGTGATAATTCAACTATAAAATTGTCAAATAATGTAATATTTTTTGATGCAGACAGCATAATATAGCGTAGACGCTTTCTTGTTTCTTTTCGAAGCTCAAACCAGTTCATTGAAAAAATTGTATAACCAATCTCATTACCCTGAAAACATAAAATATTAATGTGCTATTTACAGAGAATATTTATTTGCCATCGTGATTGTAGTGAATTTATACGAACAATTTGAGTTAATTTATATCCCCACCAGCAAAAGAGAAAAAATTGCGACATCATGCAGCACAAAATGAGAGCTACCGCGATAAAAGCACTAGAAAACAGCGGTTGACTCGATAAAAAATATATGTTTGTGCACAGAATAGAAAAAATTAAAATAAATTGCATAACCATACTAGCGTAAAATATTTCGCTTATATCCTTTACAGCACTGAAAAAAATTACACAATAATGATCTTATAAGAGAGTAAGAGGATTGGTTTTTGGACTTATAAAAAATTGTGCTAATATACTAACGCATAGATGTTCTGGTGATCAAGAATGCATTCGTTTATATAGAACAACTCATCTTTGGCAGTATTTATCACCCCCGTTTGTACTAGCTCAGGTAACATTGTTAGTCTGCGTTGGAGTATTCGAATGTGAGAGCAAATTCTTTCGATGAAATTAAGAATAATAGTGCACGCAGACACGTTAGTAATAGTAGCGATCGTCCAGCTAATGACTTGTTGCGTGTAACACATCCAAAAACAAGAAGGCACATTTCTGTCATAAGGTATCCAGCTATTTATTATTAAATCATTATCTGGATTTTCAGTGATTATCGGATTAAGCAGGTTCACTACAGCATTCACTGCTATTAAATCCATCCAATATCTCAATACTTTTCTAACAAAAAAAAGTACGATAATAGATAGACAGAAATGATTACATTGTAAAATAGATTTATTAAATGGTATGTGCATTTTTTACGAATAGAAAGGTGATATAAAGCTATTGTATGTTATTTTATATTACTTACTGTTCGATGTCTTTAGAAGATTCTATAATTCTCATTTCTTCGGCATCTCGCAAATTTGTCCAGCGTTCTGCTATGAACTTTTTCTGCAGTACATTGACAATTTGTCTTCTTTTTATCGCAATATTTAGACCATTGTAACTTGTGTGCGTAATGATGGCTGTAATAAACCAATTTTCTAAAAAATGAGATAACATATCGTCTTCCGCTAATATAATCTCTAAAAATGTTCCACCAGCGATCAAATTAATACTAATGAAGGCAAAAACTGTGTATGCATCGTAGCATGATCGCAACCAACGATGCTTCATAGTCGTAGGTTTCCAAAATCCAGCAAGTTTCAAAAAGAAAAAAGTCTGGGCAAAAATTTTATATTCGATTCCGGTTTCGTCGATTTCATTTTCCATGGCGAAATAGTAATAAATCAGATTACTTTTCCGTTAAATAACTTTTTATAAACAATAACCGATGAAAAGAGATAACGAACTTTTTTTCTTTTTTTCTCGTAAAATTATTAATAAATTGTCAACAAGATATATTATCTGGAAATTTCTTCTAAGATATCCTTCAATGACGATATCTTTTAAGTGATTTCTTCTCAACTTATTCTTTTAAAAGAATTATTTTCAAGTTGATAGTTAATTGATCATTTTTATTTCGTTAAAAATAAATATTAAAGTTCATAGCTCTAATTTGAAATAATCTTCGTACCACGAATCGTTTTAAAAGACTAACTGAAACACTGTACGCAGACCTTCTAATAAGATTCAAATTACATTTCTATATTTACAACAAGAGCTTATTGTGTGGCTTTTCTCGCTACCTACGTTGCCGTTAATTGTAAATGAGCGTTTACGTCTAGTTGCTAGTCATATTTGCGATCATTTTTCATTTGAGGGGAAACAATTGATCGCTCTCTATTTTTATAGTAACGAACTCACATTGAGTCAGACTAGCGGAGAACGCGTGGATGTCTGTGACGCAAAACACAGCCGAAGTTTAGTATCTACTTAGTTGTGTGAAGTACGTATTAAAGAGGTGTTAAGTATTACATTTATATGAATATTAACGTATCGTTACGAAACATTATTCATCTTGACATACTAACTATAATTTAGTTTTATTAATTACAAGTTCACAAATATGAGTTATTAATAGTACTCTACAAAATAATTGTTTATAAGATACTTAGATATTGGATAATTTAAAGTGCACTTTTTTAAATGCTACGGTGCAAGAAAAAGACCACTATATTTATGCAACAAAACAAACCTTAAATTGATCAGGTATTAACAACAACTGATTATCTCCACTTGTTAAATTGGTATTCGTAAATGTTATATGTTGTGACTTGAATGGATCTGATTGTAGCTGTTGTAAAATTGTATAAAATTGTAAACTTTTTAATTGAAAAATTGTTTAATTATTAATATTTTTATTCTCAGCAACTTTCATCAAAGAACGTATTTTTAGAAATACTAATTAATAACTTTTGTTTTCATTATAATGCTAATTAGAAAGCGAGATCTTTTATCTTTAAGCACTTTAATAACAAATGTAAACTTTTGCGAAATATAATTTTATATCATGATTTATTTATGCTGTACAGCATAACAAACATCTAACAAAAATTTAAAAAAAATATTGCATCCCAGAAAAAAAATATTGATTTACTCTACATAAAACTGCAACAATATGCTAATTTCAAAGCAATACTTCAGTTTTGCGTTTGCAGTAAATTGAAAGCAGAATATGAAACCTTCAATATCTATGAACATTATCAAATATTATTTAGATGAAAAACTTTATTATTAAACTTAATTATTCCACAGGATCACCTTCAAAAACATTTCAGGCGATAAGTCTACTATGAAGTTATTGAATAGTGGAATAGTTTTGGATGCAGACAACATCATAAAACGTAGCCGCTTTCTGGTCTCTTTTCGAAGCTCCAGCCAATTCATTGAGAAAATCCTGTAGGTAACATCATTACCCTGGGAAGGTAAAATATTAAACATATTACAAAGCAGTTTCTCAAAATTGCGGTTGTCATTTTGTTAATACGAACAATTTCCGTTAATTTATATCTCCAGCAAAAGATAAACAAGTGAGTTTTGGAGTAACAGAGCTGTCGTTTCTGGATTTTTCCCTGCTACTAGGACTGTGCAGTCATCGACGAAGCAGGAATGTCTTACGGGTTTTTGTATACGATTTTTAAATACATTTATGGCGATTAAAAATAGTGTGATACCCATTGCTGTTCCTCGGGGACACCGTTCTCGATTTCGAATTTGTCAGACAATGTATTGTTTACTTTTACTTTTATGAATCTCTTTTTCAGAAAGTTGGCTACGAACTTGATCATATTTCCTCTATATCATTCCTCTGATCTTAAATTCAATCATAAGTTTGATTACTCGTTTTTTCCATATCATGTCGTATGCTTTTTCCATATCATATACATAAAGCTGCCAAGTGTTGTTTGATTACGAAGGCTTCACACGTATTAGATTTACTAGCACTTCATTAGTCGACCTGTGGTGTCTGAAGCCATGTTGATTTGGTGAGATCAAATTTATCAATCATTCGATAGCATGGAGAAGAAACATCGACGACGGAGGTAGCAACAGCAGTTTTATTTTTATTTCGCGTTATTGTGCCTCAAGTTCCGCGCATGGGTAATGACGGGTTTGCAAAATCAGTCAATCATTCGCTAGTATATGGGAGTTTGATACAAGGAAATAGCAAGTAGATAACGTACATAGAAGGCGACTATTTATTAGTTTCAAGATACTGTAACCCTATTCTTTGTATTTTCTTTTTCTAGTGTCTTAATTGAAGTATGTAGATAATCGTGGGTTCGTCATCTGCCAATCATTCAATAGCTTGGAGGGTGCTTGCTGCATGAAACATTATCCATGGAAATAGTATGTCAGAAAAATTATGTGTTCGCTATAAGGTACTGTAACATTTTTTTCTCTTTATGTGCCTCAGCTGGATGAATAGATGATGATGAGTTTGTAATCTGTCAATCATCCGGTAGCTTGTAGGGTGGATTGTACAAGAAACATTGTTGATGGAATTTCTTTTTTCTGTCAATGATTCGACAGCTTGATAATTACTCGATACAAGACACATTGTCGATGGAAATAAAAATAACATTTGTCTATTTTTCTGTTATTACTGTGCCTTAACTTGAGTGTATAGATAATGCTGGGGTCGTAATCTGTCAGGTATAGCCGAGCTATGGTCTTCACACAAGAAACATTGTAAACGGAGACAGCATGAGGCTTGTGTTTCTAGAAAAATGATTTGATTAATATCACATAATGCTCATTTATTATCTGCATCTCAAAATAATGTAAATGATTGATTTAAATACACCATACATCTACAAAAAAAAACAAACATACGCGAAAATAGTAATTGCATAAATGGGTAATAAGGTGATAAATATTTCTATTTCCATAGTCGATCAATATTTGATATGAATTAAATTTTATAGTATTACATTTTTCAAAAATAGTAAATTGTGCAATCAACGAGATGCGTATAGGTTTCATTGGAACAGTTGTACTCACTGACTTATATCTGAAGTTAATACATTTAAATAACTTTTGGATTAATTTCTATGAGAATAACGAGATATGTCGTGATAACTATTGTAAACTGAAACTTATAGAAGAAATTGTAATATTTTATCAATTTAATATTCCATAATAATACTCACGGATTGCAACAATCCCGAGTTAATAGAAAATAAATGAGCAGCGGTAAAATTTAGACCGTGATGAGAAATTTGCACCAAGAATGTCCTTATCTAAAACAATTTGATTAAAGTTTCTTAATAATTTTCAATAAAAGTATTAACTTACAATACGTCTTAATGACTCATCCTTTAGATAGATTTCTTTTAAAGCTAGCTGATGGAGGATGTTTACGGTGTTGTTTGCCTATAAAATTCAAACAAAAAATAGCACGTTTTCAAATTTGTTTGCAGATATAATTAAAAATGCTTGTACCTGACTGGATGTCCAATTGCAACTAAGTACAATCATAAATAATATTGAAATATTTGTAATCAGAACACTAAAGAAGAGCAGCATGTATTCAAACGCTACGTATTCTCTACCAAACTTAAATCCAAGATATATGAAATATGACATTGCTGCGGATAAAAAAAATACTTTGACAATACTTGCAACCTAACATAAAACATATTAAAATAATTTTCACCAATGAATAAATTATGTTGATTTGATTCTATATTATTACGAGATCATAAGTTTGGCGTACTATTGTAACAGTAAAGACTTTGTTAATAAATTTTGCTTTTTTGCAGAGGTTGGCGTGTACGTTAGCAGATACTTTTATAAATTTGAAGATATCTTTAATCATGATTACCTGTAAATTGATGCTTTAATGTTAATGAATTTTTATTTACATACATAATAGGTATTAATTGTCAAATGGCTTTACGTATACCGTAAGAGTGTTACTACAATCGGATCTTCGATTATTGATGCAACTGTTGAGTGCTTTAAATCGAAAACCAACGTTAATTATCAGAAAGCAGAATAACGTAATATTAGTGAATTGAACCAGTACGGTCAAATTCCCAAAAATTCTTAACATCATAGGAAGTGGCCTATACAACAGATTCAAGAGTTTTTAGGACAACGCTATTTCAATCTCTTTAATACATTCATTTCTTACAGTGCTATTAGTGTTAAAAACTCTAAATTAATTATACTATATGAGATAAGTAGTATTATAATTACTACTATAAAGCTCAACTTGGCTGCTTGTTTATATTTGAATTGATATCCAAAGCTTTTTAATACCTCGTCTTGGATGGCAAGTTGTTTCGTAGACAAAATTATCTGGAACGGCAAAAATTATACTTAATGGAAGCAACAACAACATTGTCAAAACTAACTTGTTTACTATAAAAGATCTTTAAAATCATAGCATCTAATATGCAGACGATACTGAAAAACTGTCGCAGTGCCAAAATAAGAATTGATAAAGAATCGTCATCCATCCTGTAAAAGAAGTTCAATAATAATCTTCCGAAACAACAAGATATTTGAAAAATAATAACGATATAAGAACACATGTTCCGCTTTTTTCTAGAATATATACTCACGAGAACATAAAACGTTGTTTTACCATATTTAAATAGTCGTAAAAATATTTTGCACCCATAATAAAGAACAAAATGTTGAACGTCACTGCTATCGTACTCAACACATAACATCTTGATTTCTTAGGTCCACTAAGGACATATGGGAAACATCCCATCAGCCTATAAAGCCATCCTACTGACTCATAGACGGTGTACAAATCGTAATACATATTTAACTTTAATAATAAAAAGTTCCTGTAACAATTATCAAGATACAATAAAATTTATACGGTTTCTTTCTTTGCAGTTCACTACATTATCTGAACTGTACGGTCAATTCAGAAAATGGTTTAATATTCATTTGCTTTAATGCTTTTATAGATCCGTTAGATGTTCACATTTACTGACATTGTTGTTTTTACTTTAATGATTGACAATATGTGGTATAACAGTTTAGCTAATTGGATTTAATTTATAAATACGTTAGCTACTTGTGTCATTTAATGTTGTAAAATAGTACATATATTTTTCACCGTTGCAAAAATAATTTTCAGTATTATAGTTTAAGCTATTAAAGGATCAAATTGTATCAAAATAACCAAATAAGTTGTAACTGCTTCTGCCAACTAAAAAAATAAATTGCAGATCTTAAAATACAAATTGACCGTTGGAATGTGTAGTAGCATAGTCTTCAAAGTTACTACCGACTGCAGAAGCGTAGAGTCAACGGGAAACAAATTCCATGCATTGAATTGCAGATTATGATGAACTATTTGCATGCAAAACGCACGTGCCTGAAAAAAAGTATTCTCTCAATGAGCCAGAAGACGTATCCGATATAAAATATGATCAGACCATTTCATCAAGACATTGATGATCTTTCGTAATATTTTCCATCGTGATTTTATGAAGTATTTTCATAGTTTCAGCTGCCTATAACAAGGAATTTTTTTTAATTAAAAGTACTAGATAAATTTTTATACAAATTTTGACCTTTTGACTGGTCCAATTACAACTGCTGACAATGAGGATCGTTAGTAAAACATATGTCATGATCAAAGTGAAATAAAAGAAGGCATGATTAGCACTGAGTCTATTTTTCAGTTCAATAAAAATCACATATATAATAGATGTGGTGATGCCGAACGTCATGATAACGCAATTTATCTGCAAAAAAATGAGTGCACTTTCATGCTTGAATATGAATATAAATACACGGAAACGTGATATATTACTATGCTTATAATGAATGGTTTCATAGCTCTTCTAGCTATATTGCAGAGCTCTGAATGGACCTTTGCCGATGTTTTCAAGAATGTATAATTGTCTTGTATCTAAAAATTTTACTAAAGTTAGTTATTAAATACTTATATTAACTGGAATAATTTCCTGAATAAAGAACCGTATAATCATTTATTTTTGTTTTAGACATTCTGCGTCGAATTCCTTCATTCATAACTTGAAATCTGCAACCAACATTGAGTATCATCCAAGCAAAGAGCATTATGTTACTAATCTGTACAAGAGTCAAGTACACTTCGAAGGCTTTGAACAAAAATGGCCTGGCCCTGTTGAAAGTTACAAAGTGAAAGACACATCGGCAATTTATGCGGACCTCTTACCTTTTAAAGTCTGTAAGTATATAAGATAGTACTTGCGTAATCAAGAAAATTAATAATGTAGAAATATACCAACGGCTTTTTTTCGTACAGATAGTATACTGAACGTGAAAGCCGATGTTACGTAAATATTTGTCCTGCTTTACAAGATTTTCAAAAAAACCTAAAATCTTTTTTAAAAGATGCATACATTATTCTAATTGAAATTAATAACACGGCTTAAGAACGCTTCACAATACCTCCTTTCCGTAGATCAATTTGATGACCACTCCATCGATAAATGCCACAGCGTTTAGTAGCCGTATACCGTTATATATAACTATTGACAACGATAATTCTAGTGTTCTGAAATATATATTTCCAGTTTATCAATGTATGTAACTGCATCGAATAGAAAACAAATAATCTTTTTACCTTAAAACATTGATAGTGTAGAGAGCAGATCCATAAAGGAATTTTAAAACCAAGCCACATAATACCATTGCGAAAATGATCGATACTATACTCATACTGTACCTTCGGAATCCAATTGGACCTCTCAACATCAAAGGAAAAACAGCAAAAAAGCGCCATACCCAGGCTATTGATTCCGTAACGGTATATAAATCTTTTTGTATCATTATATATATTAATTTATTATGCAGCCATTATTATATGCAGCTATTAATCAAATGTATAACGTTACAATTTTGAAACCCTATACTGAGGAATCAAAAGAAAGGTCTATTTAAAAAATGTGAAACCTCTAGTTCGAATACTTTTAAAGTACTTGAAGCTTTAGAACAGTCGTAGAGAGCAGCAAATTTAATATCTTATAATGTAAGTAAAAAATGGTAAGTATTTATTGATAGTTACACATTTGTCAATGTTGGAATGCATCAATTAATCAAGCAAATGTACTCTATGCAAATTTTTTCTATACATTATGTAGCTCGAGCGATAGTTGAATGGATAAAATTTTATGTACGTTTTTTGTTAATGTTTACAAAATTACTTATTATGCTTCAATGTTAAGAGCAAAGTAGATAGTTGTCTTGTGGAAGTGGGAAGCATATTGCAAGTGGTACGAAGGAGGGGATACACTGGATACGAGGGGAAAGATGATAATTAACTATCAAGCCAGTTGCTTTACAATCGTGCAAGACGAATGATCTAATGTAAAAGCAAATTCAATTGCTCTCGGTCTATTCAACAATGGATTACTATATCCTCACATTTCTATTTGTTATCGTCTACTTGATATACATTTACTTGAAGAATAATTATTCCTATTTTGAACGATTGGAAATTCCGTACCTATCTGGATGGCCTATTCTAGGAAGCTTAACGGGACCCATATTGCGTAGAAAACACATGACTCAAGTGTTCCAAGAATTATACGATCTCGATTCTGATGCAAAATACGTCGGTGCCTTCAACTTTACAAAGCCAGTGTTCGTCATAAGGGATCTTGAACTAATAAAAAATATAACCATCAAGAATTTCGACTATTTTCCAGATCACAATCCAATTGGAGATGAAAGCCTCGATCCATTATTCGGCGGGAATCTATTCAATTTGAAGGGACAGAGATGGAAAGATTCGAGAACAGTGTTGAGTTCATCGTTTACGTCGAGTAAAATGAAAATGATGTTTGGCTTGATGGTGGATTGTGCTGATGATTTCGTGGGTTTTATTGATAAGCAGCCGAGTGAAAAACTGAAAATAGTCGATACAAAAGACTTATTTGGAAGATACACAACTAACGTGATAGCCTCTTGCGCATTCGGGATTCAAATAGATTCACTTCGAAATCCAACAAATAAATTTTTCGTTCTCAGTAAAAAAGCTGCAATTATAGGCCCATTGTTGGGTTTAAAAATTATTGTGTCCCGAGTATTTCCCGGCATAATGAAGGCTCTGAAGATCCGACTGTTTAGCAAAGAATTGAGCGATTTTTTCACTGACGTCATAAGCGAGACTGTGAAAACAAGAGACGATAATGGTATTACTAGGCCTGACATGCTGCAACTGATGATGGACGCGCGCAAGCTAGATGAAAAAAATGTGAAATTCGATATCAACGGGATGACATGTCAAGCGTTTGTATTCTTCTTCGCGGGCTTTGACACAACGACCTCGGTTTTGTGTGCCTTTGCTCATGAACTTGCTCTCCATCACAACGTGCAGAGTAAGCTACAAGAAGAAATCGATGGAATAATAAAAGAAACGAACGGCAAACCGACGTACGAGGCTATCGCAGGTATGCAATATCTTGATGCAGCTTTTCACGAAACAGTGCGTTTGCATGGACAAGCTTCGTTTCTGGATCGAGTTTGTAAAATACCTTTTGAGTTGCCACCGGCGTTGCCTGGTGGCAAGCCAATAATGTTACGGCCGGGATCGACGATTTGGATACCTGCGGCTGCTATACACAGAGATCCCAAACATTATGCCAATCCTAATCAGTTTGATCCTGACAGATATTATGGCAAAAAAATTACAATAAACGATGCGACTACTCTAGGATTTGGCATAGGCCCGAGGAGCTGTATTGGCAATCGATTCGCTATTTTAGAAATAAAAATTCTGTTGTTTCATTTGCTTAGTAAATATACTTTGTGCGCCAATGAGAAAACATGTGCTCCATTCAAATACAGTAAAAAAACTTTTTCCATACAACCTGATGGAGGTTTCTGGTTATCTATCATACCACGAAAGTAAATGAATTATATTTTTAATAAGCTTATTTATTAGTGAGAGAAAAACCAGTATCTTTATCTTATCTCATCGTATGTTGCTGCATAGTTCTACTGCAATATTACATAACACTAATCCAGAACAACCTTGACCGCCTCAAGTCCATTAATACACGCACACTATATCTCAATTGGCGAGGACATCTGAAAAATAAGATAATTTGTCGAATTCGTTACCAAAACAGATGATACATATATTTATAGTAAGTAAAGTCACTTATAAGAACTCGTATCTATACAAATGTAAACATTCGTGTCAAAAATAAATTGCGAATTAATTCTTTAATTATGTGTCATTCTGTGCGACAATACCTTTGCTTCTGAGATAGAGAAAAACGAATATCTCCCTGACAATGCAGTATTTTTGTAGTATTTTCCATCATAGGAGACATTAGGATCAGTCATTTGTCGTAACAAGAGAACTGCAGCTGCTCATACGAGCACCGACACGTCGTCTTAAATCCTTAGTTTTCGATTGGTATAATATTGGGAGAGCAAGACCTCTATACATCATGAAACTATGGGCTCTAACGCTATTTAACGTTTTATGTGTGGCTATCTTAATACTATTTATTACTACTTTTAAACATCTGTTGAATATTTCACAGAAAATGGTTTTTCATACGTAGTAGGATAGCTATTGTTGAGTAACATGGCTCCTTTCTTCTGCCGAAAGCACATCTCGGAAACCGTGATTGACCTGTTCAACGCTCATTCGAATACTAAGTACAGCCGCGTTATTAACTTTGTGTGTCCTATAGTCATGATTCGAGATCTAGATCTGATTAAGTGGTTCCATCACAATCAACAATGTCGAAAATTTTCTGGAACACAAGATTTTTATAGACGACAAGTTCCATCTTCTGTTCGGTAGGAGTCTATTTTCGATGGCCGGCAAACGATGAAAACAAACAAGAAATTTGTTGAGTTCTTTTATCACTTCTGGCAAGATGAAATCAATGTACGAGTTGATGGTGAAGTGTGCAAAAACATCGTCAATTACTCGAACAGAATGCCGAACGAAGACAAGAACTTGGTAGGGACAACTTGCTTGTCTACGCAATTTATGAATGATGTTATAGTGGTTTTAGAATCAGTGCTGATTCTTTAAATGATCCGAAAAACGATTTCAATTTGCTACACAAAGAGGCTACCATCCTGAAAGATATAGTGACATTGAAATTATTCAATGCTCATTCCTACCCACATACTATATATTGACGCTATTTGCCCTCATTCTGTTGGAAATAAGTCTATTTTATCTGGAGGAAAACCATATACTGTATACCTGCAGACATTAACGTTTGAATATTATCGATGACGATACATAAATAGCCAAAACGTAGCAATAATTAAAATTATAACGTCTTTGAATGAAAATATTCTCTATTGAGAAAATGTAAGTAACACTTTACACGAAAACTACACTAATTAGATAATTTTCTAATTCCAGTTTAGTTTTGCGCTTTTAAGAAATTTAATACTGAATATGAAATTTTCAGTAGCTAAAACAATTTACGGATTGCGGAATATTTTCTAGTGATTTTGTATTTGAAACAATTATTATTCTTCGACGCGTACACTTTTACTTATTTTTACAAGACATATTCCGTCCTTTTTCAATAATGTGTGATTTTTTAAACAATTTTGAATCTTTGGTACGGTATTCATATAACACTCAACAGTCAATTTTCAGCGTCTGGTTGCTGGTTGAGGCAACAGTCAAACTCTGTAAACATGAGAAATGAATTGTGAAACTTCTCGTAACGTGTTTGCTTAACGTCTCAACTTCAACTTCATCCTGACAAGAATTCTGCACTTAAAACTGATTAATTTTACAAAATCATTCGTTACTTATTACCGAAGTTAAAAAAGTTTTTCATTTTTGAATTTCTTTATTTTTAGTTATTCAACTCTACATTCATGACTATACCGAATTCAATTGCTGATGAATTTTAATAATATATACAATAGACACATATAATTTCATAAAATTTTTTTTTGCGTTTGCAAATTATCAATCGCTAAAATTACTAGTCTCCCTTCTCGAGCAACCAAACCGGCAAACCATTTTTACCGACTCATGCTTGTGAAGCGAAAAGATACTTCTTAATAAAATTCGATATATCGATTCATTAAACTATTAAAATTCCTCAGACAGTCGAATCCGAGTGTGCAGTGCCTTGCAAGATTCGCAATCGCAGTATCGTAGATACGCATGATTTAAAAAAACTATGATCACAACTTTAGAACGGTTCCGATAAAATTGGATGGATCGATTCTTTGATATAATAGAATTTGTTAGAAAATTTAGCAAACATTATCGTATTTTCTTTTTTTATCAGCAACAGTTGTATCCGGGTCTTTATCAATTTTTTATGACATCTAAAGTTTTTTTGAATATCTGTAGATTTTGGTGCTCTTCGAGCAAGCAAAACTGTAACTAGCAGTAGATTGCCTTGTAAATGATTTATCAAGTAGTTAAAGATAGTTTACCTGTGGCATTGTAAAAAACATTATTAAAAAGGATTGTACAAGTACTAATTTATATTCTATGTGTTAGGGTGAGAAGGACTGAGAGTGGGGGTTTTAAAATATTTAATATAAAGAACACCGGATTTATTTAATTCACAATAACACTACTTAAAATAATAAATAAACCGGAACGCTCGTAATCAAAGTAAGCTTACAATCAAACTAACAACTAACGATACAAATTACATTTATAAAGGTTCGCCGGCTAAACTAGTTAAAATAAGAAAGGATTAAATTTGTGTCGACACGAGAATCGTAATTCTAAAGAGTATAAAGGTATAATTAACGGAAGTACAATTAATGAAATATAGTTGACGCACGCGTGCTTAAAGATAGGCGAACTGCTTGTTCAAGTACCGGATCTAGAATGATTGAGACGCGTCGCCGCGCCAGCTGAGTCCGATCAAAAAATTTTCTTATCTCAATTCCCTTTCCTCGCACGAAGGTCGAAGGCGTGAACTTCTTGACCTCCTGCCAATGAGGTTTCCTTATTCATGTGTCAACTGCTCCTTTCTCTGTTTGATTGGCTCGAGTCGAAGTCTGTGATGATTCCGACCGTGCGCTAAAGATTGTGCCGTGTTTTGGTGGCTCGTGTTGCGTTGTTTGATATCGCCGGCTTTCGGCTCAAACAACGGGGTGACGGACGCTCAATGTCCGTCGTCGACAATCAGCTTTGAAAGGTAACCTTTCAACCAGTCTGATTGCCACAATGCATTTGCCATCTTTTTTAGCGATGTATGCATTTTTGCGAGTTTGGAGGCAGTGATCGTAGCAATGGTAAATAGTCAAAATTTGATTCTAAATCGTAACCCAGCTTGATGCGGCGTACGCTTCTCTCACACGCTTATCTTAAATTAAACAATATTCGTAGTGTTGCTTAAGTTTCGCGTTTCGAAGAGGCCGTAACTGAACTTAACAACAAAGGAACCAACCGACAAATGTCGGCAGATTAGAGATTCTTTTTAAAAATGAGAGTGTCGATGTCGTTACGCATGGTCACTCGATCTTGTTTTCGAGTTCGACATCGCACGCGCGCATCGATTAGCAAACAGTCCGCGGCGCAATGAAATGATTCAAGCGCAATGTCTTTGTCCAAAAATTCTGTGAGAGCATATTTCAAATTACATCCGTAACATCCTCCCCCCGTAAAAAATATTATTATTTTTTACTAAGTTGTGCCGAAGATCTTTATTAATTTATGAGCTGGTCGTACGAGAAAACTCTTTCCTGATCGAATTCGCGCCGATCTGATTATCCCATCGCCTTTATTTTTGAAAACTTCTACTATTTTCCCTTTTTTCCATGCATTTCGTTGTGTTTGATAATCGATTATTAAAACTATATCGCCAACTTGTAGCGGAGGAACCTGCTGATTCCATTTTTTCCTTAGTAATAGCGTTGGCAGGTATTCCCGCAACCAACGTTTCCAAAATCCCTGAGCTAAGTTTTGTACGATTTCAAATGTTTTACGCGGACTCAAAATCGTAGTCTCATAACGTGCTAATTTGAGGTGTGCCGATGATCTGCCCAATAGAATATGATTCGGCGTTAACGCTTCCTCGTCGTTCGGATCTACCGACACGTGAGTCAATGGCCTTGAATTGACCATATGTTCTACTTCAGCAAATAGAGTAAGTAAAACTTCTTCGTTGACGGATTGTTCATTTAAAGCGTGATCAATTCCGACTTTTACGCTCCGAATTAACCGCTCCCACGCTCCCCCCATGTGGGGCGCGTCTGGAGGATTAAAGGTCCACGTAAATCTATGATTTTCCGCGAAAGCCTTTTGTTTCCCAGTGTCGATTTCGAGAATCGCCTCACGCAATTCCTTACTGGCCTTTTTAAAATTTGTTCCATTATCGCTGAATATTTTTTGGGGAAAACCTCTTCTAGCGGCTAATCTCTGTACGGCCATGATAGTTGAACTAGCGCTTAAGGTATGGGCTAATTCAAGATGAATTCCACGTGTTGTCATGCAAGTAAATAGCACCCCCCATCTTTTCTCGCGTCGCCGTCCAATTTTTACGAATATCGGCCCGAAGTAATCTATCCCACAATTAGAGAAGGGCCATTGATCGTAAGCTACACGACACGCAGGCAGATCTGCCATAGGCGGGTTCTGTGGCTTAGCGCGTCGAAGCCGACAAATAAAACACTTTTTCGCGAGCCATCTGAGACGGGTTCGTAAAGCAAAGATAAAGAACTGCTGGCGTAGCTCGTTTACGATAGTCTCGTTGTTTGCATGCTTGTAGCGTTTGTGATAAGACTCTATTAGTAGCTTAGTCGCGTAATGATTCGCGTCTAAAATAATCGGTTGATTTTCAAATTCAATAATCTGTTGCTTGGATTTCCCATCTTTCGGATCGAAAATTTTTGATACACGTCCTCGAGCACGTAATAGCCCTTCGAAATCTACAAATGGGCGTAATCCAATTAATTTACTGCCTCTCGGTAATTCTACACCCTTATTAATATGTTCGATTTCTAATGGAAAATACGTAGATTGAATCTTTCGAAACCAAAATTTCTCCGCGGCTAAAGTTTCTTGCACGGAAGTCTCACTTTTCGCTGCCTCTGGGACCTCTGTTATTGATTTACGGGTTTTGTTTTTAATTTTTAAACACCATGTATAAAATGATTTTCTCACAATTTTCGCAGTTTTTACGATTCTGTTCCAACCCAAAATTCTAATTCTAGCAGACACTTCCCATCCGTTCGGGTTATCAACACATAACGCGCTTA